CTAAATAAATTCTTTAATTATTAAATAATTTAAATAATATATCCTAATTAGTTTCCTAAAGTTATAAGAGGCCTAATAAACGCCCATTTCTTTAACACTTATTAGGATGGTATAATAGAAATTATTTATATATACCTATAATAATATAGATATCTTAACCTTACTTTAAATATTCTTATTAATTAATAGTACTAGCTAGAGCTTTATATATTATGATATATAATCTTATTTATTAAATTTATAGGAATTCTCTGCTGGTCTAGATATATCTTTATAAATAATATTTTTTAGGTTATTAGCTTTAAGAACCTACTAGATATAGTCCTCCTAATATTTAATATTCTCTTTATCTTATAACTTCTTAATAGTATCTAGAATAAGCTGATTATCTATAATTTTAGTTGCCTAATTAATGCCTTTAATTATTAATATAGCTACTGCTTATTAGGTAAACCTTTAATTAGTTCTATCCCTATTATATAGGCCTATTAACGTCTAATTTGTTAATTAGGTAGGTGTGGATTTTTTAAATTTAATCATTATTAGTCTTTTTGAATATGTTTAGCCCTAGGGGAACTATTTATATCACTTATATTGCCTGTTATTTTGCAAATGTTGATATTGCTTAGATAGGATCTTAAATAAATAAGAATTTATTAAATATGGTATACTTTATCTTTTTAAATAATATGCTACCATGTTAGCCTAGTAGGCCTGGAAAAGGGAAGAGATGACTAATAGTTGCTATTACTACTACAGCTTAGACGCGAAGTAGGTGGTTGTGTGGTGTGGCCGCGCCAAACAAGGCGACGCTAAGCCTAATCGGGCACGCACCTCTGACATAATATAAAGATAAGCTTATATTATTAGTAATTTAATAGTATAAGTACTTATCTAGGCCTAGGTGGCATAGGTAGTCTAGTTAAGTATATTAAGGGCACTTTTAGGGGTCTATAATTAAGGAGGCCTAGGGGCCTAAAGGGTACTAATCCCTAAAATTAATATTTATTTATAATCTTTAGAATCTTATTTATATTATAGCCTTAAAGGTGCTAGAGGGTATTAATCCCTAAGAATAAATACTTATTCTTAATTCTCTTATATACTTATTAATATTAACTAGACTATATTTATATAAATAAATACTTCTAGGTCTAAAGTCTAATAGGGGGGAATATATTTTTAGGCTAGATTAGGCTAGATTAAGCTAAATTAAGCTAAATTAGGCTAGATTAGGCACCTAAATAGGCTAAAGTAGACTAGAGTAAATATTAAATAACTACTTAGACTTATTTATTTTTTATATAGCTATAATAGCCTTATTAGATAATATAGTAAATAATATAGCTATATTAATTAGTATAATAAATAATACTATAAATAGTATCTAGATAATAAGATAATATATAGGATTAATAGTTAATATAGTATTAATATAAGATATAATTATTAATAAAGCTATTTAGAGAGAGACTAAGATATCTATTAGCTATAAATATAAGAAATTAAAAGATTAATAGAGGAATAATAGAGGATATTAGATCTAGATAACTAATAAAGAGAAGGATCTAGAATAGTAGCCTTAGTATTAGTAGAGTAAAGTAAAGTAAACTAATTAATAATAGTTTTAATATTAAATATCTAGTAGTAAAGCTTATTAATAGTAGATAACTAAAGATAGGAGTCTATTAATATATTTAAATATAAGCTTATTAATACTAGATAATTAATAAAGATAACTTATAGATATATTTAACTATAGGCTTATTAGTATTAAGTAACTAATAAAGGTGGCCTATAAGTATATTTAACTAACTTATTAGTATTAGGCAACTAGTAATAGGGGCCTATTAATATAATTAAGTATAGGCTTACTAATACTAGGCAACTAATAAAGGTAGCCTATAAATATACTTAATTATAAGCTTACTAATATTAAATAACTAGTGATAAAGGCCTATTAATATAGTTAAATATAAGCTTATTAATACTAAATAACTAGTAAAGGTGACCTATAGGCATACTTAATTATAAGCTTATTAATATTAGGTAACTAATAATAAATTAAGATCTAAATAACTAGTTATAGGGATATCTAGATAACTAACTATAAGAGAAAGGGGTACTAAAGGGGCTAATTAATAAGATATACTTAATATAGCTAATTAATATTAGTTAATTTATATATATATATTCTTATAGTCCTAGTTACCACTACCTAGCTATTGGCGACTCTAAAAGGGCCCTAAATAGGGCTATATTAGAGGATAATGCAATACTCACTCACTCTTACTCACTCACTCACTCACTCACTCACTCTAGATTTATTTTTGAATATTATTATAAAAATTAATTATTATAATAGTTAAAAAAGATGTATAAAAGTAAAGTAGTAAAAATAATGAAAAAATTAGCTATTCCCTTATCTTAGCCATTCCCCTATTAGGGCTGCGCTACGCGCGGACCCAGATGCTTTAGAAGGAGGGGCCAGTTATATAATATAACAATAATAATAATAAATTAATAACAATATATATTATAATATTTACAGACACCCTAATTTTATACTTTATTATAGATAATTAAAGAGACTATGTAATTAAATAAGTTAAATATTATAACAAAGATTAAAATAAAAGGCCTTATTCTTATTTATATTAACTTATTTAGTATTATAAATATTCTTAAAAAAATATATTCAGTATAATAATTAAATAAATTAATAATTATTACTTTTTTATTTATAATATAATTAATAAGGAACTTATTAAGAATAAATAAATAAATAATTATATAAACTCTACTAATAGTCTAATATAGCCTCTAGATTAAATAAAGTATATTATATTTAAAAAACTAGTTAATCTTTAAAAAGTAGCTATAAACTTATACTAAAAATAAATTAGATAAGGAATAATTAATAATTAGTAATTAGTAAGGAATCATATTTTTTTATTATTATATACTTTAATTAATATTAAATTGAGAGATTAGCTAGTCTAAATAGGTGCTTAATAATAAGAGATATATTAAATTTATATATTTAATTAGGCTTAATATTATCTTATTTAGTATAGCTATACTATATAACCATCTACTTCATGTCTAAGCTATAGTAGTAATAGTAATCGTCAACCATCTCTTCCCTCTCTAGACCTGCTGGGCCAACATTATATAATTATAGTTCTACTAACCTTAACGTAGTATCAGTATACTTGAACAACTATCTCATGTCTAAATCTTTTAGAAAAGTAATAGTATACTATTTCCTTTTTTATCAATTAGCTTCATAAGTATCTTCTTACGCACCAATTATATATTACTCACAGTCCAATAGAATCATGTACTCACAATATTCCCATAGACAAGCACTCCTGTATATGCATCATCGCGCAGCAAAAGAATATCAGTATTAGTACCAGGGGCCAGTCAAGCCGGTCCCATAATCCACGACTTGGCGTTTTCGTCCACCAAGAACACCCTAAAGATATAGATAAGTATGGCTACCTATTGACAATCAAGAAACAAACCTGAAAGAGAGCTGAATAAAATCGATTCTCAAGAAATGGTACTATAATGCTACCAATAATCGCCTCATAAAACAAGACGCTGAATCCTGGAGCCTGCCAGTCATCCCATGCATCATAAAGCACCAGAAATAAGCAGTAAAAATGCGCGCTGTTGAAAAGACACCCTTCAACATCCAATGGGCCCGTGGAATCTTCTAGCTCGAGACTAGACGACGGACCCCGCCTCAACTTGCAACTGGATACGTTGATCAGTCGAGGCAAGCGAGGAATCCTGCCTAGAAGGTCTATTTCTTGTCTGGTCCCGGCTTTGACGCGAGAAGTATGAAAAAGGGTTCACCTCTTGCATACGTGGGAAATGTAGCCTTGAGCGCCAGCCCCCGCGTTGTGGCAATCCCCCTTGCCCTCCTAGATCCAGATTCAAATCATTTGAGGTGTTTTGACCGGGCCAAGGATGTGCGGTAGACAGTTGCGAAAACTGAACATTAGTTTCCGGTCGAATCTCCCGTCCCTGCTGTCGCTCAGACGTTAAGAATCTGCTTCTGAAGGGATTACCCCGATTCCCAAGGAATATGGCCTGCGGCTGAACAAGTGCTCTTGACCGAGGACCACGACTCAGTCCTTCCCCACCCAGAGTGGTAGGTTCAGTGCCATCAGGGCGAGGCTTCGGAATGTAGTAATCAGTTTTGCACAAAGGACAGCAGGCCCGCCGGCTTGTCAGCCAAGGATCGACGCACGAAGCGTGAAAAGCGTGACCGCAAGTAAGCCCACGTACATCATCATCGTCCTCAATCAGATCAAGACATATCGCGCATGAGTCGCCTGGAGTGGATAGTAACTCCGCTGGCAGTGCAGTACTTATTGGGTCCTCCCCGTCATCGCTTCCCAATTTCTGAGACATACGATCAAGATCATCTATGTCCCTAGTGCCACCGTTTCCCATGGAATTCTGTCCAAGTGCAGTAGGCGTTGATATTGTATGCCTTTCCTTTTCTTCTGTTGAGTCTTCATGGCAACAGCCCGTGGTCCCGTCTTCAAGTAGAATTGACGATTGATTCTCACGGTATTCTATTCTTTGCTGACCTTTGGTTGATGTTATAGGTGAAGTCGCGGCGATTTCCGCGGAGGGTTCAATTTCGCCGTTCCGCTCAATTTCGTGCCTATTGCTGGATGTTGTAACCCCACCAGTCACTGACAAGCCCTCATTCGCACGAAACGCCCTCCAGGCCTTATACTTCAGAAGAGGAAACCGTTGGTTAACTTCGTCCATTGTCATCAGTTTCTTCTCCCGTTTCCTCCGGTGTGTCCTCGGTATATTTATCAGATCCAGAGGTTCGCCTGTTTCCTCATTGCGCAGCTGCCGATTCCTTTGGTTGTACCGGAAACAGTACTTAACCCCTACTATAATCCTATTATGATGACATGTGAGCAAGTGAAAACCAGTGTTGATTAACAAGTCATTAGTTTAGAATTTAGTACGGAGGGACCAACCATAAATTGGTGAAGACGACACCAAACCCAAGAGCCACGAAAAACAACAAGGGTGAACTTGTAGGACTACCCCCTCCACCATTTCCACTACTTCCTCCACTGCTTGTACCTGTTGTAGCTTCAGTTGGGGGATGTGAGGTAGTAGCGGAAGCCATTTGGATGAGGAAAGCGATGAATCAACAACAGATAAGACACTACTTGAATATTAAATACTCATCACTGAAAAGTAGTGCCACTATTGCTAGTTATCTCATAAAAATATATGGACCAGCATCACTTAGAAAATGGTTCACGACACTGGATCATTAGAAAATGTGTTGTTGTCTGCTTAAGGTGCTAACATAAGTAATTAGAACCAGGCTAGGTAGCTAGCTGATAGTAGATCACCTGGAGGCGATTTTTGGTGGCCGTGACTTAAAAAAGTAAAAAAAAACCATATACTAGGAGATAAACTCCTGTTCATGAAACTACTTATTTTTCAGAGATTTAATCAAATAAAAATAATATTATATGACGTGGGACATAGGATAGAAGATTAAGATTTTAATGCTAATACTACAGAGCACTACTAGGTATGTAGGAGGTAACTAAGGAAGTTATTATTAGTTATAATTAAACACTAGACTATATTAGGATTTATCTAAGGTGCCTTACATAACCACCTAGGCACTCTGGAGTCTGTAACTAACTAACTACGGGGTACGTGAGTTAACTAGGTAGTTAGTTAGGCACTTATAACCAAGTAACTAATTAATAACTAATTAACTACTTATCCAAAAATCGGTATGAGTAGTTGACTACCTAATTATAATATAATTAACTACTAGCTGCTTATATAGTACTACATAGTTACTGTTCAACTACTTAGTTAATTATAGACACTTGACCCTATCTTATTTCCTAGGTACAGGTGCCTAGGTAGATCAATGATTCAATAGACCACCTCAAGTCTTACAGAGTATTATGTGTCTGCGCTTTCTTGGTTCTATTAGTCTAGCTACATTAAATAATATTTTAAATTTTAGTCAAGATCCACTGAGACTGTCTACTGGTTATCCAGTTACTTATTTTGGGTAATAATAAGGGCCCCTTCCAATATCTTTTCATGTTCCCCAATACATTTGAGTGCTTATCCTTAGTAATAATATCTAAGTCTTTTCCCACTCCGGTTTTCCTATCATCAAAACAAATCCCTCGACTGCTAGTGCTCAGCGTCAATATTCTCCAATTTACATACCTCTCCTACTTCTTGAGCTCGAGCTGCTCTCTCTTGCTGTATACAATATGGCATCGCTTGGAGAGGATTTATTGGTCACCGTAAATAAACTCCAAGATTTGGTGTTTAATACAATTGGGAATGACTCGCTCGATCTCCCACAAATTGTGAGTTTTCTCTGGTCCTTCCTTGCTGCTGCTTGCCTTGATTTGCCGGTGGATTATTTTCAAGTATCACAGAACTAATACAGTGTATAGGTCGTTGTTGGCTCTCAGTCTTCTGGCAAATCATCTGTTCTGGAGAACATCGTCGGGCGAGATTTTCTACCAAGAGGAAGTGGTATTGTTACCAGGCGGCCATTGATCCTTCAACTCATCAATATCCCAAGCGAATCAAACGACAGGCCTGGAGAGGTCGATGCACATACAGGTTATCCCACTACTCTTCACATTGGCCAACATGAGTGGGCCGAATTTCATCATCTTCCTGGACGAAAATTCGACGACTTCGCCCTTGTGAAACAAGAAATTGAGGCCGAAACTGCGAGAATTGCCGGAAGCAACAAAGGCATCAATAGACAACCGATAAATCTGAAAATCTTCTCACCCCATGTTCTTAATCTTACTCTCGTGGACCTTCCAGGATTGACAAAGGTTCCAATTGGAGATCAACCGTCTGATATCGAGAAACAAACTAGAACTTTGATCTTGGAATACATAGCCAAACCGAACAGCATCATCTTAGCTGTGTCTCCAGCAAATGTTGATCTTGTGAATTCTGAAGCCTTAAAACTCGCTCGACAAGTGGACCCGATGGGTCGCAGAACAATCGGGGTTTTGACCAAATTAGATCTCATGGATCATGGTACCAATGCCCTTGACATTCTTTCTGGCAGGGTCTATCCCTTAAAACTGGGATTCATCGGTGTCGTGAATCGCTCACAACAAGATATCCAGTCAGGAAAGACTCTAATCGAAGCCTTGAAAGCTGAGGCTGATTTTTTCCGGCATCACCCAGCGTATAGAAACATGGCCAATCGTTGTGGGACGCAGTTTCTGGCGAAGTCTCTCAATACCACATTGATGGCACACATCAGAGATCGCTTGCCTGACATCAAGGCGCGGCTGAATACTCTCATGGGTCAAACGCAGCAAGAACTCGCAAGCTACGGTAACAAGCAATTTAGTGGAAAGGAACACCGAGGTTCATTGATACTCCAGCTTATGACACGGTTTGCTTCCTCCTTCATCTCATCCATTGATGGGACCTCATCTGAGATATCGACAAAAGAACTCTGTGGCGGTGCCCGGATCTATTATATTTTCAATTCAGTCTTCGGAAATTCTCTCGAAACTATTGATCCCACCTACAACCTGTCTGTGTCTGATATCCGAACTGCTATCCGAAACTCTACCGGACCCCGGCCAAGCTTGTTCGTACCCGAGCTAGCCTTTGATCTCCTTGTTAAGCCTCAGATAAAAATGCTCGAGGCTCCAAGTCAAAGATGTGTAGAGCTTGTTTACGAAGAGCTGATCAAGATCTGTCATACATGTGGCTCTCAGGAGCTGCTTCGATTTCCTCGTCTTCAAGCAAAACTCATTGAAGTAGTGTCTGACCTTCTCCGTGAACGTCTGGGCCCTTGCTCCAATTATGTCGAATCACTCATATCAATACAACGAGCATATATAAACACAAATCATCCGAATTTCCTCGGAGCCGCCGCGGCCATGTCATCCATTATTCAGAATAAGCAGGAACAAGACAGAAAAGCTGCCTTGACAGAAGAGCGAAAGAGGCGCGAGAAACGACGGCTCAAAGATCCCAGCAGTGCTAATGGAACTACCTCTATGGATGTCGAGGAAGACGAAGAACATCAACTTGACCACAAAGCACAGAATCTCCCCATTCGAAACCAATCTGGGAAAGGCACCAGGAGCCTGTCACCTCACATTGGCAATCTCTCCGAGAACGGCGCTGTACCTGCACTAAACGGAACCCAATTAAACTCGTCGCCCATGTTCTCATCAAGCAACACGGCCAGGGATTCGTTTCTCAATTACTTCTTCGGCAAAGAAGGAGGTATGACGACCACTGCTGCTTTGCCACAGACCATCTCGGCTTCAGCAAGACAAATCAACAGCCTAGGCGAGCACAGCCATGGTCAAGGGACTCGACATGCTGAGATGAAGCCTTCAGTGACTTACTCCGAGGATCGCTCTGTATTGCCCGACTATGCGGGCGAGCCATCCCCATTTGTATGTTGCAATTCCATATATCTAGTTACCTTTTATTTTGGTCTCCACTAACTCTATACTCTAGTCTCATGAGAGTATCGAGGCATCACTAACTGAACGTGAAATTCTTGAGACCGAGTTGATTCGGCGACTGATTTCATCTTATTTTGATATCGTGCGTGAAACTATTGCTGACCAGGTCCCTAAGGCTATTATGCATCTACTTGTCAATCATAGTAAGGATGTTGTACAGAATAGGCTCGTCAGCGAGCTTTACAAGGAAGATCTCTTTGGTGAGCTCCTCTATGAGGATGATGGCATCAAGGCAGAAAGAGAAAAGTGTGAGAGACTCCTTGAAACCTACAAAGAAGCAGCAAAGATTGTAGGTGAGGTTTTATAGTGTATTAATATCATATGTATACCTAAAAACCCCATATATTAGTCTCAATATTTATATATTCTTCTTCATTCTCTCAGAGGTGTTGATGTTTTACTGTGTATTGACTTACTAATATAACCTATAGGCTATTACTCCTTAGTTCTATGAGGTGAATTACCTGTCAGCTAATGGCATGGCTATATTTAATCCTTAAGAACTGATAGCGCCTCGTTACTGTGTCCATTATATATAATTCTAGGTGATTTTTATGGCCATGTATATATATTAATATAGTATAGCGTGAGAACTTGCTGTCCAGGCTAACCTAGAACTAGCTATATAAAAAGCCCGCCTTAATTAATTACCCTACATGCCACAGAGTATAGTCACATCTAGATTTAACCTATAATCATGATATATTACCATAAAAAGATACACATTTGCAGGTGCACCGCAGGTTGGGCACCTTAGGTAGTCTACTCATATTACTAAAATATAGCACTTCTTATTATCATAGATTCTACTATATATAGAGTAAGTAGTATTAATTAATTATTTATAACTAGGTCTCTGTGAGCCCTTGACTATTGAGGTAGTTCCATATTGATGATTAACTACCTTAGTTAATTAGTTAACTAGCTAGTTACCTAGTTAACTATTACTTAATAATAGTGACCTTTCCAGGGTTGGTGGACTGAACCCCACACATCTACTGTGTAAAGCTGGCCCCTTGAGTCTTACACAGTCAGCTTCAAGTCATCCAACCTCGCATCGGGCTGTGTCTGAACCCATCTCTTATGATCTAACTCTCCCACAGTAAATATCAAATAACACAAATTTTCATCGAAGGTTGTCACAGTGTCACCATTCAAGCGAAATCCTCAACAATAGCATAAAAAGCTGGTTTAGACTGTAAGGCAACCCAACCCTCCAATTTCCAAACATGCCTTGCCGTTACTGCTACAAGCTGGAAGCAAGCCCTCGGAATTGATTGTTGACATCCTTGCACAGTAAGCAGTGGAAATAACGTACAACAAAGCAGACAGATTTGCATTGCACATTATTCCATCCCCCCCCTGATCAGCTATATTGTTTAACAATGGCCACTCTGAATCTCTCCTCCAATGGCCCTTCAATATCGAAGTCCTATCAACATGTGCTCAATGCACCGAATCTGCCCACTGATTCTCCAACCTACGGCCAATGGGCCGTCTTTGCGGTGTCCACCCCTCTTGTGAATGCCTTTCAAAGTGCAGCAAACAAAGAAAGTATTCTGAAAGTCCAGTCCACTGGAGGTTAGTCTGTATTCAACCAATTGCAACTTAGCCAGGAGCTAATCAGATTCTGTAAAGAGGGCGAGTTGGTTGATCTCATAGACGAATTTTCGGAGGGCAGAATCCAATTTGCCTATGTTAAAATCAAGGACATGAATACCGGGCTACCAAAGCAGGTTTTAATCGCTTGGTGTGGAGAGGGTGTACCGGAGCGAACCAAAGGATACTTTACAAGTCATCTGTCCGCAGTATCGAAGTTCTTACATGTAAGGGTTTACTATATCCAACGTGGATTCAGACTCGAGTCTAACAGAGGTGGTATATCAGGGGTTTCACGTGCAGATCACTGCTCGTTCAGATCGGGACCTGTCTCCAGAAAGCATCATTCAGAAGGTCGCCGATGCCTCGGGGGCGAAATATTCAGTTTCAAACGCACCTCCCCAAGTTGATATTTCGTCCAAACCTCAATTAGCAAATACATCATCGGTTTTCACTGCCAAGCGGGCTGGCGGGATTACTCACGAAAAAGCTCCTGTTCGCAACACACCATCTACTGAACAGAAGGATCCCCATGATGATGGCTGGGGTCCGGATGCCCCACCTATTAGCAGGACGGGGCTTGAGAAGGTTAAGCCTGCTTATCAACCCACCAGGGTGAATATGCAGGAATTGAAATCAGTCCAGACAGAAACGTCAAGAATGGGACGAGAGCAAATTCCGACAGATCGTGATAATGTTGTGAAGGGAGGCTATCGCCCTATCGGAAAGGTTGACATTGCTGCCATACGTCGGCAAGCCCGTGAAACAGGACAGCTGAAAGATGACCGGCCAGAGCCTGTTAAGGGAGCATATGAGCCTGTCGGCAAAGTCGATATTGCTGTCATCCGTGCTCGGGCACACAAGCCCAGCGATGTGCCCGTGGATTCTTCCTATGAACTGGCAGGAAAACCAACCACAATCGAATCAGAGCCTACATCAGAACGTTCCACCGTAACCACATCGTCTTCGCGCTTGACAAGCTTGCCGAAACCAAAGGTTTCTAGCCATCTTAAGTCAACCTCGCCATTCACAAAGGCAGGTTCTTCTGATGCCAGCGGATTTGCAACCCAATCAACTCCCTCTACTGCCCCGGTCGGCGCTGCAAGCAGAACATTCGCTGATGAGGGGGGTAAGACACCTGCACAGTTATGGGCTGAGAGAAAGGCAAAGGAACGTGCCGCAGGGGCCCTCGATAGCCCACCTACTGTCGATAAAGTCATTTTTCCCGCTCAGGGTCAGCCGTCAGACACAAAATCGTGGAAGAGTTCATATACCGGCAAGTCGTGGGCTCCAGTTCAGACCACACACATAGCCAAGTCTATGACAGATGAGGATGCTACAACTATTGCCTCAAACCTGCCACACAAGGATGTCGGCGTTGAGGGCCTGGCTTTGGAAGATAATACAGAAACGCTCCCTGAAAATGAAGACACAGACCCCAAACCAAGCGATATTGAGCATAACATACCGCTGCCCGAATTGTCTGCTAGGCCGGTTGAACCAGAAATAAGCTTTGAAACTGCAACTGCAGCTGTGGTTCCTACCCCCCCCCAACAACCCCGTTCACCAACCCCACCAACCCCTCCCGTTGAGCATGAATCCTCGCCAATCCGTGTCGCCATTCCTGTTGGCCGAGGAGTCTCAGATGCTCACGAGGAGCAGTACAGCCCACCACCAGCTATGCCTATCCGCAGTCTGGAAGAAGTGCTGCCTGAAACTAGTGTTCATGATGAACCAGTCGAAGATATGGGTCGTGAGACTGCAGAAGCTCTCACTGGCGATTTAGTAGCCCAGCCTAGTGGCATTCGCGCACTGGTGCAATACGACTATGAGAAGGCAGAGGACAACGAAATTGACCTGAAAGAAGGTGAATTTGTTACTGACATTGAGATGGTAGATGAGGACTGGTGGTTAGGAGTGAATATTAGTGGTGAACGGGGCCTTTTCCCTAGTAACTACGTCGAAGTCGTTGAAAGTGGTCGCCATACGCCAGATCTAAGTACCCAAGAACATAAGCCCGAACTGGAGGAACAGTCGCTACCAGTTCCCACTGCACCCTCGGATGAATCTACAGACCATGGTCAGACTACTCTGAGCAATGGACCGACAGCAACTGCAATTTACGATTATGAGGCTGCTGAGGATAATGAAATCAGTTTTAACGAAGGTGCCAAGATAGTTAATATAGTAAGTGCTACTTTGCATACTCCTTTTTCGGCCGCAAGCTTGGCAGAGATTCTAATTCTATTTGCAAGGAATTTCCCGACGATGACTGGTGGCTCGGAGAGTTTGAAGGCAAGACAGGTCTTTTCCCTGCAAATTATGTACAGCTCGATGATTGAAGGGCTACATGTGGTAACCCTTCAAAACATGCCGAACCTTCTTTTTGCTTGTTAGTGAGACCAGTCCACAATATATTTACTATAAAATTAATAAGTTCAGATAGCTCCTGGTAGGACATGAATGAGAGATACTTTGACGCTTACACAAGAATATCGGATCTAGTACACGGTACATCCAATAGCTACAATTATAAGGCGGCTTCAATTCCATGGGCCAATGTTATTCCCATATGTTACGTGGAATGTTCTGAACTTTAAGGAATTCATCAGAAGATGCAGTTTTGGTTCCAATCGCTATGACTATTCCGAATATGAGTCACCCAAAGGAGACCGACCAAGATCTTCTAAAAAGCCATAATTAATCCTCAATGTCATCGTCGCTTAGAACAAGGTTACCCCCTTCTGTAGATAGAATTGTTTTGGGCCCAAAAGTATTATTCCCCTTGACTTGAGGGTCAACTACATCACTTGCCGCTGAGTGTGATGCATCCATTTCCAACCGAAGTTCATCTGTGGTATTGAAACCTTCCGTGGATGAAATACTTTCCGAATCAATTATGCCGTGAAATGCGGTTAGCCTTTTCAAGCCTTTCGATTCGGCCTCGTTACATAGTATCTTGGCTAGATAGGGTAATTGATAAAGTAACATTTCTGTTCGCGATACCATGGTTGGTATCACTTGTTCGTCATCGACGCCTCCTTTTTGTTGATCAGTAGAGGTACGGATATCCGTACCCGCACACCTAGTTGGAGATTTGAAGCTTTTGTCACTGGTTGAAGCTGACTTGTTTAATAGAGGAATTGACCTTCCAAAGGAATTCAATGATTGTTTCATCCATATGTCGATCAAGCCCTCAGCCTGCTCGTATTCATTCCACAGGCGAAGTGATGTCGGAAAAAGCATTTTGAACGCATTGTATCTGTGGTTTGTCCCATCGTGTGGCATTGACTGCCTTTTCACTGGGTGAGGAAGAGCAAAAAGTAAACCCCGAACAGCAACTTGAAAGCTAACCTCGTTTTGACGTAGTATGTCGACTCCAGCATTCCAAGTGTTCTTTTTTTCAGCTTGAATAGTAGACTGTGGCCCTTTGACACGTGTGTAATCAGTAGACAAGAGGTCACTATCAGAGAGTGCCTTTATGCACTCATCCAAACAGTCTGTGAAATATATACCCTCACATGACAAGACATAGTTTTCATGTAGAGCGTAAATAAAAGTTTGTATATCTGTGCCAATCTCATTAACCAATTCATTAGTCGAGACTTGTGGTATTTTAGATCGGAAATGATGGCGTAAATGATCAGGAGGTGTAGGAACTTTATTGCCGCCGAGAGCAGTAGGATTTTCATCATCACGTTTATTATACACAACCTTACCTACTGCGTGAAACATCCCTAGGCTTGATTCTCGTTGAGTAATTAATCCTAGAGATAGTTCTTCCACTGAAGTTAAAGTCTGGTTGCCGTGAGAAGTTGCACGAGATTTTTTTATTAATGTCTTGTTCCACTTGTTTGCCAAATTGCTCTTCAAACAGAGAAATTCTAGACAAGAGATGGCACTTCGAATGTCGCCTAATTCAGAAATCGCTCTTAGCACAGCTGTTCTAGGTGTTTTGCTTTGTTGAGAATGACGCGATTCTTTTGCAAGAACCAGATCCAAAGCCTTGAGCATGTAGGTGGGCGCAATGCTGTTGAATTCAAGGACTGTCGTGGCTGGATTATTATAGATGACCGGCCCAACCAGTTTCTGTGCGTGAAAGCTTTCCGAAAAGGAAGAGGCCTGGCCAAGAAGAGTTTCGGAGATAATGAGGACGATTGGCGGAATTTCTTGACCCTCAGAAGAGTTTGGCGCAGCGAGGTAACGCTGAAGGGATTTTCTAAAACTCGAGATAACCGATGATGGTGATGATGATGATGATGATGGACTCAATGGCGGGAATTCTTCAATCAAAATGAGCCTTCGGCTTGTGGAGGGTTTAGAACCGCCCTGATGTTGTTCATTTATCACTTCCTCATCCAACTCAAGACCCCCGTACCCGTGGCCTCGAGTAAGAAAATCCTCAAACTGTGACCCAATAGAAACGTATTCTTTTGCAGTATAGTCAATGGCTGACGGGTATTTCCATTCAACAACTTCAAACCGTATAGATTTCGATAATAACATGATCGTGGTTGTCTTTCCACACCCCGCGGGACCCTTTAGAATAAGTAATCTCTATATGTGTCAGTCAAGTCTCTTATTGTCCACTAGAGAGGAAAAACACAGACTTGCTTGTTCCTACCACAAAAAGCATCTTCCAGCCAAGTCCTAGTATCGGAAACTTTCTTTTTATGCACGGCTAATTCACCGATATCCGAGGGTGCATATCGTTGAGACCAAGGTGATACTGAAACATTAGTGCTTGTTGATTCAGGGTTTCTTTCTTTCTTGGACGGCACTCGAGGCAATGAAAAGTGGTCTGAAGATAGTGAAGCCTGATTCCGAGAAGCAGCGAATGTTGTTTCAGTTTGAGGTGGAAGTTCACTAGCTCGCTGTTGCTGATCTATCTGTTGGCTTCGACTTTGATCTGAACTAGGATGATCGATGCTCTGAGTGAAAATCTCGTCACATGAATCATAGTCATCTTCAATAAGGTCATCTTCATCTTCTATTCCTAGAACAATAGATGGTTCTCTTGAGCGCCTCGAATCTTCAAAGGACCATCGCTCCTCTTCAGTCGCGGGCTGAAAAAAATTATGCAGAGAGCGCTCAACTCCTGCATCTTTTGACATTGGAAACTTCGCCCTGGAGGTTGGGTAAGCTTTGCCGAAGATTTGCGAGGAAGCTGTTGACCGAGGTCGTGTAGGATGCAGTGATACATTGTTTTTTGATATTCGTGGCATATTATTTATATTTGAGGACTTCGGTTTTGAGCCATTTTTAGCTTTCACTGGTGTTTCTATCTCGTCATCTGAAGTAAAGACTGTCTGACCGCGCTGTCTTTTTGCAGGCCTAGTATCCATGACGGTGTGTCTCTGTCGGAATTGACATAGAGCATCTCCGAAATGAAGGTGAGTTGAAGTGACATGCATGAGCTTTGACCACATAGATTATTGTATCACTTACGGAGTAGCTGGAGCTTCGGAGTCCGTGCCAGGTACTCCACACTCCACACTCCAAACTCCAACTATTGAAAAACCATGGGCCAGGCCTGGCTTAATCGCTGTTTTATTACCTACATACGCATTTCTCTCACCATTGGGTAACCTTCCATACCCCGATTTCTCTGGTGATTGATTCCGGAAAACCTAACCATGTATATTCCTCCTAATTGACAAGTGATAGCTAGAAAAGAGAAAAGCACAAGAAAGTACGAAGACGAAGAAACATAAAAGAATGCTTAGAAATAGCCGGAACCAGCCTCCAGCAAGGAGGACCGACAGGCAATCCGAAGATCCTATATTAAACGACAGCACATCCTCTCTTGATTGCTCTGAAAAGACTGATTCCCAATCGTCATTACTCGTTAAATCCAACTCAGAGCGCACGTCGGTCAAGACAGATGGGCATAGTGATCCTGAATGGAAGCAGGATAGTCTGTCAACAGTTGTCTCAGTCGCACATGTCACCATCTTCAGCTGGAAAAATGTGGCCATTCTAATATCATTGATTTTTGGTGGCTGTTGTGCCAATGTACGCTATTCCTTTTTACCCAACCCCCATCTCAATCTTTAGTATAGAGAAATATCTGCGGTACTGACTTCTGTGAGGTATTTATGCTCGAAGCAATTATTAAGTAAGTCCTACACGAGAATCTTTCCCTTAGAAATACCAAATATTCACCTGTTTCCAGGGACCAGCCAGCTTCTGGTAAGGCAATATTTCCTCTTTTATAACAATTAATCCTAACTTCGGAAGGGCCATTGATAACATTTGTACAATTCCTCCTCATTGGACTTTTTACACTACCCAACTTTGTCTCATTCAGCGCTGGACCCCAGTCACTATATTTGAAATCTCGAAATGTACCTCTCAGGTCCTGGGTGATATATACCGCATTTTTCCTGGTCGTCAATTTACTCAACAACTGGGCCTTTGCTTATGAGATTTCAGTGCCCTTGCACATAATAGTGCGGTCGGGGGGTCCTGTAGCCTCCATGATCGTGGGGTACATTATCAATTCCAAAAGATACTCGACACTTCAGATACTATCTGTCATTCTGCTTACATTAGGCGTTGTGGGAGCGGCATTGGCTGATACCGCTGCAAAGAGTCAGTCCCTTGACGTTGGCGACAACTGGACTGAAAAGAGCCAACATTCGCCTCTTACTACGTCTCTTGTAGGATTCATCATCCTTGCTCTAGCCATGGTTCTTTCTGCCCTTCAAGGAATATATGCGGATAGGCTATACGAAATACACGGTCGCAATCACTGGAAGGAGGCTCTGTTCTACTCTCACACATTATCACTGCCGTTCTTCCTACCCACTTACCCAAAACTCGTGTCGCAATTGCGCCTCTTGCTGGAGTCACCTCCAATTATTGAGAGCCTCACTATGGGCACTGTGCAAAGTGGTGTGTTTGTTCCTAAGATTAACCAAACAATCTGCGCAGCTGCTATGACTTCAAAGTCTGGCCTTATTCTTGCAACTCTCAGAAACACGTCTCAATGGTTTTGGTCTAGTCTGTGGCAAAACCAACTTGTTCAAGACTCTATTGGCCAGTTTCCAATCAAGATTGCATATCTCTTGTTGAATGCCGTGACACAATATCTCTGTATCCGCGGTGTTCATTTCTTGTCGGCGAAATCATCTTCCTTGACTGTAACCATCGTCCTGAACATTCGCAAGCTGGTCTCGCTGCTACTCTCAATCCATCTCTTCGGCAACAATTTGACGTCGGGCATCATTGTGGGAGCGGCTCTTGTTTTTCTTGGAGGAGGCTTATATGGGTACGAGAGCAGCCGACTGAGGAGCAAAGTCAGCAAAAAGGAGAGTTAAATACGCCTCAAACATTGGAAAGAGATCTATGGAGATACTTCTTTATACAACACTAGGTCAAATATCTGTGTGAATACGTGCGGAATGTGCATAACAGGCCACATTGATGAGCTGTTTGTTGACTCTTTTTGTTCAAGACATCATTCAGAGTACATGGGACAATGGTACCTATGTTTAAGATTAGATCTAAGACAGTCCCAGATAGATAGTTTTCCTTCTTAATATATCTATGTCTTTACATTGAAAGAAGTATTATTCAATTGGGGTTTTGTGCACTTTAACCCTATATACTGCCTCCATAACCAACATAAAACCATTGTGTGCCTAATTATAGATTGAAAGAGAAAACAAAGAATTTACGGCGCAAAATATGATTATAAGGCAAGGTTAATAATGGATGTTCTTTCAAGAGCCCCCCAAAATGTCGTAATAGTAATCGTCGTCAAGTCCCTCTCGAGATGGGACTTTTGGGGCTTCTCCAGTGAAAGCCGCATCGTCGAAACGAATGTTCAATAAGCGAATCTTTAGTCCATAGTTGCTGATAAGGTTGATGAGCTTGTTTGTTTCCGACGTGATCGGTTGCTGATTGAGCAGCATGAGCAGACCGTCAAGCCATTCAGATGCAATGCTGTGTGTCTGCGGCCGGAGAGTCAGCAAGACGCTTTCTTTCTGCGTGGCCTTGCTGGCTGATCGAGCATGGCTCGGATTCTTGGCGTAATTAGAGGGTTCCGAGGCAGCTGATGGAGTGTATCCATGGATGACTATCTTTGTCGAAGTCGAATGATGCGGAGCAGTCTTAACTGTAGACATCGAAGAATCGTCCGGTGATGCTGAGACATTGGAGACTACCGATGAGACGATTGACAAATCGACTGCATGACAGCCAGGAAAAGTTAAACTAAAGTGACTGGGGCAGGTAGGATTCAAACGACGAGGGATGCACTTACTCTTTTCTGGTAGAACATCTAATTCTGGTAGTCCTGGGCCGATCGAGTCAAAGTCGCCGAAGTGTAGATACCGGCGATTGTGCGATAGCTGCACATATTTATAAGATGTAGGAGGGTTCTTCGACGAAGGCCCGCCTTCTGACTTGTGACTCTGTTCATTGGGAAACCAAGCCCCTTGCAACAAGCACCGGATGCGCTGTTCCTTGACAAATTGAAGAGACTCGTGGTTCAATTCATCCCGTACTTGCTGTAGATGTTGGCCCCATACATCTTCATAGGTAAGCTCTAAAAGTTCCATTTGCAGTTCACGAAGCCGATTATATTCAAAATCAGCCAGTTCTTCTTCAACATCCTGCACATCCTTTGTGCGAGGGGCTCCCCCGACCACAGATTCAATTAGGATGCGAACTAGTTCCACGATCTTCCCAAAGTCTTCGACCTGTGCACCTGTCGCCTTCCAAAGTCGGAAAAATGCATGCAGTCCCGCAACATGCAGACGCGTCCAGTGCAAAAGTAAAGGCTTAAATAGCTTATCCAAATTGGAGCGTGACTCTAGGACAAGATAGCTCTTGGAGTCTTCTATATCGGATTTGTCAACTTCAAAATGTTCGTAAAGGATTGACGTTACCGCCAGAGAAGCGCGCGCAATTGGACACCGCTCTTCTTCGAGTTTTGCAGACTGTTCGAGTAGCATTTTCTGGAACTCGTCTTGATGGCTCCTCACGTAATCAGATAGGTCCATCATTCCCAAGAAGCCCATTTCATGAAAGTCAGACACCGGGCTTTCCGTCGAGAACCCCAAGCGTCGCCATTTTTCCGGAGAGTGTCTTCTTGAACCCTTGGTGTCATCACTCACATCTCCCTCGCCTTTGACTGTGTTGCTAGCAACGTGAATTCCCTTCAGGGCACGTCTATGCTCTGGCTTTTCAATGTCAAGAGCGACATCTCTCCATTTCCTTAGAAGGATTTTCGTCAGGAATTGAAATTCAATGAGAGGGTGGGCATGATCTTGCAAGGCTGATCCTTGCATGAGAGTGTAAACTGCCCGGATAACACCCAAGTCCTGTAGCTTGTGGACAAATCGCGGCCATTCTAGATCCGAGTCATGGGTTATGGAGTCCCGCATGAGAGAGTTAATTAATTGAAGTGCATTGGCGCAGAGGGCATGGTCGGCCGATGAAAGCCTAGTCACCAGCATTTCCAGAAACTGGGGATATATTGCGATCGCAGGCTTCAATGCTCGGAACCCGAACAGGCCATGTTGCGAACCCCGGCCATCAGCGCAAGGATGCGATACGATTGATACAAGGATAGACATGGCGCCACGGAGGATATTCACGAGGGGGTGTGTGACAATCAGTTCGACAATCTAGAGAGTAACAATAATGACAGTCATTAGTGAAAGTGCAGATGTATAACCCCCTCAGGGATGAGGGGGGAAAGATTCCAGAATCCCACATACTCTTTCTACAAGCTCCTCATCGACAAATTCCCACCCTTTATCAACCTCCAGCAATCTGGCAAAGCTCGTGAGGCTATATGCCAATGTATTTCCGCTCGCATGTAATGTCAAGTAACAAAGCTTCTGCAGTCCGCCCTCCACAATGAAGATGTCTGCAAAAGAAGGGTCTGCGATGCTGCCTTGAAGTTTGAAGACAGCCATCTTGCGCAACGCCTCATCGTCGCTCCCCAATCGCTCCACCAGTTCGGAGATATTAGTGTTATCCATGGCCGCTGTGTTCTGGATATAACTGGGTGATCAAGTGATAAATATAGGCTCAAGTAGAACAGACTGCCTGGTGGCTGCCTTTGATCTGCTGGACATGGAAAAAGGACATGAAGAAAAACTAATAGATAAGGGTTTAAGGGGGGTCAATGACGGTACAGGGTCCTCCACAGCATCCATACATGTAGCTGCTAACAACTCCATTTGGCATTGGATGCTACCAGACCGTACGGCGGATGGACTACGGAGTACTAACACACACTAGCTAGTTAGGTACTAGTCGCTCTGTGGTAGGCAGTCCCAGATATCCACCAGCGTATAGTGGTGTGTTAACCTGATCAGGCTAGCTCCTACGGTAAGCCATTACAACCAAGTCGTCGTCCAAGGAGACAACTATTTACTATTGACTTGTAGAGTATCATGGTAAGTAATCATAGGCCGGTACTTTAGTCTATCTTTGATATTTCTAGGAAGTAGGAATCAACTGCGTTGAATCGAGTTTCCATAAATCCAATCGTGAATCATTTCTTTCATCTCTGTATGCCTGGCTAGAGAGGCCTACCTATGAAAGGCTAATTATATGTTATCAACCGGTCATCACTTCGTGGTCCTGTTGTCATTAAGAGATTCTCAGTCTTTAACCACAAGGCTTTGAAATTGATGTGGTATATAAATATCTTATCATTGCCATCCAACATTCCATATCACATGTGCAATGTCCCTGGCAGTGTTGATGGTATCCATGAGCCTACTAAAAATGGTGTCGTTAGTGGTTACTTCCTCATGGCACAGCAAGGATGGGTCGGGTAATGCCGAGCAATATTGTTCGTCCGGGTTTGATGCTGTTTGGGTTGTTGGACTAGGATCTGTCGGTGCATCCTCGAAAAAGTACTCTTTGCATTGCCAATTATAATCCGAACTATTGCCATTTTCATACTCAGGTGGCGAGCTCGAAAGTGCCTTGGAAGACCAAATCGATTCCGCCGAGGGGGAAAGCGATGACCGGGGTGCGGAGTCTTGGAATACCCAGGGATTCAACATCGGGTTGGAAGGAATGTCTGGTGTGTCTCCGCGATATTTGAGAGTTGTTGGAGGAAGAGGTGCAATTATCTTACTGTCCGTACTGAAGCTGCCACGAGGCGTACTTCGATTGCTGATAGAAGTCCCGGCCGAGAAAGGCCATCTTGTAACAGGAGTGTCATCGCCAGAAAAGAGATCCTCTTCGTCTTCGAATAGGAAAAAGGGGTCTTGATCATCTTCATCTTCCATATCTTTCGCCTCCACAGCTATACATTGCACCACTTCATTATTGAAATGGATGTGACGACGCTTTTCGCTTGGAGAGGTGGCACTTAGGGAGGAGGTGTGGGTAGCAATGCTATCACAAGACCCCGGAGTAGAGTCTGTTCTCAGATGGTGTAAAGATTGCCCCGCGCTAGACGCTGATTTAGGAATCGACGGAAGACCATAAGGGTTCTCGAACTCTTGCGCCCGGAGAATAGCACCTGCATCTTTTAAAAGAGTGTGCTGTGATAGAGAACGCTGCAATATCGTTTCCGATGCACTCTTCTTTTTCAGTATAGGCTTTCTTTCAACCGGAGACATCGGAGTATCTAGGCAAGTTGGCGGAGGGGATACGGTATAGTTATCGTGCGCCTTATAGGTTTTGAGAGGTCCATATAACCACGTAACATCGCAGTCCTTCAGCCTGTGACACAAGGAAGAAACATTAGTATTTATTTCCAGACGTCTTGAAGGAACCGGGGGATATTACATACCAATTGAGGGTTTCTGGTGAAATTGTCCGCAAGTTATTCTTCGACTTGGCCCACGTCCTCCACGATGCATTTTCTAACCGTGCGCTGTTACTATATATATTCCGTCGGGCGGTCACATAACGCCATGATAACCAGATATCCTCTTCATTCCATTCATGAGAGAGGTAGTCAACATGTCTTGACGGCTCTGCCTCAGCAGATGAATCATCAGCGGCTGGGGTGTGGAGGCCGAGACGGAAGAAATTGAATGGAGGTCTATCAGATGAAACCCCCAACAGGCTTGAGCTTTCTCTGCCAGCGCTCATGACTGAGGCGCTGATGGTATAGTCAGGGAGAACGAGCTTGTCATCTTCACAGTCATTATTCTCACCCAGAGAAAGAGGGTGTAATGTTGTAGGTGTACTGGGCAGAGATTCAGGTGAGGAGAAGACTGGCGAATGGGGAACGGAGGTGAAGTCATGCATATGTGGTTCCCTTGTCAGAAGAAAGTCATGGGCGGGGGAGCATTGCCAGCGGATTGACGAGGATCGAGATTGCGCGTCAAGAAGAGTAGTGGGCATTGCGATTATATCCACTTTCAGATTGGCTGGCAGTTCCTAGGAATCAATAAAGCACTTATGATCGTCATCTATATTGTGTTCTGTTTTAGAATCATAGAAATTGTCCTAGTATATAAGGTCCACTTAGTTACACAGTACTAAAATATCTAAATGAAGGGGGTAGAGAGAAGTAAACTAACATGGTAGATAAGCAGCAGAACTTCACATCAATCTATAAGACTTATTCAATCTATAAGACTTATAAGATTAGTAAATCAAGGCTAATATGGTATTAAGATTGGGAATATTCATGATATAAGGAAGCCGGGAAATGCATGGGACTAGTAGAAATCACTGATAATAACCAAGTAAAGTAGTAGTCTTACACTTGAGAGATAACAATGCAGGCTTTATAGGTGGGTACCCTGTTACACTTTAATGTAACCAGCTAGTGGCAACTAATAGCACTAATATAAGATCTTTATTAAAAGCATATTATATAACCTGTTATTATAAATTTTGGTAATATTATTATTTCTCCATCAAGCTCATAGCTTAATGTGGAGAGATTATGAATCAAGGCTATACTACTAAGGTATCCTGCTAGAGCCAAAATCAGCAATAGCAATGTATTGGGGAAGGTATGTGGGGGGAGGGGCCTAGAGCTGGCAGAAGCTGCAGACTGCTAGCTAAGTAAGTCATAACTCTATATCTACTCTGTTGCGACTCTGTTGCTACTACCTATACTACCTGCCTCCTACCTGTTAGGTCGATAGTTAACCAGGGTACACAGTAGGGCTTATATCATTAGTGATTCATAACTGAATCACATCTACGCATTGCTTCACAGTCGGAGGCGAGGCCAATTTCTACGGAGTAGACCTGCGAGTAGCCGGCCCTTTGCCATTTGCTAATGAAACGAGGCTCGAGCGCTCGATGGTTTGGTGAGCCAGGGATCATTTTCGTAAAGGAGAGGGGCTAGAAAGCAGAAACGTTGGAGGGGTACCAGGAAGTTTTCGCGTTCGGTAGCATTGTCCGATAACCATCCAAGTCGTGGTTGGTTGCCAGGTTTAAAATAGAAAAAAAAAAACGGAATGCAATTCATCATTGACCCTCAGGAAGAGCCTAGATTTAGCTATATGTGTGTACTCCGTAGTTTGTTTAGTAGTAGGTAGATTTGAGGGGTCAATCAACATCACTTTAGATGCAAATCATCTTCGGCCCCTCCAGCACTACTAACTGCGGTGGTGGGCCTGAGCTGCCACGACTCAACCGCCACCAAAATACCACCAATATCCTATACGCACCAACCCGATTTTCATACCCTGCTGTTTGTATCAGAATCAAGATGGCGGCAGTGGCGGAAGCTGTTCCTATGGAGTCCCAGGCAAGGCATATTGTCTACTGTGATGGTGAGTTGTCGTTTGGTCTTCAGCTTGAGAGGCATCGCTAACTCTACTGCTATTTTCAGTATGCACATTGCCGCCCGAGGTATGACCATGAATCTCTTCCTCCCTCCCCACCCACAGAAATCAGATTCTCTCGAGCTGCTACGCCAAGCGGAAATTTGTCCAGACCTGGAGGGGGCAGATACTGCGATTGCATTCAGACCACTGATTTCTTTCAGACCAAGCTGACCCGGTTATTCTCAGTACTGCGAGTTCGGGGGGCATTCCAAGAAGTGTGAAGAATGGCTCAAAGACAACCACCCAGACTTACATGCACAATTGTATTCCGAGGGTAGGGACTGTCATTACACCATCAACATATACCGATGAAGGCATGGCTAATATAGACAACGAAATCGTCCTACAGAAGCCCTCAATGCAAACCTTTCAAATCTCTCTGTATCTGTTCGTGAGCGTGCAGCCAAGGATGCTGCAAAGAAAGAGGCAAAAGCGGCCCTGGCCGACCAACGCGAGGCCGAACGAAAAGCATCTTCAAAAATCCAGATCAAGCGTGTCGAACGCAACAAGCGTAAATACGTAACAGTTGTCGCCGGCCTACCGGTATACGGGTTGGATAATAAAAAGGTGGCTAAGGATCTGGGAAAGAAGTTCGCTACCGGCTCGTCAGTGACGAGAGCACCTGGCGGGGTAGAGGAGATCACAGTGCAAGGCGATGTCAGCGATGAGATCATGGAGTGGTTACTGGAGGTTCATGGCAATGAAATCCCGGAAGGCAATATCGAGCTGATCGAAGACAAGAAGAAAAAGAAAGAAGCTGCCTGATGAAAGTCATGAGGATATGAAAGCTAACGTGCATTCTGAGCTAGAATTTATTTAAGATTGGCAGCTGCAGGAGAGATTAAATTACATTACTTGAGAGAGATTATCTAAATAGTACCGATTCTTCCAATAAGAACGAATCCACCATTGATGATAGAGTCCTGTTCAATCAGCCGGAGGGCCTCTACGGACCTGTGATAGTTCTTCCAAGATCTTCAGCGGATCCCTATTAGCATGTGAAGTAGAGGTGGGCCAGTCTGTCGCCATGCCAGCTGAAAGAACGGACGGTTGGCCATCTGACAGATATAGTGTATCGTCTGTGGGATGCGATCCACTGGGAGACAATGACTTTGCATTTTGTACATTGCTTGATTCGTGGTATATAGGGCGTGCCAGTCGTTTCAAGTTTATTCGCAACCCGGGGTCAGTAACGGACCAATTCTGAATGAGAACGGCCACCACGACTATCAAAGCTGCAGATGTCACGATTCCCCAGAAGAATCGTAATCTTCGCCCAACCCGAGCTTGCCATTCAATTTCTCTGTTTTCCCAGTTTGTAATCTCGTTCCGGACAGCGTCAAGTCTGTTGCCCAGATCTTTGACTCTTCTTCTGCCAGCTTTCATTCGTTCCTCCAGAGCCTCTATCTTCTGAGTCTGTGCCTCGAATCCTTCAAGCTTCTTGACTTGGCGATGTATTTCAGAGTCCAGGCTTGTGATCTCACGTTCGAAATCACGGCAAAGAGCCGAGATCGAATGCGAGAGCTCATGTAGTGATTCGATGGTAGAATTGAGTGCCGCAACCCTTTCCAGCAAGGTATAATAAGTATAGTCTAAGCGGCGGGTAATGTCAGTGGCAAGCGTTCCGATTGATACGAGCGCGTCTCTTAGGTATCTGATACTGTCAACTTGGACCGAAGGGTTCACGATGTTTGGACAATAGGCACGTACTCTTCGCCTTGTATCCGTGATTTTTTGACCTGCTTCAAATCTGATTTCGAAAGGGGCTCCGATCGTCTCGCAGGACTCGAATTCTCGCTCAGCTCGATGTCGTTCCAGACACTGTTCTTTCGATGCCTGGAGCCTGTACGGCTGGTAGAAACCGAGCCAAAGCGCGAGCGTATTGTGTCCCGAGTGCCGGGCCTCAAAAGGGCGTTGTACTCATCATGGTCTTTGATCTTGCTGTCCGGCCGAGTTGGGAGGAAGCCCCGAGAACTAGAGGAGGTGGTTTGATGCATCGCAGGTTTAGTGCATGTTTTACTTTGTTTCGGCGGGTTGCAGCTAGTAGTGATACCATATAGTATATATCAGTAAAAAAGGATAGATTTCAAGGTATGAGAAAAGTCATAAGTGATTAGGGACATATTAAAACGCGTTCCTTTGCATTTGAGGTCTAAATAGTTTGGTAGATTAGTGCTAGATAGCTGATAGATAGGTAAATAGGTACTCACTGATATGCTCCAGGGCCATCCGCCTTTGGCATAGCGCCATTCTTCATAATAATTTTCTTGTTACAGAGCAGTCCATTTACACAGCTAACCATTATTAATGCTCTATATTATTAAAAGAGGATTGACTAGGGGCAAAAGCTTCTTACTGCTTTGAAAGCACTATATGACAGTCTGCTTTAGGTATACCTTTTCTATAAAAACAGATATGATCATATTTGACTATTGACATTTTTCATCATACCTGATCTTTTTGATCAACGCACACCAAACGCCTATTCCATGAATGATTCCAAATGCGCAGAAGACTGCTCTGGAGTGGTATATACCGAACCTAAAGGGAAAATCCCAAGCCTCTGGACCCCAACACATTGTATACTCTTAAATCGGCGAAAACATAGACAAGAAAATCCGGACACGCTCTGTCTATTATGAGTTGAGCAACTTGTTACGCTTCTCTTTTCGTTTCAGTCGCTCAACCCGCTTATGGTGCATCTTTTCTGCCATTTTCTGGTATCGCTCCTTCTCTTCCTTGGCAGCCTTCCGGTCCTTGATCTTCTGGATTAAAGCCTGGGTAGAAAAGAAAACATAAGTAAATGCAACCAACCCAATGTAGTGCGCAAATAGATCTGGCAATTACCTTTCGCTCGGCCTCCTTTTCCTCCTTCAGCTCCCGCTCGTGATCTTTAATAATCTCCAGTTGTTTGCGGGCCTCGAGTCGCTTTGCATATGAAGTCAAACCAGCAGTAGGACGAAAGGCTTTCTTAGGCGTCTGCCATTTTTTGCCTAAAACCATACCGAGAAGAGTCAGCCAGAAAACCCAGTCGCCAAGGACTGTTCGGGGGTTCTTTTTCACATACCGTTTTTCCTCATGCCTGCTTGAGGCACTGTGGATGCAACAGGCTGAGTCGATGGAGGTGTGGGCGTCGACATGGTCAAATGGCTGAGCTGCAGTGCGGAGCCAGCGACGAAAAAAAGCGTCGTGGAGCCTGGACCAGAAGACGGTCCTGCCAAACGAGGTAGACTAATTATCTTAGTCCCATCAGATAAGCGGATCTCGGTGAAAATTGCAACCGGGTACCCCACTGTTGCAGTGACAAATCCCGAAAATGATCACCAGCCAAGGCTCGCCGACTCTTCAGCGAGCACGCTTAACCTTAGTTCCAAGTTCCAACCTCGTGTAGCCCGATTGCATACGCCATCGGGCTGGAATGCGCGCTTTTTTTTTTCGGGTTCTGCAACGGTTTACCCCTCTTCTTCACACCCAGGGGTAATAAATGTTTGGGGGCCTGGCCTGGTTGGGCTTAGCGTCGCCTGGCAGTCATCACCATCACCTTTCCTGCGCCTGCATGCTCGCCTAGAGACACATCTCAGACATTACTATTCTCCTCCACATCCGGGCTTCCGGGCTCTTTGCCCATAAATAAATCCCGCGTGGCCGCGCCGCCCGAGGATACCCATACGCACCCACCTACCCTCTCTTTCTTCAGACCTTGTCCTTTGTGCTTGTGCTTCACCGTCAATCCGACGCCTTTCCCCCCTCTCCCATATTGATGGCGGCCCTCGATCATGCTATAACACTTAGCGATGAAAGGCCAATGGACCTTCCATCTATTCCTTCTAATCAAGGCACCGAGGCCTTCAAAGACATTGTCTTTGGATCAGTGAGGACATCTTTCCCACGCTATGCCATTTCAGTCCATGTCTGACTTGATATCTCTTCCCTGCTAGGCCGCCGGAATGGCCGGAAAGCTGATCGAATACCCTTTCGACACGGTGAAGGTTCGATTACAGTCACAGCCAGATCACCTTCCTCTTCGATATCGGGGGCCATTGGATTGCCTTCGGCAGTCTCTCCAAGCCGACGGCATCGGCGGTCTTTATCGGGGGATCAGTGCTCCCCTAACTGGAGCCGCGGTCGAAACAAGCAGCCTATTTTTCAGCTATCGCCTTCTTCAAGACGTGCTGAAAGCTTCTGTTTATTCGCCTCTGGAACCATTGCCCTTCTCTGCACTCTTGGCATGTGGTGCTGCGTCTGGGTCGTTCACCTCACTTCTCCTCACTCCCATCGAACTCATAAAATGCAAGATGCAAGTCCCGGTCGAGTTTACGGGCCAGCCACGCCCTGGCGCCCTGGCGCTTATCGTTTCTGTCTTCCGGCATGATGGTCTGCTTGGGTTCTGGCGGGGCCAGATGGGTACTTTCATCCGTGAGACAGGCGGTGGCGCAGCCTGGTTTGGAGGGTATGAAGGCGTCTCTGCTCTCTTCCGCAAGTACTCGGCTTCGTCGGCGCAAGATGGGCTGGAACAGGAAGCACTCCCAATCTATCAAAGAATGATTGCCGGTGCTGCCGCTGGAGTCAGCTACAACTTCCTGTTCTACCCGGCAGACACAATCAAGTCTCGCATGCAGACCGAGGACATTCTCCTTACCGCCGCTCGTGGACAGCGCCAGACTTTCTGGATGGTGGCAAGGTCCTTATGGAGACAACAAGGCCTGAAAGGACTATATCGAGGATGCGGCATTACCGTCGCACGGTCTGCGCCCAGCTCTGCTTTCATCTTCTCCATCTATGAATCACTACGACAATATTTTGGATGAAAAAAAAAAAATCGCTATCGGTTCGGATCTAGAATTCCCACCTACCCCTTCTTCCAGTTGATATAGACCATTTTCTCGTTGATACCTTGATCTGTTTTTCGATATGACTTGTTGCCTTGCTGCGATGGATATGACGTCTTGCTTCTTTTCATTTTCCCACACTAGCGTTTTTCCTATGCTTCAAATTTTCTATGAGGATATAAAAAAGATACTGGATAGAGAGAGATACATATATGATTTTCTTTACATTACATAACTGATGCATAATAGTAAGAGATGATGTAGCCATAGTGGGGAGTCTCTTAATACAGATTAGTCACTCTGTCATCTATTCACATTCCGCGAAGTTGAGATGAGATATACAACCAAAACCACAACACTTTTGCACTTGATACCGTGCTATTGACAAGAAACCATAATCATCAATGGCTCCGACAGCCCCGGATTCCCTCTCAGCCCAGGAGGTTGCCACACTATCAACCAAAGCCATTGCCGCCAAAGCCACGGCGTACTGTAAGTTGCATCAATAACATTCAACCCTACTCTACAATATGCAAGTTATCTTACACCAGCCAGGCCCTTACTCTAAATTCCGTGTCGGGGCATGCATCCTCACACAAACGGGGGAGTACATCTCTGGCGCGAATGTAGAGAACGCCGCCTACCCCGTAGGCACCTGCGCAGAGAGGGTTGCCTTTGGGACCGCAATAGTAAAATTGAATTCCATTTTTTTTTTCAAAAAGAAGAAAAAAAGAGTTCTATTAAAAGTATCGAGCTGATGCAGGTAATCTAGGTCGCCGGCCACAAAGAATTCAAGGCCATCGCTGTCGCAACGGATATCAAGCCTGCTGCATCGCCCTGTGGGATGTGTAGACAGTTGTACGTCCCTCATACCCTGGATATAGCTGGCTAAGAACTGTATATCTTCTTTTTTCCATATCTTACTGATACCAATAGCATGCGGGAATTTACCGCCCCCTCTTTCCCAGTCTACATGTTTGACGCTGACGGCGACTACACCGTCAAAACAATGGGCGAGGTAGTTATCTAACCATCCCCCCCCCTCTCTCATGATGATGATAGAATGAGTCTACTAAGCTTTCCCTAGCTTCTTCCTGATTCCTTTGGACCGGGCGACCTGGCGGGATAGTCTGCAATCCAGCTCAGAGTAATGTTCCTCTTCAAGGGGAAATGTAATGGAGGAGAATAGAAGTTTTGATTTGAGTGTCTTAACTATATGCTACATAGTTGGCAGGCTGACTCGCTTAAATTCCACTCTATCTATTCAAACATTGAGAATACACCAAAGGAAAGATTTATGCCGGAAAACCTCAAAAAAACAAGACACATCAGGTAGCCATGATTGTGATGACCGACCACCTGTGAGAAATCCAGATATAGCAAAGCAGCGACAGTAGCTCATGTGTCGAAAGACGACACTCAGCCCCCAAATAATCGCAGTGAGAAGGTCATAAGCTCATAATATACCAAATGGGAAAGAGAGAAGCGCTCCTCGCGTGTGAGTTATACCTCATCCTCGTCATCCTCCAAGTCATCCGCACCCAGCAGTTCATCCTCGTCATCCACCACGCTGGTGTAGTCGCCTCTGCGAGCGGCAAACGATCTGCGTGAGGCGTACGGCCGTGCGTAGCCCCGATCGCGTCCGATGTGCAGATACCCACTGGCACTGCGCCACAGGCTGACGACTAAAAGGGGCAGGGCCTGGGCGACGGCCACAACTCCTGCAATTATCACGACGGGGACGGCCACGAACGGTGAGTCCCGGGACAGCAGGCCTCCCGTGGCAACCCCGACGTTTTCGCCCAGCCGGATCTGGCCGAACTTGCCGTCCCAGCGGGTGTAGGCCCAGTAGCCCACCGCGCCGGCCACGGCGACAGGGATTACGATGGCGAAGAAGAGGCCCACGCCACTGATGCCGTGCTTCTCCTCATACTCCTGCTCGTGGTCTGGACAGGGCCGCGAAACGATCCGGTCAAGGGCCAACCCGCCTTGACAGGTGGTCAGTGGAATGCGACGGTAGCCCGTGGGCTCCCAGTATTCGATCTGGTCCGGGTTGCTCTTGCAGACGGCCATGGCGTTGGGCTTGGGGAGGCCCGGAACAAGGGCACAGCTACCATCAGATTGAGGTTCGTAGTTGTAATCACTGAAGAGTGTTAGTAAGAAGGCCAACGACGGAAGAAAAAACGGAAGGTAAAAAAAAGGGGCGTTGAAGAAATACCATTCATAATCCGCCCTGGTACAGGTGCAGTTCATGCCGATGCTGTGAACATGAGGCTCTCTCCAATCATTCCAACACTCTGCGGTTGGTTTTCGGCGGTGATACTGCTCGATATGGCCGAACAGACAGTTGTTATCCTGCAAGGGATGCCTGGGTTTCCAAAGATAGTAGTCCTCATTCTCCCCGAGGTCCTCGTTGAGCTGGCATGATTTGTCTCGTAGCCCGCTGAAATCCAGACTGACGGTGCTGAGCTTGTTGGAGCGGTCCGAGTCGACTTCCCTTCCCCAAAGCAGAAACTTCTTGGAGGTATCTGACGGCAGCGTGCTGATATCCGTGATCTCCATCTGTACGTCCGAGAACTGGAATTCCGTCCAGCTGTCCCCCTCATTGGTGCTGTAGAACAGGGACTTGGTTGGCGTTGAGTCCGGGACAATCACGATGACTGAGCCTGCATCCCCGTACTCCCACATATACCGGCCCTTCTTCACTGCCTTCCATGTGATGCCGCCGTCACGCGTCAGAAACGTGTCCGCGTCGTCCATGTTAGCTGAGAGATATTCGCCTACGTTGCCGACACCCATCATCAGACCGATCGCTGATCCAGACGAGTACGTGTCTCGTGGATCTCGACGCTCGGTGTAGCCATGGAGATGCAGGGCACACTTGTCGGTGGGCTTATTGTCCTTGACCGAACAACCAAAGTTCTTGTTGTTGGCATCCTTGGCCGGCGGCGGCAGGAGAGCCCACTGAGCGCCATCGTTGTGGGTGATCATGGTTTTCAGTTTCTTCTGATTGGCCTTGCCACTCTCGATGGCCACCAGATTGCCGACGGTATTGACCACCGCGACGCCCTCGAGGCCCTGCATCTTCTCAAAGTCGACATACCCAAGATCGTTCCGGTTGACCCCGTTGAGACTGAGCACGTACGAGGTGCCGTTGCTGTTGCTCTTAACCAGGGAGCCATACGCCGTGTTGGCCGCATTGTTGACTGTCACGTGAAGGAAGACCGCGTGGGTCGAGCTGTCGAGCACCGTATACGCCTTCTGAACGGGGACCTGCAGGTTGGCAGGGAACTCGGCGGCTGCGAAGACGGAGCCGTCGACGCTGGTGCTGGCTTTCAGGGACTCCCTATTGTCCTTGTCCCGCGCGGCCACGACAATGAACTCGGCCATCGAGGCAAAGTCAATGACGTCCTTGAAATGTACGTCGCTCTCTGTGAACCACGACTTGCTCGACAGCAGCTGCAGAGGGTTTTTCTGATTCTCATTTTCGAACTGCTCGCAGAACACGAGGTCTGCGCTATCGACTCGATCCTCGCGATACACAAACTCGCACTTCCGGACATAGCGAAGGAGCAGTTCCCATGATTCCCCCCGATTCTTGGAGATCCACGCATTCGAATGACATTGCGCGGTATTGCAGTCGACAGCCCCGGTCCAGATAAGCCAGTCTTTGTATTTCGGATGGAAGATGAGGACTGGTAGTTGCTCCTGGTTCGGGAGCGCGGGTGTTTCAAAGGACTTGAGAGGACTCTGCACACGATCGACCGTCCAGTAGCCCTTCTTCCCGTCCGTCAGGAAGAATGCCCCGTCGCTGTAGTACGGGTGCGGGATCACCTGGACAATCTTCTCGCCCTTGACCGGCTGTTGCCAGGTCTCGCCGTGGTCATGGCTGACGTAGAGCTCGTCGTTGCGTGTCCGCATCAGAATAGTCTCGTCGGTACCGGAGCTACTGGCCTGGCGCTCCAAATAGTAATACTCGTCGTACGTGCTGGCAGAGTCGAAGAATTGTTTGGATGTGCTGACTGGCCCATCCGCAGAGGGCTGGCCACCACCCGTGGTGTCACCGCACGGACGCTTGACATTGTCATCCAGTTTCTCACCGCCATCACGCTGACAGGCATTGCCAGGGATCAATCGCCAGCCAGACGGGCCCATGTAGGTGTCATCTGGGTTGCGACACTGACCTTCTGGCGCGGCCAACGCCACAGCCGGGACACAGCTCTTTCTATCCTCGCTGCGGACAAAGTTGTAGTCACACTCAAAGTCGTCCGCAGTACACTTGCATGGCTCGAAGATGGGGTCTGGATTCTTGAACTCCTCGTCGATAAAGCAGTCCGCATTGGCCTTTCGGCGCCGGTAGTATTGTTTGTGGCCCATGAGACAGTCGGGCTCACCCTTCTCGTCCAGACGGGCCGGCCACTTTTCGAAATCATCCTTCTCACATTTCCGCTCATGCAGGCCGTTGAAGTCGATGGAGTAAATGCTGACGGTGTCCTGACTATTGTCGTTGCTCGTAGAGCCCACCAGCAGGAACTTGAGACTCGTCGAATCAGGCGTCGTGGTGAGCAGCCGGGGGTAGATCTTCTGGGGCAATTCGGCCGTCTCCCATTCTTTGCCATGGTCGATGGAATAGCGTATCTTGTCCGTCTTGCCGTCGTCCTCTACCGCAATGATGACAGCCCCCTGGTCGCCGAATTCGTACTTGTGAGAGCCATCCAGGGCTTTCCGCCAAGTCACGCCAGCATCATCTGACACAAAGAGGTCCCCCTTCAGGTAGTCCTCCAGATGGCTGCCGGTGTTGCCGACACCCATGACGAGGCCTGGAGCAGGGCTCGAAAATACCCGGCCGACATTGGCGAATGCTGTTACGGAATGTAGGTTTAGTTTCTTGTCTCCCATCGTCAGGGGCTGGAACGTCCGGCCGTCGTCAAAACTGATCCGGCTGACAACCTTCTTGGGCTCACGGCTGTCCTTCTCTACGGCCTCCCAGTTATCCACGGCGTTAACCAGGACGATGCCCTGGATATTGGCGATCTTCTCAAAGTCAACCAGCCCCATGGGATTACGGTTGGTGTGCTCGATGTTGCGGGTGAAATAGGTGCCGTTGGAGTTGGAGGTGAACAGGACGCCCATACCCTTGTCCCTGCCCGTCGTTAGGACATCCACCTGGATACTATAGTTCGTGCTTTCCAGAATCGTGTAGGCATCTTCTTCCAGTCGGTGGTTGCCGAACTCGGCACGATGCCAGACCCGGGCATCGTCGGAAACGTAGAGGGCAAGCTCGTCTGTGCCCTGAGAGCGGGCTGCAACGAGGAGGAACTTCTTGACTGCTGCAGTGTTGAGAATGCCGCTGACAGGGCGGCCGGCCTGCAGCTTGACCTCCACGCCATCTTCGTCGCCATCTTTACCAAAGAAGCTATCCGAGTACACCAAGCGGCTTCCGCCTCCGAACAAGGGCTTCAACCCGGGTACGATGCACAGCACTCGGTTCCCGATCTCCGCGGCGACCCCGAGATCCTTGGCGAACTCCGGGCTACCGACCGCCCAGGAACAGGCGAAGATTCCGTCGCGGAGCGGGGCCACCGTTTTGAAGTCGTCGACCGTGTAGTAACTAGTCTCCTTGCAGTGGAAGCCGGCGCACTGCTCGCCCTGTATGATAACCTTGCTCGAGTCCCACCCGTGGAAGGACATGGGGAGGTGGATCATGGACGGAATCATGTCAATCTTGAACGAGGTCCAGGTCTTCGCCTGGTCAGTGGTGATCCAGTGCGTGCCGGCTTCCCCGAGGATGTAGGCCTTGTTCCTATCATACGGATGCTGCCACAGGTTGAACGCCTTGATGTTGTCGCCGCCGTCCGGGGTTTTGACGACAGCCCAGGTCTCGCCCGCATCAAAGGAGCATCGCACATGCCTCGTGATGGATTCAATGTACAGGACATTGTCTGAGTCTTCGAAATAGAATAGATTGTTTGGGTCATGGTCGAGCTTGGTCTCCGTGATCCGCGGGCCTCCGGACTTCTTCGCAGCACCAGGCTGCGAGAGAAGCGCCAGAAGCAGGACGCTTATTAGCAGAAGCCACCGAGGAATCATGGTAGCCGAATTTGCACCAACATTGGTCAGTACGAGGAGTTATATTGAGAGCCTCGAAGGCTGCTGAGGACTTGGGAAGGGCTATGGCGCGTGCGGGTGTTGTGAGATCAGCGCCCCGGGAGAGACACGGGGCGAATCGAAACAAAAAAGAGCTAATTCACTGGCTGTGGTTCGTCAGGAAAAACAACGGAAAAGAACATATATATGAGCCATGAGCCTTAAGCGTAAGAAACACCCACTGGAAGGAAGATGGGAAGATGGTTGCGTTTGAGCTCACGACAGCTGCGTGGCCTAAGCTCGAGTCACGTGAAAGAGCTACATACTTCGGGTGGCAGCTGCCTGGGCACCAACTGGAATTGTGTAACGACGAGTGTTTCTGGGTTTGAACGGGTTTACTTTGATGGCTACTTCTGTTATGAAGTGTTCGAACTCTCCTAGTGGATGGATTTGAGGTTATAGGTCATACTATAGAATATCGATACTTCCCGACGAACCTCACCTGCGAGGCTCGCTACAGGAAAGAACTTTGAGAGACTACCTGATAAATGCTATGAATGCAGTCGAACCTCCATGACTGCAGCGCTAATTTCAAGAGAGAAAGAGAGAGAAAGAGAGAGAGAGAGAAGGGAGTTGTGGGCTGTCGATGACACCAGGCATGTCAACCACTCAAGTGAACTGGAATGTGCAAAGAGGGAATTAAAAATAAACATGAAAAATGCCATGTGGCGGGAAAGAAGCAATAAAATATGTAATGAGAATGGTGGTTGCAATCGAGAGATATTCATGAATCATGCAGAGAGAAGCAAAAAAACCAAAAAAAAAAAACCAATATAACAAGACCGGAACGGACATCGGTCAGATCTTGCGTTTCCGCAACTTGCGCCACACCTTCTTCATCAACCCGGAATCGGATAGGTCTGGGTTCCAGATGTGTGGTACGCAGTCGGCCGGGGGCAGCTCGGCCAGCCGTAAGGGATCGTTCGTCTGCAGCGACGGGGACGAGGAAGGGGACGGGGAGGAAGACTCGGTGCGGAGGTCCGGGCGTGTGAGGGTCATCTTCAGGGTCATCTCCCGATTCATGGGCCAGAGAGGCGACGGGTTCTGTTTCGGCGATGAGACAGGAAGCCAGGATTGCGGCCGGGAGTCGGTGTATGTGGTTGGGGTCCCCGCGGGACTCCACCACTGTGACTCGCGCAAGGCTCCGGACTGCCGTCGACTCTCGGCATCCCTTTGATCACCGAAAAGGGACAAGCTGTCGCCATCGGCGTCATCGTCGAAGAACGTGCCGGCGAAGACGGAAGCCCGGCGAGGCCGGAGAGCGTCTTTCGAGGCACGTTTGGACGGCTTTCCTGGATGGCGCGAGTCCTTGACAGCGTCCAATGCGGGGAAGCCGAACTCGAGAGCCTCATCAAACTTTTGCGGCGAGGCCAGATAAACGCGGAGCTTCAGACGAGCTTCCGGGTCCTGGTAGTACTGCGCAGCCGGGTCGATGCTCGAGGTAGAGGCACGCGGACTGTGCTGTTGGTGGTGGTGGAAGGACAGCCGTTGCTGCTGGCTGGACGAGGGTCTCGATACAGAACGGCGCTTGGTCGGCGGGTGTGCTAGAACGGAGGGCACGGTGGCCGAGTGACTTGAAGCGGGCAGTTTGGGAGTGATGGTCGCCTGCTTGTTCGACCGGAGGTGGTGGGGGTGTATCGAGTTGAAAGATAGGGTCCTCCGGAACGAGGGTTTCATCATACGCGACGCAGGGGTGACGGCGGCGGCGGCAGCAGCAGCTACATGTGCGTGGTAGTCATCGAGGGACAAGTCGAGATCGCCATCCTCGTCGAGCCAGCGGAAACTGTCCTGGACAGAAGAGAAATCGGCGGCGGCCATGTCGATGCTCGAGTACGGCGGCGAGCTCCCGGTGGTGGTGGAGGCGTGGGAAGAAGAGTAAGAAGAGAGGGAGAGATTGGAGAGAGAAGAAGAAGAAGAGGAGGAGGAAGAGGCACTGTCGAGGGAGAGTCTAGTCAGACGCTCCTGGTCGAGGCGATACAGAGCCTCGTCGGCAGCGTCGAGGATGACACTGCGGCAGAGGGCCTGGCGGTAACGCAGCTGCTCCTCCCTAGAAAAATGCTTTTGCTGAATCTTGGGGGGCAGGGAGTGAAAGCATTGCGAGTCGACCTGGTCGGCCAGATAGGCCAGCTGAAGCGAACCGGGCGAGCGAGGGAGCCGGGATGAAGAGGCAGAGGAGGAGGAGGAGGAAGCAGGCCGCCGGTGGACCAGGCCACGCCTCGACAAAGGAGGGGAGGAGGCTGTTCGAAAGGGAGGCAAGTGGAGGCCGGCCAAGGCGGACGGCTGATCAAGGTCATGGCTGTGATCGTGTTGTGCTAGCCGCATGCGAAAGCGTTCAACGTTCGAGAAGCACTGTGGTCAACGAGCAACGTGCTGGGTTAGCAAGACACGCACACCTGGTTGGGGGCAAAGCGTTCCCACGCGCGACAGGGAGGGAGGGAGGGAGGGGGGTTTGGTTGGGTGGGGAATCGACCATCGACTCGCGATTCTCCAGTCCCTGGACGCGATTCGAGCCATTCGTTGATAGTGCGAGTGATGAAGTGATAGTGCATGACGACGGGAGGGAGTGGGCTAAGCTTGACGATGTGGTGATGGTGAGGGGAAAACACTGGATGTCTGTGTCCAGTCCAGTCATCACAATGGCCAGTGCATCAATTCTTCTTCTTCTTCTTCTTCTTCTTCTTCTTTTCTTTTGCTTTAGAAGATGAAGACAGACTGCCATTCCCACTGTCCATTGCGTTGCTTTCTCTGTTTTCTCAAAGCGTAGCACCACGACAGGGGAGACTTGAAAGGGGACACGAGGCGATCAGGGGTAAAAAAAAGGGCAATTAATTTGGGGGGTCGGGCAACAGACTAGCGGCAATAGATTGCCAACAAAGAACGACCAGTGGACTCAAAATTGCAGCTCGAGAGACCATGGCACTGTTGTCTGTGTCTTTGGTTGTCTTTACGTACCTTTCGTCGAAGGGCAGGAGGCAGAGCCTCGAACTCCTCCTCACTCGGGACAGCAAGGATCTTCATGGCGAGAAGGGAAGGAAGGAGGATAGAAAGAGAAGATTAAGACGCAAGTAACAACATGGTCATGATTGTGGAAAGATCCCCCAAGCTCTCTCACAGACTCACAGACTATTGACAGACCTGGAGACTGTTGCCGTCGTAGGGACGACCCGATATTTAAACCACCACATCTCATCCATCGCATCTGGTATTTTGACGCCGCCCAGGACGGAGACAGGCAGCACAGAGTGACTGGTCGATCCCATCGCCTCCTTGGGAGCCATGTGGCAGCCCGAAGCGAACAAATGAGCGCAATTGTCAGACGGCAGGGTGCGCGCTTGGCTGCCCAGTAACTATCCCATGCCGGCTGTCAGATGGAGGAGGACTCGCAAAGGGCGTCTCGTATCCTGGTTTTGGCGTCGATCGCAGCTCTGACGGGCAGCTGAGGGCACGGACTCGCTCCTGGTAGGGATAATCGCGGATTCAGGCTGTCACTGGCTGGAGGGGGGAGGCAGCTACTCGGCCTACTCAGCCTACTCAGCCTAATTGACGCTGGACTTGGGCTTGATGAAGTCTTACTGGTAACCACCCACGATTGCTCTCGCGCCACATTGGCTAGTTTTATTGACCAGACGTGTCACCCGAAGCCAGCAGACGTGTCGGAGCCGAAATATATTATCATGATGTCTTACTATTGACGGAAATTAATGAAAAAAGAGGGTCGGAAATCCTCCGTCGATCCCCGTTTCAACCGATCTTGTCAGACCTGCAGGAGGATGGAGTCACGAACTGCCTGGTTAACGACCGGTCTGAAACGGAGGGCTGCTCTGGTGCAGGCATGAAACACTTGGTCGAGGATGAAATAGTAGCAATCTGGGCTTCTCTGGACTTGTCGACATTCCAAATCATCTTACTCGGTACTCGGCAGTTAGCCTATCCACAATCCGGTCTATTGATATACTTATTTACTCCGCAACGGGTCAAAGAGCTGTGGAATCCAAGGTTTGTTATGCATCAGATTCAATTACTGCCAGACGTATCAGTTGGTCCTTGCGTCTATGGCGTGGACTTGATATTGTCTGCGGAGTACAGAGTATGCGTTTATAAACATCATTACCTAGGTACGGAGTACTCCGTACGCATAGCTACAAAATAGTAACACTAGGAGTAGTGAAAATAGTGAAAGGATTCTGGATTAGTACTCCGTACTAAGTATGGTGGTTATAGCACGCTCAGCACGCTCTGCATGGCGGCCGTGTTCGAGTCCTCCCGACGAGACACGTACGCCCGCAGCTCCGCCGCATTGAGGCCCGAGTCTGACCCCCCAGCAGCACTCGCCGCGCCGCGGATGCGTTCTTTCAACGCCTCGGTTCCAATGACAAACAGGTTGCCTACCTCCGGGAGGACGTCGAGCGCACCGCCGGCTCCTTTGACCGATTCTTCAATGTCCCATGCCCGCAGCTGCTCCGCGTACTGCGTCATGTCCTTGGTCACCATCAGCCCGCCGGACCCGTTGACCGCAAACCGCTTGAAGTGCTCCAGCAGCAGGCTGCGGATTCCCAGCGCGATCTCCGTCAGCAATTGTCGCACGTTCGTCCCGCTCGCCGTCAGCGAGGTCAGCGTTAGGTTGTGCAGGCGTGTCAAGAATGTGCAGATCGCAGCGCAGGTCTGTCTTGGTTTAGTAAAGTATAGACAAGTATAGATCAGAAGTATAGGAACCTACCGGCGTCTGCAGTTTCTCCAACCAGGCGGTGGTGTCTCCCTCTCGCGGCCGGAAATCATTCTTCTTCTGCCCGGACAGCAGCTTGCTGACCCAGGTGAGCGTGGCGTCGATGGTCTTCTGCTCGATGACGTTGACCTTCTCCTCCACCCGCGCCGCCATCATCGCCGTCTTCTTCTCCATCTCCCGCCGCTGCGTGATGCTGCCGGCCGCCAGCGGAATGAGTACCGTGTTGATACACATCACCATCAGGTGCGTGATGCTGATTGCCGTCCGGATGTTGGGCAGGTACAGGAAATCCGGCTCGTTTTTCCCCGTCTCCTGCGCCGTGGCTGCCTCCAGCGCCGCGTCGAGCGACACTTCAATGTACGAGTCGCCCATGGTCGCGAGCAGCAGGTTCAAGAGGGCCGCCACATCCTTGGGGGTTTCGCTCGTCACGCTCAGCTCGAGGCCCCGACCAACCCCCTCGGCGAGCCATTTGAGCATCCGTTTCGCGTACGCCAGGCTGAGCAGCCCGTCCTCTTCCGTCAGCTTGATTTCCGTGTGCTTCAGCGACTCGGTCGAGTCCCTCAGTCCGGCAACCTGCAGCAGCATCCGCTTCTGCGTCGCCGAGAACTCGGACGTCTCCAGCCGGTTGATGTAGGCGTCCCGCGCGGAGGAGATAAGCTCGCTCCCGGACTTGGCCAGCGACGCCATGAACGTGGTTGCCGTCTTCTTTCGACGGGCGTGGAACGTCGTAAACTTGAACAGGAGAGAGGTGTACAATTCCTCCAGGTTCTTCTTCTCGCGCTCAATGTAGGATGATCCGACAAAGTAGGGCACAAACAAGTCCTCCAGCTGCTGGTCCAGCACAAGCGCGGTTTGGGAGGAGATGGGATCCGGGTGCTCGGTCAACCCATGTGACTTGAGATCATCGACCAGGGCGCTGATGTAGCTCCGCGAGCTCTGTAGGGACCGCAGGAAGGCCAGCGACGACACCCCATTCGCTCTCTCCAAGACCATCTCCAGCCGTTGTTGGATGGACTGCTGGAACACCCGTTGTAGGAATTTGCCCAGCACCTGTTCGTAGTAGGGGAACGCCCGTTTGATGATGGCCGACTCCTCCTGCACCACAACTTTGACCTCGTCGACCAGCGACTGCAGACTGGGTTCGACGCCCGGGGGGTCGGCGTCAGGGTCGGCCAGTTTCTCCCACGTCTCCGGGTCACCGGCCACCTCCTCGGTGACCAGCTGGCTGCGGTCGATGAAGAACTGGTGCTGGTTGACGAACAGGGCAATCACACTGGCGCCTCCGCTGAAATCCTGTAGCACCGTCGCGCAATCCTTCATGCCCTCGAAGTTCGCCTTCCGGTAGAAGTCGTCAAACTGCTTGAGCAAGTCCTTCTCCAGCGTCTCGGAGAACTTCTCGATGATCTCCCTGGTGTTCCGCCGGATCCCCCCCCCATTGTGAGGTTGATGACCTCCATTGCTCTGCTCGTCCCCCGCCGCCGGAGTTCCTTCGTATTGCCCAGAAGTCCCGTTGGCACCGGTGCCCTTCTCGTTCCAACTCTTTGGGTCCAGTCGCTGGCTAATTCGCAGTAGCTGCCGCGCAATCTGTGCCGACCGTACTTTGGCTTCCCCCGTGCCCGACCGGCGCAGGTTCTCCAGCAGGGTGAGATCCCCGCGGTTGCTGATCCCGTCCCAAAGCTCAATCAGAAAATGGGCATCCAAGGCCCGCCGCCGTTGCCGGTCGAGCTCCTCCAGCCGGCGGCCCGTTTCAACCGCCACATTCCCCGTTCCGCTGCCCAGGTCGCCCGTTCCATTCAGTGACGTGTCCAGCTGCTGGAAGGACTCGATGGTCTCCTTCAGCTTCTTGCCCAGCGTATTGAGGTTTTGCGTGTGCTGCGCCTCCGCTCGCCGCACGGCCGCCGACAGCTCGTTCTCGTGGATCTCCAGATCCCCCGACAGCTCGTTCAGTCGCCGCTGTGCGTGCTCGAAGGTGCGGATCAACGGTTTCGGATCGAAGGGCTGGTTGCCCGGGGCGGCCCCCGCTGCAGACCGCCGGTTGGAGATGGCGCTCTCGGACAGCGACTCGATAAACTCCTTGACGATGAAGTCGCGGCTGGAGAAGTCGTCGAGCGTGAAGCTGGGGCCCTGCGGGAAGATGGACCGCGAGGTCGACTGGGTGGTCACGGAGGGCGCATTATCCGGCATTTTGCTGTGCCTCTTAATACAAAAGCACCGTTCAGTGCTGTTTCATCTTCCTCAAGACCTTCAAGACGGCAGAATGGCTGGGTGATGGTGATTCCGTGATGCTGATCTGAGGGAGAAGCTGAGACGAAGCTCCATCGCGGGATATAGTGGGAGCGCCACGTGCAAGACAGGACAATATGAGGATCATCCCAATACTCAATAGTGAGAATTCATTAAAACAGGTTTATCAAGATGCTCTCTACTACACTATAATTTATTTATTTACGTCTATAAACACCGACATTGTAGGGATTCTGGTCCGCAGCCCACTCGAGCGCCCAATTCTCCATCACGATCCTAAAATAATAATATACATATTACCTCTGAATAATCAAATTCCTTCTACTGATAGTATATGAGTACTATTAGTATCTAATATCCCCTGTCTGTCGTCTTGTTCACTGTGGCTATGTCGGATGACGTGGAGGAAAGGACAACCGTTGGCCTCTCCTTGCCTGCTTTTTGTTCAGACGTTTCTGTTTCCCCCCGTCAACGAACCCCTCCACGTTGCTTAACTTGTCGGTCAAGAGCACGCCACCATGGTCTCTCAACGAGATAGAGATCTTCTGAGGGAGGATATGCGTGCTCGGGGAGGCAAGCTCAACGCCACGGAACGCGAATCCCTGCTGAAGCCATACCTGCCCTCGCCGTCGCCCGCCGCGCCGCGCCGCAAGAAGAACACCGTACGGAAGACGCCCATCCGGACGTTCCTCAAGTCACAGCTGTACCAGTTTACATATACCTTCACGCATATTATCTTCGGAATCTGTGCCCGGCTCATCCAGGCGTATCACGCGGTGGTGGACCGTATCCTGGCGATCGTGTACTACCACCACCGGACGCCGGAGCTGATCCGTAAGGATGTCCGGGGTTTGAATCGTTTACCGGAACATCTGAGCGTGGTGCTGTTCTTACGCAAGGAAGATGACGCACTGGCCGTGTTGATGGACGAGGTGGCAGAACTAGCGGCCTGGACGACGTGTTGTGGCATCTCGACCTTGAGTGTCTACGAGAAGACAGGTACGCCTTTTTTGGGGGTTTCTTCAAAGGCGGTATTGACTAAGCTATCTTCCATCTAGGAATCCTCAAGTCCTGTCTTCCTACCCTTCAGCAGGCTATTACCGCAAAGCTCTCATCGTACTACGGCTCTCCGTCGCAACAACCTGCTCTCCGGCTGTTCGCCCCGCACCATCCACTCCATGATGACCTACAGACACGGCAGGGACAGACAGCGGAGAGATCCAACCCCAACTCGCTCACGTTGCTCCTGCTCTCCTCCACCGACGGGCGTGAGACGCTGGTTGACCTGACCAAGACGTTGACCGAGATGTCGCAGAACGGCAAGCTGGCCTCGGAGGACATCACCATCGAGCTTGTGGACGCGGAGATCAGCGAGATAACCACACAGCCCTCCAGCGACTTGAAGCCGGCCACCTCGCCGCTAGTGAAGCCTGAGCCTGATCTCCTGCTGGTCTTTGGTCCGTACCTGAGACTGGACGGATACCCGCCTTGGCATATCCGCTTGACCGAGATGTTCTGCACAGGCGACAAGAGCCATGGCATGACTGGCTTCGGGGAGGCAGTCGAGTATCAGGGCTTCTTGAGGGGGTTGTGGCATTTTGCCGGTGCGCAGATGAGGTTCGGGCGGTAGTCTTTTATTCTCTTCTTCTCTTCATGGATGTATTCTACTGCAAAAGTTTCTGCTCCTCTACATACTAGATGAAACACATTGATACTGATAGAGCATGAAATCCAGGAGATTATATAGTATGTAGTATGTACAGGTCACTACAAGCAGATGCACCGGGTATCAATATTCACAATCATGCCAGCCCGCTGTACTGGGAGTCCAAATTATTGAACAGAATGCCCCAGTCCGGAACATCAAAGGAGGGAGCATAGTGGATGAACTCGTTCCAGAAGTCATCCGAGGGTGGTTGTTGTTGTTGTTGGTGTTGTTGAGTCTCCGGGAGTTGGATAGGTTCGAGTACAGGTTGCATGTGGACAGGGTGTAGTTGTAAAGAGGAGGCCTCCTGCTTATCTAGTGTACAGATATTATTTTTGTCGAGCATTTTTCTCAAAACCTGGACCGCCCGATTGATAGCTCTAGACGGATGATGGGCGGAGGAGAAGGCGAGTTCCTCTTGCTCGAGGATACGGAAGATGGCCAGCAGATCGGCCTTGCGGGCGGCGGCCTTGATTTCGTCCGGGTTGAAGCACACGTCCATGGTGAGGACGACGGTGGCCATGAGAAGATGGTGCTGCATGTAGTGCACGCGAGGGAGGTGGGGATACTGTGCAAAGTGCGCGCGGTGGATCTCGATGACTGTTTCGGCGGATCGAATGCATTGCATACGCGAGTATGCGAAGCGAGGCTCCGAAGAGCCGCGGATGAGGAACGGCCGATGCAGACGCGCGAGCTGCGTGTGGAAGTTATGATGGATCAGATACCGCTGCCATGAGAGAGGGTTGCTGTTGCTGTTGCTGTTGCTGTTGTTGGTATCCATATGGATATCACTGTGTAGTTGGAAGTATGGCGGGAGGGACTTGAGGAAGGTCATGAAGCGCTGGTCCAGCGAGAGGATGGTCTCGTACATGTCGACGCTGACGTTGCTGCTGGGGCTGGCGAAGTAGCCCGCGGGGAGATTGTCGATGACCTCGCGGAAGAGAGTGGCCAGCTTGGTCCGTACGATGAAATAGCTCACGGTCGTTGAGGTCGTGCCCAGCGGGACGCTGTATTCATCTTCCGAGAGCCGTGAATGGCCTACGGGGATGTTCTCGTCTTCCACGTTGCTCGGCGGGTTGGTCTTCATCTGATGCGGGTGCAGGGAGTATGTTCCTTCCTGGGGGCCTCCCATATTCGCCATGATCCTATGAATATTAGAATGAAAATTAAAATGACAAGACATATGTTCAATGATAGATGATTTACCAGTCCGTCGAAACAATATGCCACCAGATACGTCTCTTCACCTCGACCTCGATCAGATTAGCGCCCCCCCGACGTCTTTCCTCCCTCTTGGCCGGCATGTCTATCAGGTGAAGCCCCATCTTGCGCGCCATCTGCGAACAGAAGAAAAGCAGCGAGCCCGACACCCCCGTGAACCCCTCGAACTGCATCGACAGGTGGCCTAGAATGCCATACGCCTGAAGAACCTCGATACAGGGCACCGCAGGCGGACAGGTCAACAAGGCGAGTCCCTGATCCAGCCACTGCTTCGAGAGATCCATCGGCAGAGACGAATGAGAAGAAGAAGAAGAAGAAGAAGGTTTCTCCTGGGATCGGCTCTCGAGCAGTGCGGCGCTTGCAAAGATGCCCAGGAAAAACGCCAGCCGGACCGCAGTCGGCGATCTCCCCGCCACAAGACCCGTATACATCTCGACGAGGTCTGCTCGCGTCGAGGGCACATGCATGATCGGGTACAAGCAATGGGTTGTCCGGGCGAAGCGCTCTACCAGCTGGGTGGCGCGGTCCTGGGTCGGGAGCTGGCTGATGATCAGGCGGATCCGGACTTCCACATCATGAGGCTGATTTCGATATCGGCTCTGTCCGGATGCTAGCATGTCTGCAGGGCTTCCATTGGGCGTCATCACGATGTCTTCGAGCTGGTGGGCGGCCAGCTGCTGTTCCTCGTCGAGATGGGGCGTGTTGATGGCCCTGTCTGCTGCGTTCGAATCCGAACCTTTGGCCGCCGCATCGTCGCGAAACACCGCCTCTTCCAGTCTTTTTATCCGGTAGAGCAGAGCCGAGTTGTCGCTTTAATAATGAGTGTTAGCTATGATGCAGTGATACCTTACTTAGTATGCAGGTATAGTCAGGAGAGAAACCTATCACAATCCTCCGTCGTCGACGTCGACGATCCCCCGTTCCGTCGATTATCTATATATGTAATCAGCAAGTAAATCAATGATCTCAGGGAATGAAAAAAAAAAAAATACTTGAATAGACGCAATCCATCTGCCGCGATGAACAGTTGAAACAGGGCTGATTCCGATCGCATTTCAGCTTCCGTGTCCGACAGAGCGAACACGAAACGGGCTGCTGGGACGGTACTTGTCTTGACGAACTCGATACGGCTCTTTTCATCTTGTCTAGGCTTATCTTGTGAGATGGCGAGAGTTCTTGACTTTTCTGTTCTGAAAGGAGTGGGAGAGTAGAGGTAGTGAAGGTTCCGCGGACTTCCGCGGATGTAGCCACGGATACTACAACTACTGCTATAGAGACAATTCTCTTCAAGGCAACACTATCGTAAGACTCAGGTAGAAATACACGAGTCTAGCTGGTCTTTTAAGTACTGGGATAAGTACTGGTATTACTAGATACGCAGTGAATTGTCTTGAATAATGTATTAAATAAGATAAGCTATATAATCACAATCCCGAAGGTATCCATCAAATACAAAAGCAAATGCGCCGGGTCATGAAATTAACGTAACTGCAGGCTGTGAGATGCTGGGAGAATACCGCCATGTAGAGTTCATAAGGGATATTTTAAGTCGTCATGAAGTTCGCCCCAAAAGAAGTATGAAAAAAGAAAAGATATATCCATCGTGATCGTAAGCGAAGGGATATATAAGCTAATGAAGGCCGCGCATGCAGTGCAAACAACGCACCACCTCGACGCCATGATCGGTGACGCCCTCGATGGCACAGAACGAGCAAATCCGCCGCGGCTGTCTACCCATCCCTGGCGGCCCGCGGTCGTGAACCAGACCCGGATCTTGATCACCGGATGGTGGTAGGGAGCAGGCCGGTCCATCGCACTGCCGCAGACAGATGTAACAGGCTCGTTCGCCGCAGAGGTCGCAGTCTGCATAGGCGTCTAGGACCTCGCGCGTAGTTGGCCGCCGGTGACAAACGTGACATGGACGCAGAAATGACGAGGCACATGTCGTAGTTATGCCATCGCTGTAAACACCATTATTGCTGATGACATTGCTGTTGATGACATTGCTGTTGATGACATTACTGTTGATGCCATTTGATTGACAATATGTCGGGTAGGCCAGAGGAATCAGGGTCTTGGGCGAGACGGGCGGCGAGGCAAAGGTAGCCGCAGCAGGGAGAAGACGGGACTGGAAAGCCGCAGGGACAGGGACAGATGCAAGTGTAGAAGAGTCGAGCGTGGTATTATTAAATCTGCCGCCGTTTCCACCGTCTATCGCCCACGGCTGCTGCTGCTGGAGGACCCGCCGCTTGCGAGGCAGAGACCGCGGCCGAAACGAGAGATCCGATCGGCTGGGGTCGAATTCCGGGCCGTCGAGTCGAAACGAAGAGGTAAGCGGGTGGAATGATGGCGAGTACGTACTATTATATTAGCTACATTGCAATAATTCCTCTCTCTCTCTCTCTCTCACCAGTGTAAAACATCCTCTGCGGGATCTCTCTTGCGTTTTTTCAGGCTATTCGGCGAAGTAAATGCCTCGACTGGATCAGAGCTGAACCCCGGCATGCTGGAAGACGCAGCAGGCTGATTCATCAAGCTGATGAGGATTCCGAGAGACACAAAGACAGAGATGGCGATTCTCGCCGTTGGGCCAGGGGGGAAGGAAGATGTCGTTGGCCAGGAACAAAGACGGCAGCCAATGAGGTTGGTGGTAGAAGGGCTAGTACAGTTTGGGTTAGACTGTACCTTATTGTTGTACTAACTACCTTAGGTATACCAGGTAAGTACCTCCAGGTACCTATCATAGAAAATTACTCATGTAGGTACCTCGGGCTACTTATCCCCAAGTGGTTTTGAATATACCAGATGAGTAGATTCTATAATCACACACTCTGAGTATACTGTCTAATCTTATGGTACTCTGGTCAAGTGGCAGAAAGTGAAATTAGAGCCCGTCTAACCGCGCCTGGATATCCCGTTCATCAAACCGGCCATCCTCCCCCCTGTAGTTGCGCAGAACCTCGCGTGTCATCAGTCGTCGAGGCGCCTTCCGCCCTGTCATCAGCTCAAACTGAGCGATTCCTTGCTCCGTCACGTTCTCTAACCCGTCCACCAGGACCCATGGCCGACCTGTTTCGCTGCGGAAGCGTCGCATCTGTACAAGGAGAGGAGTATCGAGAGGTTTATACGCAAGCTGGAAGCATCAGTATAATTAAATATGTATATATAAAGAAAAAGAAAAAAAAAAAAAAAATACCTCTAGGACAACACCGCCCGTCAGACTCCCCAACCATTGCGTGGGCATCTCGAAATTGGCTGGTGGCTCCGTGCCCGACGGATCGGCCGGGACGCACGAGGCGATCAGACACGGCGGGTTGGCGTCGGCAGGCCAGTCGTCGGCGGCCGAACGTAAGACGCGCACGACCTCTGGGGCGCCGACCTGCGACGAGGCCCAGGAGTTGAAGTGGCGGGCGACCGCCTCGGCGCGGGAGACGGTGCGGTTGTGGATGAAGATCTGGCGGCAGCCGAGGCGCAGCATGGCGTAGATGGCGGCCCGCGCCATCCCGCCCGCGCCGATGACAAGCCCGGTCGACTTGAGCGGGCTGATGGCGTTGCGCGGCGAGAGGTTACGGGTGATGCAGGTCATGATGCCCACCCAGTCCGTGTTCTCGCCGTACCAGGCCAGCACGCGGCCGGACTGGTTGCGCCGGCTGGCCTGCTCCTGCAGGGGGAACAGGGTCCCGTCGGCGCGCGCGCGCAACGGCATGATCGTATTGATCGCCCCGATCGCCTCAGCGTGCCGGCTCTTGGACGCCAGCTTGGGAAAGGCCTGCACCCGGAAGGGCTGGACGATGCTGGCGCCGCCGAACTGCGGGTCCCGGCCCAGCCGGTCCAGCGCCGCGAGCGAGGTCGACTCCGGGATGCTGTACAGGTGGTTCATCCCGCAGTGCCGAAAGGCCGCGTTATGCATCGCCGGCGACAGACTGTACGCCACGCTGCCGCCCACGATATAGAAGCGGAGCGGGTCGAGCACGTAGCTCTGAAACAGCGCCTGCACGGCGTCTTGCGCGGTGATCAGGGGGTCGCGCGCGTGAGGCTGCCGCGACCGGATCGCCGGGTGCGTGACCGAGGTCAGCACGTTGTTGAAGACCTGGGAGGTACGGCCCAGCGGGCCCACGTTGTATGCGATCAGCGGCGGGTGGCCGCTGCCGCGCAGGGCGCGGATGCGATTGGTGAACTTGAGGACGGCGTTGTTGTCCTCGCGCTCCGTGGCCACGCGCAGGATCCGGATCAGCTGGCAGCCGAGCGTCTCGGCTTCTAGATACAGCGATACGCAGCCCTCATCCTCCCACGAGACACGCGTCGATGGTTCAAACACATACTGGCCAATGATCTTTGTGTTGCCTCGGCTGTGGATGATGCGTTTCAACAAAGATTGATCCTGACCCAAGTCAACGGCCAGGTATTCGACGGCCAGACGCAACCCATGCTCCATGATCTCTGCATATACGTTGCGGTCCTGCAGCAGTGGCGGTGGCGGTGACGATGATGGCGTGGTTGTGGCCGTGGTTGTGGTTGTAGTGGTGGTCGTGGTCATGGTCGGCGACCTGGCTACCGGCGACCTGGGTTCTGGGGTATGGGGCACAGGGGTACCGATGCCGGATGAAGTGGTGTCGACGGACAAGATGATGGGAGTGCGCGCGTGTCGCCGGAGCAAGGCAACCTGCTTGCTGATGGTGGTGGCCATGCCGGGCCCCCATCGGTCGATGCAGAGCTCGATGGCGTCGCCGCCAGACCCCAGTTCGGCGAGATCGACGGAACACTCGGCGATGTCGGACGAGCGGACAAAGATGGCATGTGTGTAGGAGCGCAGCTCCGGGGGGGTCTCGAGGAGAGCAAAGGGGGAGTCGTAGCTGGAATGATCCTTCTCGACGCCGGTGACGAGCTGGACGAAGCGCGTGAAATCCTCTTTGGCGTCCTTCAGCTTGAAGGAGTAGTCTGCCGACCGCCGGTCGGGCGTGCCCTCGTCGGAGTGTAGAGCGGCGAGGCTCGACCGGTCCTCGACATTGTAGAACTCGAAATTCGAGCAGCTGCGGTGCAGCAGGTCACCTTCACGCAGCAGACGGACGGCCTGGTCCTCCAGCCCCAGCAGACGCTGGATGCGGTCCATATCCCGGGCCAGATAGACGACTGGGTTGGTCAAGCAGTAGATGCGCAGATGTTCCTGCACCGGGCGAGTCAGACTGCCCAGTCCGATCTCGATGACGCAGCGGGTGCGGTGGTTGTCGAGCATCGCCTTGAGGATCTCGATGTCCCGGCGTTGGAACTCCTGCGTGCCGAATTTCTGCAGGTACTCATGGCGAGTGATGCCGGTGGTCTCCTTGAAGAAATGGTCTTCGGTGATGAAGCGACGTTTCAAGGCAGCCGCGGCAACGAAGCCCATCGACCGCTTCCCGCACCCACGGATACCGACCAGCACCAGCGAGGCATCAGACTCGAACTTCCGACGAGCATTGGGATCGGAGCGGTGATGCATCGTGCCTTTTCTTTCCTTTCCTTTTATAAATCCGGAAACGAAAAAAAAAAAAAAAAAAAAAAAAAAGAAATGATACGATCAAAAGTTGTTGCGACCGGCGCTCGTCTGGGCCATAACTATCCCCGAACCAGACACCGGCAAAAAAAAATGGCGAGAAGACGTGCACTCAGTATGAACAAAACTGCTCCTCTGAGCTTGGACAGGCTCCCAAGGCTCCAGCTAGCAGGAATTTATCTCCCCGACGAGGACTGCAGCTGGTGGTGTGGTCGAGATAGCAGGGAATCGGTCTAGAATGCAGGGTACAGCGGGGGCGAATGGCAACGAACGACCCCGGGAGCAGTGGGCAGTGGGCAGTGGGCAGTGGGCACTGGACACTTTGTCAGCTGATTATCTGGTGGAGGATAATGGATCTCAGGATCATCCAAGACACATCGTGTTGTGTGTTTCAGGCAGGGTGCGATTGAGCGCAGGTTTCTCAATCGGCTGGTGCAGAGAGACGCGATTGCCGTGTGCAGCGACTGCGATTCGAGTTCCTGCCCCGGATTGAGGGGGGAAGGCGGTAAAGAGATTATCCGGACAGGGTTAGCCACAGTGTGGCTGCAGTAGTATATTACAGTTACTTGTTAGTTAACTTAGTACCTAGTTAACTATGAGGTAGTATCTATGTATCTACTACTCGTATCTAAATAAATCTGCAGACTGTCAATGAATGGATTAAGACAAGTAGATCCCAGGGGGCCATTACTTAATTATTGGCTTGTCTAAAACGCCTCTTGACTGGCCTGTGGATGTGGATGTCGGGGTCAAAGAGCGATCTGTGATACGGTAATACGAATACTCGTACGGAGTACCACATCAGGTTCTAGGTAGTTAACTACCAGATACGGAGTACCTAATGTAGACTTCCTAGGTACTCTGTACTCCGTACTCCGTACTCCGTACTGAAGACCAGGGATCGATTCACTTAAAGAAAAGGCACAATCTTGGCATAATTCTTATTAAGAATACTTTCATTGTGTTTAGTAGAAGATGCTTCTATGAGGAAGGGCTTCTCGAAGCCTTCCCCAAGGTTGTCCCCGCTTCCTCCATTCCGTCGGGATGCCGTCTCGGCAGATGAGAATTAACTAGTATCTACCGTACAAGACTCAAGTACGGCGTACTCTGTAACTAAGTTGACTACCTACCTAGTAACTAGTACCTAGGTTAGGTAGGTACCTACCTAGTAACTATGAGGTAAGGCTAACTGCCACTTACTCCTCTACGTAGACTCCATCCAACGGCTTGACCTCGGGGACAGATCTGTACGCCGCAAAAGGACAGTGACTACCTCGTGTTCGACAACTTTCCCATACCCAAAGAGTACAATCCTTGGAATGGATATGACAACAAGAAATAAGAAAAAATGGAAGAAATGAATGAGAACAACGTGCATCCTGATAGTATTTCGTCCGGTCCTCGGAATCGGCTGCAGCATGAGCCGAATTCTATCCGAAATCCAGCGCTTGTTCCGGCGGATTTTCGATATCGCCCTAAGCGAACCGGGTTTAGTCCCCGTAGCGTATTGTATCAACCTGCTGGTACGGAGTACCTGGGTACCCCGTACCATATCCATTAGGTACCTAGGTACTGTATAGTATGGATATACGACTTTATGAATTGGTCAGTTTATGGTGAGAAATAGCTAGACATACTCACCAATTGACTTCCTTTTCTCCCTAGTATCACCCTTCTAAGCTACCTACTAGATACCTACTAGATACCTACTAGATACCTACCTAGGTACCTATACCTCCGTAACTAGTCCGTCCCTACCAAGTACTGTGGGATGTGGGGAGGTGGGGAGACAAGTACCACTAACCAGTCCTTGTCCCTGCTTACCACTCTCCAGCATTACGGAACGTCAGGTCCTTCAGCCTCTCAACCCGTTCCTCTTGCAAACAACCTAGTAACTAACCAACTACTAAACCAGGTACCTAGGAAGCCTGGAGGTACCTCCTACGCCGTCTTTGCGGAGAACCAGGCCTCTTCTTGGCCTTTCCTGGCTTACGTGATTCCTGTTCCGCTTGCGTCGGTCGGTCTCCACCCGCCGCCGCAGCACATGCGATCGGGCAAGAGACATTTGGTCTGTCTGTCTCTCTCTCTCCTTCTCGACCACCAGCAATAGTGGGGGAGTCAGTGTTTCTGTTCGCTGTGTTCTCGCCCTTTTCCCCTTCTCCCCCTTCCCCCCCCCCCCTTTTTATCTAATTTCTCGGTTGCTTTCTTGCGAGGAAGCTCTGCGGTTCGGCTTCTCTCCGTCGGTCGATACGTGTATCCCACGCATTCCGCCACGGTTTGCGCCCGTCCAGGATCTACTATATGGCTGGTGCTGGCGCTCAGCACTGAGTAATCCCCTCCTCGATGGACGAGGGTTCCGATTCAAAAGCCCCTCGGCGTAAGAGGGTTTCTAGAGCCTGTGATAGGTGTCGGAGTAAAAAGGTGGGATTCTGGCCGATATTTTTTTTTTTTTTTTTTTTTTTTTGGATTTATTTTGGATTTTATTTTATTTTATCTTTTTTTATTCCTTCTCTTCGCTGACTGAGATATCAACAGGATAAATGCGATGGCGTTCGGCCAGCGTGCTCTGCCTGCCAGGCGTCCGGTCAGATCTGCTCGTACGATCCCCATGCGAAGAAGCGTGGTCTTCCGGAAGGCTATGTGCGCGGTTTAGAGAAGCTGTGGGCGTTGTCGCTGTGCAACATCGAGGGCTTGGAAGACACCATGCTGGCCATGTTGGGCACAACGACCGAGTCGGCGGGGCGCAGGAACCGGTTGATGCGTCTGTGGGCGAACGAGGCGGCCTCCGAGAGTCTGCACGACTCGTGGAAGACCAGCCGTCTGTTTGGCGCCTTGGAGAAGATGCTGTCCGCCGCCTCGGTCGCCTCGCCCTCGACCGGCAAACGCACCCGCGACGAGCTCGACGACGTCTCCACGGGGGCCCCGGGTGAATGGGGGTTCAATGTCTGCCGGACCTTGACGCCGCTGGGTCCCGGAGCACCCAGGGTGCTGGAACCCTTCGCCTCGCCTCCTCCAGCGGCCAAGAAAGCGCGCCTGGCAGGCCCGTCCGACAGCCGTTTGATCCTGCGTGGCGGCATGGGCGGCAGCAGTACCGCCGCCGGGGGTTCGCATCCGTTACAACTGCCCCCTCAGACTTCACAGCTGCTTGACCTCTACTTCGCCATGACCCACTCCTGGTTCCCCGTCGTGGCCAAGCACAACATCCTGCGCGCATCCTATCTCTACACCAACGCCTCGTTTTCCGTCGCCCATGCCTCTCCCGGCTCGGGTGACCACGCGGCCTTGTGGGCCATCCTGAGCTACACCATCGCCCAGGCCCGTGGGACGATCATGGCCGGTTCCTTCGACCTGCTCGCCAAGACCAGGGAGTACTACTCCATCGCCCGGAACCTGATTCCTTCGGAGAAGGAGAGGTATGAGCTGGGTCATGTCCAGGCGCTGCTTCTGTTGACCCTCGTCAATATTGGCCTGGAGGACTGGACCGCCGCCTGGCTGTTGAGCGGCCAGGCGGTGCGCATGGCCATTGCCATGGAACTCGGCACCTTTACCGACACGCGACGATCCGAAGAGCTGAGGCAGGGCAAGACCGTCTTTCTGGGCTGTTTTGTCATCGACTCGCTTCTTTCCTTCCGTCTCGCCCGCTGTCCGAGCATGCGCCCCAAGGATATCATGACCGTCGGTCTCTTGGAAGAGGATGGACTCGAGGAGTGGAACTCGTGGACTGATGTCTTGCCTCAACTCAACCCTCCGCCGGGCAAGAATCCACCGCGACGAGGTCCCCTGCTGGCCCTGAGTTGCTTCAACCGTCTCGTCGAACTGGCCAGTGTACTCAACAAGATCGCGCGCGATTCCTCGACGGGACTCGACGCCAATACCTTTTCGCAGCAACTCCTACTGGAACTCAAACAGTGGGACGATCGACTACCCCTGGGATGTCGGCTGATTGGACCAGAGAGCATCTTTCCCGAGCGACACTCGGCTCTGTTGCCCCATCAGAGCTATCTGGCTCTCACGTACTGTGCCGCCCTCATGTGTCTCTACGTACGCTTGTCATCACATGAGTTGAGTCTCCATCGCTCACAGCGCCCGGCGATCGAAGGCGCCAAGAAGCTCCTTTTCCGAGCCCTGATGATGCTGTCGCAACATTTGGAGAACTTTAAGATGTACGGTCTACCACCGGTATTTGAATTCTCCCTCCGCACGATCGCCGAGCAGGCTGTCTCGCTGCGGAAGAATGTCGAATCCGATTCCTTCCCCTTTGCACGCTGGTCGGAAGCGTTGTTGCAGAAAACCAACGAGCTTGGCACGGAATGGCCTGTCTATCATTCCCTCAACCTGGCCATCGATCGTTGGTGGCAGCCCCAAGCCCCCGTTGCCGCAATGGTACCGCAGGTAATAGACGAACGAATCCCGCGAGTTGGTGGCCGTTTCCCCGGCGATCCCGTGGCCGCATCGGTGATGTCTCACCACCGGGGGATGGAGAGTGAGATGACAATCCATCCCTCCGGTCCAGCAAGCAGTCTATTATCGGACAGCAAAGCCGACTCCGACTACGCCGCTTCGATCATGGGCATCAGCATTCCGGTCGATGGGCAGTATATGACGCCCAAAGACACAGCCATGGAGAATGCAGACATCCCCATGTTGGGCCCGCCGTCGCTTCAACAACAACAACAACAACAACAACAACAACAACAACAAACCCTGGAGGGAGCATCCACGCCGACGTTCCTCGACAAATTCGCGGCTCGCAGCGGCGGACCCGAAGGCTCGATCCCCCCCTCGAATAGCCATCCGCACCCTCCCACGCCCGAGTCCTCCGCCTCCAACACCATGATGCCGGGGCCTTCTTCTGTCCATCCTGGAGATGGGGTGATGATGCCCGGCGGAGTTTCGACCGCACCGGGAGCCCTTGCCGCAACCGCCGATATCGACACCATCTTCAAAGACCTGGCCTATCTAGATACCACCGAGTGGGCGAACACCCGAGAAGCAAGCTTGCGCGACTTTGGATTCATCGACGACAATACGTTCCATGCTTTCTGCAACGACCCGGATCGACTTGTGGGTTCACAGCCGTTGGTACATCCCCCGTCCATTGCGGACATTTGGCCCCCTCCAGGCTTTTTTCCAGAAACGTTCCAAGAGACGCCCGAAGAGCCAATGGTCGGTTGAGCTTCAGGCATTGCGCAACGACTCAACCTGGTGATCTACATGAATACTAGAAGTTCCAGAAACTGGAAGTTCCATCTTCAAGATTCATGAACCCCAATTCTCCAATGGAGGTCTGCCCAGATGCTCACGCATCTGGCTGGTGTCTTTGACCGAAGGCCCTACTACAATCCACAGGCCAGATCCCACAGAAGGTTTCACAACAGATTCCTGGATCTGCCTCTTGACACCATTTCCGTGTTCCATACTATATACTAGGTATATATGTACATCACGCCCTGCACGCCCTGCAGAGCATGGCTGAGGACCAGTCTCTTTAAGCCTCGGTGCTCCTAGAGTGCCATTAAATACCCTATATAGCCATCAATGACATATCATAGATTATACTGCAAAACTACATGTCCACCCTAGTTACCTAAGCAATGACTAAGAAAGTAGTTATTAACCAATCAACCACCTCTGCAACTTCAACACTCACTTCCACTTCCACTGTACACTGTACACTGTACACTTCCACTGTACACTCAGCTAAAGCTATTCAATCTAATGTTCAACGCCCTCATCCGCACCCACCACATCACCTCTCGTAAAAAAGTGGCCAGCCTGAAACGCGCCGCCCATGCATACCGGTGTTCCGTGCTGCTCTGCTCCGGCTGCCCGGGGATCATGTACGTCGAGGCCTTGGCCAAGGACGACGTCGGGAAATGGGTCACCGCCGTGCGGAATCTACGCTACAAGGATTTCCAGCTTGTCGTGAAGCCGGCCTGTCTACAGTCTGAGTCTGAGTCTGGATCGGAGGGGGAGGGGGCCGGGGGCGCAGGCTTCCCCCCTGGACTCGTCGAGGTGGGGAGTGTCAAGGAGTTTGGCGGGTTGATGGAGAAGAGGGGGGTGTGGAAGTGGTGGAGGAGGGGGATGGGATATGGATAACCCATAGCCTATATCTAGACAAGTGTATACTACTTACTCGACTACCACAAGTCAAAGATAGATCATCTGGGTTTCTATCTAGCTATGAACCTATGAACTGTTCATGCAATGATACTAATCAAGCGGTCACCGGGTTGTTGCCAGGGAGCTTCGGAATAGGACCGTCCTGGCCAAGTTCTTCCTTTGGAGCAGGGACTTCCGGAACCTGGGCAACACCCGACCAGAGCTGGTTGCTCATCTTGCCCTGAGTCAGGGTGCAGTCTGGGTTAGCGACACCGAGGACGCCCGAGCAAGTTTCCAGCCCCTGACGCATGGCTTCTTCATCCGTCCAGCCACTGATGAGTTCCGCGTGCAGGCCGTATCCGGTCGGATCACCCATGGAATACACCCAGTTTTCATAATCGGGGTAAGGCTCGACGTTGAACCCGGCACTCACCATCATGGTGGCAATGGCGACGGGGTGAGTTTCAGGGCAGACGCCGCCGTCATAGTCGCCGATAGCAGGATAGGCGAGCTAAGAAGGAAGGTCAGCATGAATCCAGCTTGATTTCCAGGCAAGACGAGAGTCGCAACCTACGTGGCTGACATGGTCCACACTGTCGAGGTTCTTGCCGTCCCAACAGGATTGCATCCAGACTTTCAAACTCAGGGCGACACAGCTGCGTCGAGGAAGCTCGTGGCTCTTGACCTTGGTGATCTTGCCGGACGGTAGTTCTATGTTGCATTCGTGATAAATCGCGCGCTGAGCGATATCAGAGCTGTTATAAGTTCTTTCCCTCGTCAGTCAGAATCCACCTTGCAAAGCACCGGGACAAGACTAATACGTACCGTAGGAACGGGTTACCAGCGACCATGCGTAGCCCAGCAGGAGGAGCGCGAGGAAGACTCGCACCATCGCAGTCCTCACGATCTGGGACGTAGTCGCACGCTCGGTTACGATACCAGACAGGCTTTCATTGTAAGTGCTTTTGTCTTTCCCCGTCATGTTGCTTTTTTGCAGAATAAGAACATACCATATTAACAAATTCCATAAGCGCAAACGAACCGTTCTCGAGATGGTAGTAAAGCTGGGGAACCCAATAATTGCTCTTGTCCTGAGAAAAGCCACAGGTTGTATTCTTTGCAGCCAGCGCCGTACGCGGGCCCATGGTGCGCTGGAAGGCCGTGCCGCCTGCGATGGCATGGACGTGGATGCCTTCAGTACCTGGAAAGTAAACGGGGTCGGAGCGCTGGATAGTCAACGGGTTGCAGTCAGAGATGAAACCATCTGGCACGATCATAGCTAGGATGAGGGAGGAAAGGGAAAGCAGCAGGGCTGCAAACAGGTAAAGTCTACAAGCCATAATGGCAAGTAGAGGCAGGTGTAGATCAATAGAGAATAAAGCACAGTCAAGTTGGGAAGGAAAGAGAGTGTGAGGGTCGATGAAGAAGAAAGAAAGAGAAAATAGAAAGAAATCTTGTATTTATATGGCAGCTGAGGTGGGCTCCCATAGGCCATATAAAATAACAAAGTGAGAGAAAGCACGGTCAGTTCACCATTCAATTCACTCATATAGGAAGACCTTCTAATTGGTGTAGAATATTAGAGAAGATAGAGAGAGTGAGAGTCAGTTATTAACGCCTAGAAAATGATATAATTAGTTAATAGAGTAGGCTATAGGCATATACCTATATATACTCTCTCTATAGGTGAAGCCACTGATATAGGAGAAGGACATACTATTAGATTATTCTAGACTAAACTATCAAGATGAGACACCAAGTCTAAACATCTTCTTTTCCAAGACCACTCTCACTAAGGGATACTGTTATCAGCCCTCTTCTTCGCAGCTTTTGCCTTGGCCAAGGTAAGCCTGGAGTCCTCGAGCTGCTGCTTGGACATCTTGTCGAGGTGCCTGACAGACTTGACCAGAGCCTCACGATGATCCTGCGCAGTGGAGACAGAGTTCTTTGCCTTGGTATTTGCATTTCGGGCCTCGTCTAGAATCTTGCGCGCGGCGTTGACCTTTGCATTCATTCGATTGGTCTTGGCCACGGATTTTCGCGTCAGCTTCTCTGCTTTTCGAGCATCCTTGCGAGCCTTCTTTGCGTCCCGCTTCACTCGCTTGATGGTCTTGCTGAGCTTCTCGGGGCGAGCGTTACCCCCTTCCTTGTTACGACTGGAGGAGATGCACAGAACCTTGCAAAGCATAGACCGGAGATCTTTCCTGAGCGCGAAAAAAGAGAAAAAAAAAGAAAAAGTCAATACTGCTGAGTACACGTGGTTGTATATATCCCACTTACATCAATGTGTCATCTGCTTCGTCCTGGACATGAACTCCGTCCGAAGCCTGCTCCTTCTCATTCTGATAGATGGCCTGAGAGTCCTTCGTGCCAGGAGCAGTCTGGTAGGCAGGTGGCTGAGCAACTTGCTGAGGTGGAGGGTTCATTTTCATCTCAACACACGCCTGAGACATCTTTTGGACTTCACAGCTAGACATAGTAAGCAACACAGCAGACGACTTTCACTCGTGATAGAAAGTACTCGAAGAGGAAAGTCGAGTGTTCTTAAGAGAAAAGGAAGATAAAGCTGTGGGACCTCTGCTGTGATCTCATTTCTCATCATATATTATTTCAATCCCAGCAGACTTTCGCAGGATGGCTATCCTAAGGGTACCAGGGAACAAGTGCCGAGTATGTAGTGAGTTCAAATGAATCAATTCCAGGGTTTAGTCTTCAACCATACGGCTGACCAAATGAATCAATGAATCCTAATCATGTCCAAATATGCATAAAATAACGCCAGTGCAATGTACTGTGAGTGATGATATGGCCTCCAACCTAGTCTAGCTAGTAGGAGAGAAGTTGAATAGGCAATTATTCTTCTCATTGTCCTTCAGGTTTGTCAGAAGAGAGTTCGTCGGGAGCGGGGTAGCTGAGCAGTCTACAAATGTCCTGTTTGTGTGGAAACATGGTTAATCAAGGGGAGACAAGGGATCCGGCGGATTACTGTACCTTGCGTCTCCTGCGGAAGTTCTCATACAGGTTCTTCCAGACCTCGCGGTCACGGCAGCCACTCTCCTGTGGTGTACCAGGGTTATTCTGGCATTTTGGCAACATTTCTGCGAGGAGCTTCTGTGGCCACATCACCCAAGGCTTGGGCAAGGGCCAATCCGAGAAATGGACAAACTTGGCCTCCGCCAGAACCTTGTCCGGGTCCCAGGGCTCATACTCATTTCCGAGAAAAGCCGTGTGGTCCGTCTTCCTAAACTCGCCGGTGACCAGGCCGTACCGTCGGTGAGGAAGCACAAGAGCCGAGTCCCTATAGCGATCGTTCAACAACTCCATATCATATGCGTGCTCTACGGTGGTGTTCGGCTCAACCTGTCCGTACATGGCGGGTTTGGCGGCAGTCATGAGCGCGCTGTATTCGCGGAACGAGGGCTGGACCACGATAAGCATCGAGCTAAGCTGTCTGTTTTCAGGGAGGTTCCAGTAAGCACGAGGCATGGCGGCTGGAGTGGCAGGCAGGAAGAACAGCTCATCCATGCTCTGCAGAACGGTGATGTCGGAGTCGAGATGGATGATCCGCTCGTACTGTGTTTCGCCAAACGCAAGCAGCTTCGAAATACTTTTATCCCATGGTTCCTTGGATCCTGTCGCGAAGGAGGAAATAATAGTCAGCGGTTGCCTTATCCTTCATCATGCCGGTGAGTAAAACGACAGCCGTCAACACACCTGTTCCACTGCGAACCATCTGCACATCGATCGGCACCAGCTGCACTTTGTACGCGTCCCGCGCTAAGACCAGCAACTGGCTGTCCCTGTCATTGGTATCGCTGATTTCCAGGTCCCAATCTTCTGGATAGAACAGAATACGTTCTGCTCGACTGCCGAGGCGGTCCAAGGCCTCAAACACCATCACGGCGTTGCACAGGTAAGCCGAGGAGGTCGCATACTGGCTGTAAGCGTAGAGCGACCAGTCGACCTTCTTGTAATCAATATGCGGCAGCTTTTCCGGCTCGATCGGACGCGGACGGCTGCGATAGAGAAGGAGGAGGAAGATTGCACCGAAGACGACCCATGTCCGTACGCGCCGCAGCTGGCGCTTCAGGATCGCCTGAATCGGTTCATCAGGGATGTCAAAGAAGTCGGCCTCGGACGAGTCCGAGCCCCTCCGGTATGGAAAATTGGCGCTGCTTCCCTTCACGGCCATAATCGACAGGACGGTGCTCCGAACAGTCGCATCTTCTTGGCGATGAATGGTGAGATTTAAAGCATTTTGGTGACGCGTCTTGCGGATGAACCTTGCGTCGCGCCGTCGTCTGGAGAGGGTCACGTGACTCTTTTTTTTTTTTGGTCTTCTGCGATTATTTCCTTTTATTTACCCTCTAATGAGTGATTTAGATACAGAAATTGTTGTATTGGTTCAGGGATTTGAGATATATTATCTTTAGTTGCTTTAATCAAACCCCCCCTAGCGCTAGGTTATAACTACTATGTAGACTATAGTACTAACTGCTGAGCAGTGAACGAGAGATTAGCCTAATTGACTCCTTAACTATTAATAGGAAAAATAATAATAGAAAAATCCGAATAAAAGAAAATTGTGGTGAGAAATAGAGTTATCGAAGACGCTATACTAATAGTACATACTAACTAACTACTGTGATGGACCAAGAACCCTTACATCAAATCATGACCCCTTATCCTGAACAAACAAAAACATACTCAGACATATACGAATTGATCAGTATGGGTATTTCTAAGAGTTTAGGGGTCTGTTTCCAAAAGCCTTTCCCCTGACGAGGACATGGACCTCTTGACACCCTCATCGACCTGCACCATAATGTCTGTCTGCACAGTGACCCGCCCAGTCTCCAGTGATGCCTTGACGGGCGATCCCCTCGTCGCCTTGGAGAAGCGGCCTGTGCACCCGTCGGGGTATTTGCTCCAGTAGTCTGTCACCACGGCAGGGTTCACTTCTTCGTCGTTGTACCCATTTTGAGTGACCAGAGTAGTCGTCGTGGTCGTACTAAGGAGGTTCTTCTGGACGCGATTGTCCAGTTCCACCTGGTGTTCCGCTTCTCTCGAGCGATCGCTATTATGATGATTTTTGTTGTCGGAGTTCGAGCGCCAGTAGCCTCCCCAGTGGCCCTCGCGACGGCGTTCGATAAAGGTGCGGAAGAAGAGACGGATGACAGGGGCACAGGTGGCGAGGAGGATGCTGTAGTTCTCAATCCTGGCAATGCCTATCAGAAAACATTCAAGTGTCCATCATGGTGGCGACTTACTTGACCCACAAAACGAAGGGGACAATGTTGTCTGAACGATAGATGATCAGAACCGGGAAGGATATCGACAGCAAAACTTTTGCTCATAACTTACAGGTGAAGTCTTGTCGACTGCCGAGCGTCTTGAGCAGCTGTGAGGTAGTTGCAAGTTAGTCGTGCAGATAGATACACGAGGGAACAGAAGAATAGCATACATATGTCTTTACTATCGAAGCAGCACCGGACAAAAGCAAAGGCCCACTCAGGGTAATGGTCTGCCAGATTCTCCTTGACCGGACCGAGCTACTGATCTTTTGAAACTGAGACCAGAAGGACAATTCAGGATTTCGATGCAGGGTCTGGAGAAAGAATTGCCACAATTCAACAGCTGAAATAATGGCCAGGAAGAAGTCAATCACGCTATTGAATCCTAGGCTCGGAGAGTATAGTTAGATTCGGCCTCTCCAATCCAGAATGTGATACATACCTCCCTGTACAAAACCAATGATCATTTGTGTCGATGGGTCCTGACACTTAACTGACCCGTCTGCGGGTAGAGAATCCCACATATAGTGGAAGTATTTTAGGCGATCCGACTAGATGCCATTGTCAGTGGAGGCGTCATATCGTTCTTCTACTCGGCAGACGTACTGGACGATATGGATTCGGTCCACACTGGACCAAGATCTGGACCACTGTGACCAGGTTTACCACGATCTGAACAATCATGCAGATGACAATGACAATCCGGAGGCGTCGATTACTTGCAGAGAAGCAGGTAAAGAGGAACCACATCATTCCTGCACGGGAGACCATGGCAGCAGTGACCGCTGCAAGACCGTCAGGACGTCATGAACCGGAAACAGGGAGCGATTTGCATACCGATAGGCTGGGAGATAAAATCATATTTCATAGCATGTACTTTCTCGACTGATGTGAGATAGTAGTAGTGCCGTCCCAGACCCCATTTCGAACTGGATTTGGCATCTTTAGCAAGACGACATCGAACGACAGGAGTCCTGTCCTACCTAATCTGGACAATCGACATATGGGCCAAATCAAACCCGTATCCGATCAGGAAGAACAGATCCTCCAAGCCCCATACCCGCTCCGGCGCTGTGACCTGGGGTAACGCCCATCGGATCCATGCTTTGACGGAGTATCGAAACAGTAGAACGACACCCACTATGCCCGTAAGAGCCTGGAAGAGGGTCTCAGCATGCAGAAGAACCCACCATGTCTGGATGAAGAGTTTGCTCGGGAGACTACTTACCCAGCATGCGTGGAAGACATTTGTGCCTGTTTCAGATTAGCGAGGAGGCTTATACTCCGTATTCCGATAGAGAAGGGCAGAATATACCGATATCAATGTCTCCATCAGATGGTTCCGGAATATCCATGGTTCGGAGGCCTTCGTCTCACCAGAGTTGGTTACGATGGATTGATTCCCTATCACTGCGCCTGTTGCCTTCGAAGCTCTTATACCTTATGAAAAGAACATGCTTTTTAACGCACTGGCTAAAATATTAGTAAATGAAAGACTCAGCTATGCATGAATTTACCTGCTCCTTTCCAGCATCTCTTTGTTAAGAAGGAAGGGTCACGTTTACTCGCGTGGGCGTGCGCAGAAGATATCAAGGGATAGATCCGATGCGTCGCATGGATGCCATGAGGTATAACATACATAGCATTCCGTATTACGGAGAGCTCTGTACTGTCAAAACCTCCTTTTTGGCAAAGATCTTGCAGTCGGGCCGCCAAAGGCATGGCAACTGTAAGGGGCATCGTGTAACTATCGATTGCTGTTGAGTCGACTGACCGACTCACTTTTCCAGCTCTCCATCAGACGGCCGTCGATCAGAGCCTAAAAAGCACAAGGGATGAGGTCTGCTAGTGCACTGCGTACTCCGTAGTAGCTTTCGACTGGAATGCAGGGGTTGCAAAGTCTGCCTCTACTGAGAAAAGTAAGTAATTGAATCTGACCAGTGTACGGATACTCCATCCTAAGTAAAAGTAAACGAAACACACCGTGCTTTGTACCTTAGAGAACTTTCACAGACCAGTCAGAAAATAACCTGGAGCCCCATCGTGATCTGACTCGTGTTTGAGGAGGCTGTACTGAGAGGTAGTTTTGGACAGGACGTACGGAGTACAGAGAACTTGTTGTGGACAGCCCCTTTGCGTAGGGAAAGCACATGACTTGACCTCCCTCAGACCCGTCTGACTGCAGTTGATAGATCACATACTCAAACTACTGAGCCATCGAGCACAGACGATCGACAGGAAGGCCGATCTCAGGCATTCTTTTATCAGGAAGAAACAATTGGTGAATTCTGTTATCTCGCTAGCTGAGTGGCTGTGCTATTTCATTGCGTTGGCGCTATCTTCCTCATCTCCAACAGGGATTCACCCTGTGCCGCCCAAGCCTCGAAGGTAATCTCCAATCCTGACAGGGCAGCCATCTGGCGCCACTCAGCAGGGCTGCGTTCACGGCCGCCGTACAGACAGATCATCGTCGCATGCATCCCGGCGTACGATAAGTTCTTCGGAAATTCCTGGATCAACAACCGTGATGACGGAGCCATGGCCTTTGCCAGCTTCTGCAACAGGGAAATTGCTTCCAGGTCGGGGAGATTGTGCAGAATATGCTGGAGAAGATAGATGTTTGCTCCTTCTACGGGCTGAGGACTGTTCGGCTGCTTGAAGTTCCACACCACCACCGTCAGATCGGGCAAAGTTGAACCGTTGACCTCCGCATTGAACTCTTCCAGGATCAGGTTTTCCCGTCCTAGATGGGGATACTCCTCTTTGATCTCTAGAAGCAGTTCGCCTCGACCACCGGCAATGTCAACTATCGTGACCGAATGGTCTTGATTAATCACGGCATCAAGGTTGTAGCCATACCCCTTGACACGGCAGGGCATCTTGCCAAACTTGTGAAACTTGCCAACCATGAATTGGTTGAAGCTATCCATGCGGCCTTGATGCTCCATGATCGAGTAAGTGTGCATCCGAGCAAGCCTCTCGTTCCCGGTAAGTTGAAAAATGTGCTGAAAAGGCGTCTCTGCTTCTTTGAACGGGTATTCAAAGTTGGTGTCCTTGAGCTTCTGTAATAAGAGTGCGCCTCCGAGGAGAGCTTCGGTGGTACTATGCCTGTTAACAACTGCACAGTAATCCTTGACTAGATCTGGTCACACACAAGTGGAGAGCCCCATGTTGGGCAGACGGCATGTTGACCAGGTGTTTTGTGATACAGTTCGCTACAAAGACATTGTCTTCCACGAGGTCGACGAATCCTAGTCCAGCCATCACGTAAAGCGTGTCCGCTGGAAAATGACGTGAGATGGCCGTCCTGTTTTCGGATTTGAATTCGGATTACCTACCTGCCAGCTGAACGGCTGGGTCGAGTGAGTCAGTACCACTGTGTTGGTTGGCATTAAGCTTTATAAGACATACATAATTGTCCCTCATTTGAAGCGGAATCACGCCGCTGCTTGTCCCAGGCCTCCACGAGGTCTCTTGCACTGGCCGGTTTGCCGATGCCGGTCAAGATCGCAAAAAGATCAAAATAGATTGCTACAGGGACGAATCCCAGAGCAGCAGCCTATCAACGAGTCAGTTTCCTTGTCTATAAAACAATAGCTCAATACGCCTCACGTTCGTCACGACTGATGCAATGGCGGGACCTGGAAGCAATGGGGGAGCCATGATAGGCGAACCGGGCGGTGTCTGCTGTTGTACGACCGGCTCGCTATTTGGGCCTTTTACGCCATATTAATATACTGGATCAGGGCTTGTGACGCGGCGATATCCTTGGACAAGAAAAAAAAGCCCAGGGACCAGACTGTCGGAAAAGGGAACGAGTCATCCGCTCCAATTCTGATGTATCGATCGTGATCGGATGCAAGGGTTACACGACCCACTGCCGATCTCAAGGGATATGTGATGTGATTGTGCTCACAGACCTCGGAAATGCGATAGGTATGCAGGTTCGCCACAAAAAAGAAAAAAAAGAGAGTCAGACTGCAGTGCAGAGTTGACTGGCTGTCCACCCCAGACAGTTCTTGATCCCTCCTCCGCCATGTGGTTGAACGCGCTGATCTCGACATAAAGGCCAGGTCTGCAGCAAACGCTCGAAGCTCATTTAGATATTTCAAATGCAATAAGACAGAATCTTTTTTTTCGACAATTTGTGTATCACACGATTCCGAGTTTCCTTCGGAATCAGACGAGCCATGGAATTAGATAAAAGGCATTCGAAGATCCAGTTCTTGGATATGGACAACATCACCAAGGATGAGGACTCCGTCCGAGGGAACCCAAAGCTCTGGAGTCCTTGGAAGAAGAACCTTCTCTTCATGGCTCTCATGTCCAGTTCTCTTCTTGCAGACGGGTATGCCACCGATTTCCTCCATACACTACCATCGACTCGACCCTGACCTCACCCATAGAGCGATGACATGGGGAGCAACTCTCATCACCTATCAGGCCGAAGAATGGGATATTAGTGTCTCTCACTCTGCAACCAGCATGAACTATGGGATTCTACTGCAAGGCTTTGGTGGAATTTTTGCAGTGCCTTTTATTGAGGCGTATGGCCGGTAGGGAATTTCCCTCTTCAAATCTCTATCATGACCTTTTTTCAGCTGGTTTTTTGGTTACTTACTCGCCTAGACTCCCAGTCTGGCTGTGGCCACAAATTATCACCATGTTCATGGTGCTTGGTGCAACTTTGTCGAATAGCTGGGGTGTCTTCACCACCTTCCGCAGCCTTCAGGGGCTATTCGGGACTATACCTCAGGTTATTGGGCTGCCTATAATTCACGATATGTATGATGCAAAGGGTATGACCGAGTGCGCAACTACTGGATAAAGATAATAACTGTTTTAGATTGGCCTCGAATGATTAATATCTGGTATGGTAAACGGATAATTGACTGTTGATGCGATCTAACCAGTATAGGGGAACGACCTTTCTCGTCGGACCGTTCCTTGGTCCTGCTATTGCCGGGTACATCTTGGAAGCAAGCTCATGGAAGATATCTTTTGCAGTCCTGACGGCTCTGTACGCTTTCTCCACCATCTTGATCGTCGTATTTGGCTACGAGACATACTACATCTGGGGTCAGCGCCTTCCTGCCACCTCGCGCGCGGGAGCGTTCTTTGGCATTGGGAATACTCACCAGCTGAAACGCGCCACATTGTTGAAATGGTGCCGAACTTTGGCGGTTTACATTTTCAAGCTTCCATTGCTACTGACAGGTTAGGCTTAAATTGTACTTTCTCTCTATCTCAGACTCGTACTGAACATCTCCCTCTGCCTTGTACTAGGTATCGCTGTGATGGTAGTATTCACCTGGCCGATTGGAATCACCACCACCATCGACACGTTCCTCTACGAGCCGCCCTACTTGTTTGATGCGATTCAAGCTTCGTCTATGCGCTTCGCGGGTGCGTTAGGCGGATTACTTGGTATGCGTTTACCCAAATCTAGAGACTTGAGCGTCAGCTAAACAACAGGCAACAGGTTTTGTATTCGGTTTTCTCTTCAACAAATGGATTTTCAAATTTCATCGCAACAGCTGGCGATCCGAGTACCGTCTACATGGCGTATGGGCCCCTCTGTTCTTTATGGCTGCCGGGCTGGTGACGTACGGTCTCACGCTGCATTCTGGAGCCCTCTGGGTTGGTCTTGCATTTGGGTGGATGATGGTAAACATCGGCATGGTGGCGATTACAGTGTAAGAAGACCCTCTTTCCGGTGTAGCAGTCCTAGTCCATCTAAATTTATATCACCAATAGGGCCATCACCGCGTACGCGCTGGAAAAGTACCCGTCCCATGCAACCTGTGTTGCCGCCATCCTTAACATGTGGCGAACATGCGGAGGATTCTCAGTCTCATACTACCAGCCTGCCTGGATTGTTCGCAACGGAACTGCGGCGGTGTTCGGAACCCAGGCCGCTGTGGTGGTGGCGGCGGTCATCTTGACTGTGACGATGGTGATCATCTTGGAGGGGAGGAAGCACACGCAGCAGGAGGAAGAATTGTAGATAAGCTGACTGGCAAAGACTGAGCCACTAGTTGTCCTGTGTAAATACTGCCTATTAGTGACGTGGTTTCTCTACAGTCAGATAGCCACAAGAGCTCCATAGACAATTATAAAGAATCATCTCACATACAAGTATAACTTACGTAAAAGATCTTAATCTATCTCTCCCTTACGCCGAATTATATTTCCATTAAAATTGATATTATCAAGTCGAAAAAAGCCATTCACGTCTTGTCGTTGGAGTTGTTTACTTTTATCCACATTGAGTAAGCGCAACTAAATGATCGACCTCCAATAGTTTAGCTATAACCTATCCAAATCCATCTTGCTATTGCAGAACGGACAGTAATCAGTGAAATTGGAATATCTTACCAGATAAGTATTATGCAGGGAATCTATAGTGATGGCAGGATATCTTATCTCTCAGAGTCAATGGCCATTTAGGTCCATAATCCCAGGCTAAGGGGTAAGTTGACAGAAAACCACCATTGACACCCTCTTTTTGCTGCTGCCCGACTTGAAGTCTTCTCCAAATGATCATAAATATGATTGATAGGGGGGGAGGCAAGCAGAACTACGGGAGCACTACAGGGGAAGATGGGAAGAGGGGAGAGAGCGACTCCGAGGCGCTGGCGAGACAGACAAATGAGCCCAAGGAGAAGGCGAGAAAAACCTCCAGGAAGCAGGTATCCTATAAGATACAGCCAAAGAGCCAGATGGTGAGGCATCCGGAACAATTTCGAACTGATGAATTATGCTAGGCTTATGTTGACACTCTTGGTTTGCGTGAAGGACAGCAGCTCTTCCAGACACTCCTCTCTTCCAGCCCCTGACTCCTTATACCCCCCGAATGGCACCCCTAGAAAGTGTCTGCCTACCTGGTTGACCCAGATAAAGCCAGCATCAATCTTTCCCACTGTCCGCTGTGCGGTTCTCATATTCTGCGTATAAACAGCTGCCGTCAGACCGTACGTGGTGTCGTTTACCTGACGCAGGACCTCCTCCTCATCCTTCCACTTGAAGACAGACATGACAGGCCCAAATATCTCCTCGCGTGCGATACGCATATGTGGCTGGACATTCGTGAAAACGGTCGGTTTGATAAAGTATCCGCCCTCGATGGCTGCGTTGCCAGTGGGAATGCCGCCGCCTAGGGCGAGGTGGGCGCCCTCTTGCTTTCCGCTGGCGATAAAGTCCAGAACACGCTCCTGGGCGGCCTTGCTGATTACAGGGCCCATAGTTGTCGCCATATCAGTCGGTAAACCAGGCTTGTACAGCGCCTGAATGCGTTCCAACACACGCAGAACGACCTCGTCATGATGAGACTCATGCAAGAAGACGCGCGAGGTCGAGCCACATGACTGTCCAGCCCAGGTGAAGTTCATACCGCGAGTGATTCCGTCCACAAGTCGGTCGATGTCAGCGTCTGGAAACGCCAGCAGGGCGTTCTTCCCTCCCAGCTCGAACAGGGTGGGTTTCAGTGTGTCTGCAGCAGAGCGTTGGATTGCTTTGCCTGTCGGCACGCTACCAATCAATGTGATCTTCTTCACGAGTGGGTGCGTCGACAACGCCTGGCCACAGGGAACACTGCCAGGCAGAATACTTAAAACGCCTGGGGGGAAAACGTCGGCGAGAATCTCTGCCAGGCGCAAACACGACAATGGCGCCTGTTCAGGCGGCTTGACGATGACTGTATTGCCTGCCGCCAATGGAGCTGCGATCTTGCCTCCGGCAAACATGACAGGGTGGTTATACGCGACAATGCGGGCTACAACGCCTAAAGGCTCACGCAGCGTATAATGGAACTGGTCGTTCTCTCGGGGAATTGTTTCGCCTTTCACCATGGGGATGAGGCCGGCGAAATAGTCGAGGTTGGCTGCAGCCACGTTAGCATCGCTGAGCATCTCCGCGATGGGATTGCCCGTGTTGAGTGCGTCAATCAGCGCCAGCTCTGTCGCATGCTTTCTAATTACCTCGGCCGCCTTGCGCAGGTATCCTGCTCTTTGTGTCGGTGTGATTGCACGCCAGGCAGGATACGCCTCCGCAGCCGCTTGGACGGCCGCGTCGACATCCTCATGATCAGCCTGCGCGACGGAGGTGATGACGCTGCCGTTCCCCGGGTTGAAGGTCTCGCGATACTGCTTCTGGCATGGTGAATGCCATTTGCCGCCGTAGAACAGCCCGTGGTGTGTCGGGAGGGCCTCTTCTAAATCTGGAAGCCGGGTCATGGTGGTATAGAGGGTTGATATGCCGGTGGCACAAGAGAAAAACAACTCTCTGCCTTTCTATCTTTTTGTCTGTCCCTCTTCCACGACTACAGAGTATGAGAAACCTTAGTTATCTCTGCAGGTTCCTGGACTGCATACGAAAGGGTCATCCGTGTGCGGAGAAGGATTGCGGGGAAGTTATCCCGCGCCCCGGGATTTCTGAAGTCTTCACCGAGTACTTTTTCCGGCTTGCAAGGCCTATAACATTGACCAGTATGGAGACAACACAGCAGCCCAAGCGGCGGGGTGTGGCCGTGGCCTGTGATGGCTGCTAAAGACGCAAGATCAGGTGTGATGGCCAACAGCCCTCTTGTACCTACTTCCTAGAGCGTGACCTGTCTTGTGTGTAACAGAGGATACCACAACAAGCGCAAGTCTCCCAGGAGTACCTCAATCCCGTACTGCGTCAGGTAGATGACCTGCGGCGCAATGGGCCCCAAACAAGCCTTGAACTTGTACTGGGGGTGCTTTAGCCATCAATCAGCGGTGCTGTGGACGAGCTACCAACCATTATTCTCTCGCCACAGTCTGTCGAGAATCCTAAAAATGATAGTAATATCGAGGGGTTTCCAACTGATGCAATGGTCTGCGCCGGGCCCTCGCCACAGGCCGATGGGGGGATTTTGGAAACTTGTCTACGTTACCGTTTCTTGACGGCCTGCAAACCATGGCCTTTCGCAGCGGGGCAGTCGTGATGAAGGATATAGATCCATTTTCACCAGCAGGTTAATTTCCAGTACCTTCTACGATCAGCTCTCAAGCTCCCTCTTTACCTCCACGTTCCACAGCATACCACCTTGTTGACACTTACTTTCACGCACCTTTCAGACCTATATACCATCTTGCATGAATCAAGTTTTGGTGCACGGTATGAGCAATATTGATGGCCTGGGCTAAATGAACCGGATAAGCTACGGCTTTGTATCATCAATGCAGTTTTTGCATTGGGAAGTCTGTTCTCAGATCAGTTTCCAGCAGAGGACAGCGAGGCGACGGCACTCTCGTTCTTTGCCCAGGCCAAGGGGTTGATCAAATTTGACTGTCTCGAATTCGAGAGTTTGACCATGGTGCAGGCTTTGTTACTTATGGGCCAGTATCTGCGAAGCACCACGCATGTGAATCGATGCTGGTACGTGTTTGGGCTGGCGATCCGCACAGCGCAGGGGCTTAGATTGCAGTTAGCAGAGGCTAGCTAGCGCTATCCCCCATTAGAGCGCGAGTTGTGGAAACGCTGCTGGTGCGGCTGTCTTATCATGGACATAATGGTCTTGGTGACCTTTGGCCAGTCACTGATGATCCCACCAGAACAGGACGAGGCCGTCGTGGACAGCGAGGACAAGATACTGACCCAAGCTGACGACGCGTGTATCAGGCATACTCAGATATTTGCGCAGCCCAAACATGCATCCCCACCGAGGATTTTTCTGCTCATCCAGAAGACCAAGCTCTATGTCGTGCTGCACCGCATCCTCAAGGCTTGAGACGTCCTTTTCCGGCGGCGAGAGGCTCGAGTTCGACTGGGGGTTGTGTGCATGGAGAGACGAACTACCTCCATGTTTTCGAATAGACAGCACCGGCAATTCGAGTGACGACAATAGGCCTGGCTCCCTTCGCCAGCGCCACTTTCTTCACGCCCGCTATCTCACCGTCCGGATTCTCTCCACACGGCCCTGAGCGTTCCAAGACCAATTTGAGTCATTGAACTGGGTGAATATCAATTGACTTAGTAGATGATGCCACGTTAATAGAGATATTCATTATACAAGACGATTTAGCAGGCGGAATCAAGCATCGTACATCTCCAATTTCCTCCATGGCAGTCGTACCTCTCCGAGGCGATGGTGATCAGTGCGGTCAGCATTTTCTTGCATCTCAGTATCCCCGGTATAGTTATCACTCCGTCTGGCAGGACAATCATAGATCAAGGCATAAACGGTCTTGTATTCGAGATATGTCCCGGGCTCTCCAGACGGGACCCCCTGGGCCACCCCCGCCTTTACCCCGGATTTAGCCCCACAGCAAGCCTTCCTGACATCGGAAGCCCAAACCTTGATTTTGGAAGTTCTGCCGCGAAAACACATTGATTCAAGTCTTCCCTCATTCTTTCGATAGATTCAGCTTTCTAGATTTATCGTCTTTGTATGGGATACTACCGTGTCAAACCTCATCTCCGACCGACCGATAAAGATCCGGCCGTTTGTCAAGTTCGCCGTACTTCTGTTCCCGCCGCGATGGCGAGTCTAGTCTGCACGACGGCTCTGGCGGCGTGGAAGCCCTGCACGCCCGTGTACGTGGTATCTAGATGTGCGGGTTGCAGGACGAGAAGCTTGCTGGGCCCGGAATCCGTCCGGTTCCCGTCTAGTTTGCCTGCACGGCAGCGCGCCCGTGGTGTTCAACACGCCCCAGATGGGCGAGGTGATCCGCGAGGCGGACGTGAGTTGTCTCCTTTGAATTGAATGGACGGACGGACCTCACAGGAACCCTGCAGGCTGCGTAACTCACGAGGGATGGGAAGAGTTCCTGCGAAGAACGAGTCGACAGCCAGACACCGTGCATATCAGCGTCGACTCGGCGGCTGCATAACGGCCGAGTCCAAGGACTACTTTGGACATCCGCCCATGGACATCCATCTCCATCACCACAGACGCAGACAAGTTTGTTTCCACCCCGGGCTCCTCGGTTGCTCGAGAATAGACAGATTCGCCGAGTAGTAGTATAGTATTCCTGCACCGCCTCCAGCTAGCGACGACAAGAATCTGCATAACCGGTCTCTCCGAGGCTTTTTACTCGACCGCTAATCCAGACGAGAGATGTGTATTATCCGAATCCCCCCCCTCGACCGGCAAGGCAGCGAGATGCGCGCCACCCACCCACTGTTGTACCTGGGTCAAGACGGCGGCCGGGGGGCGTGGTCTTTGGCCCCGGGGCAAGCTGTAAGATCCACCCTGGTATCGAAAAGACAGCAATCTGATATCTGTGGTGATTCTAGGAGATGGGGATTTCCTGATGGGCGGGGTCCGCGGTGTGGACTGCAGCGCGGTACAGAATCCCCCTGCTGGTGATTGTGGTCAGGAACGCATCCCTTTTCAACGACGAAGGGCATTAGAGACAAGTGACACGGACAAGCAGTCAATCCGTGGAGAACAAATGGATCGGGATAGATATTCGGCAGCGTTGAAGGCAAAGAAGGACTGCCTTATCTGCAATGTTGTTGTTATTGTTGTTGTTGTTGTTGTTGTTGTTGTTGATAGAGTTATGGTTCGCCACATGACAGCATCAAAGTATAAGTAGTGAACCTCATCATTCTCACTCCCATGTCATATTCCATCTACCGCTGATTTCATACATCTGAATATCATCAGTATCATTTCTCATTCATCAAAAATCATCATGTCATCCGTCTTGGAGAATATACTGGGGCAGCCACTCGGTCCCCGCACAGGTAACCCCTTCCAGAGCCTCTGATTTCTAAAACCTACTTTCTAACAAGGGACTTCTGCAGATCAATCTACAAGGATTCCCCTCTCGTCTCTCCGTGCCCAGCGGGCTGTGTGGATATCGGCCGGGGGTGGTATGGTAGCTACGCTGGAAGGGGTGTATCTGATGCTGCGAGGCTTTCGACGGTTGAGATATTTTTGAGAAAATCATCAATCAAAAGAAAGAGAAATAATAGGGAAAAGGAAATGAAACAGAGGATAGTGGAAAAGGAGCTGTGTGATGTGAAGAGTGTTATTCAATTGTTCTACGGAGTACATAAATTGATGCCTTCGCAATGGAGATTCATGCCATATAATTCAGGCAGCAATTCATATCGTATGATCGACACAAATCATACTAATTCGGTCTAGCCTCGTACTATCCAAGTCCGCCACTATGCTTATTTCTAATACTACATACAAACAGTACCTGTGTAGTATAATCTCTCAAATCTCATTATTTACAGAGTATTCAATCAAATTCAATGGAGTACTGGAGGGTGAATATTGCAGTTGATTGAGGATCGATCCAGACTACCACATTCTGTACTACATACAGAGTATACTAAATACGCATGCGGATAAGCTTTTTTTACTTTTTTATTTTTATTTTTATTTTTATTTTCATTATTTTAAATTTTTTTTCTTTCTATTTTTCAGTTTTTCAGCAAGGGACACTCGCTATTCCTAGAACCGGCCTTTATCTTTTTAAATTAATAATATAATGATAATATTTTTTTTTTTTAAAATAATCAGAATTAAATGATAGGCCTACATGATCCCATGACTTCGTATTGTGAACTCGGGGAGGAGGAGGGAATTACCACAAGGCCTTACCTAAGGATTTCCATACTCGTAACTCCGGAGTCGGTTGAAAGTGCTAGTTTCTGGGGACCAAAACTAGGACAGGATTCCATGGGTGGATCCTGTGTTCTAGTGGGAAATCATCAAGTAATTATTACTTAGTATAATAACTAATACTTCTTGAATAGACCATTAGAAGAATTAACAGTATCGTCGTAATGTATGTACCTAACGGAGTACGCCGTACTTAGAATACGGAATAGGCAGGTACTAAGAAATGACTAAGCTGAACGAACATGTGACAGCCACCAGGTCAACCGTCTCCGTGTCTGACTCTCTGATCAGCGCACTCCGTGAATAGCCAGACTCAGACTCAGCTCAGTGCTACTTCGTATTCAAACCCAGAGCCTATTCCTACACCTGCGGGGGACGGTTATCGCTGTGTCTGGAGAGTGCGAAGCCGACTTGCCTTCTCCGTACGGAGTATTTCTTTGTCGCCCGTCGGGTCTGCGTCGGTGCCCCGGTCCCAAGCCACCCAAGGGCCGGGAATCTCTTGTCTGCTTCAATAAAACCAACCCTAATCGACTGACGAAGATTGTGACTCGCTAGAACTAGCCTCCAGTTGAGCTTGGAGCCCCCCACCTCTCTTGGCTGCCATGCAGCGTGCTAATCATCGTCTGGCATTCCCTCGCAGCCCTCAACGGACCGACACCCCCTATTCCGTCGCTCCCCCGGCCACGGGCCACACTTCAATCGCGAGCTTATCATTCCTAGGTCGCATGACCAATGATTCGAGCCGTTCGGTCGGGAGACCCTTGGAACCTGCCCATCCATCCCACTGTGATAGAGGCAAAGAAGGAAAACACCCGGCAAACGCACTGGGCAGGAGTCAGGCAGGCACCTCACCAAAAAGTACCCAGTAACCTGCTACGCTCACTCGGGTCTGTTCGAGGCGGCTAGCTACGGCTCTATCGCAGTATCGTCCATCATCATCATCGACGAGATAAACATGTGGTAGCATTGCTAGCGTTATGCCTCTCTCTCCAGACTCGATTTTCCCGGGCGAGATGGCGGGAGCTCTAGAAGGAAGAATCTGAGTGGGCGGCACTGTGCTGCTTGCTGGTGGCGGCCCTTCATTCAGCCCCCGCTGCATCTGGCTGGATGCAACGCGGTTCCACCCGCACGACCGTTTCGTCGTCTCTTTTCCGGAATTATAATAAAGTGATAAGGGAGTCCCTTGCTTTCGGCCTTCTCTCTTCCTTCTCTCTCTCTTCCTTTCCTCGTGCTGTGCCTTGCTATTTCTCTCGCCGTGGAATTCATTGACTCCCCATCTGCCCTCCATGTCTATGCTTCCCGGCCCTGCGGCCGTCACGGCCCCTACGGAGCAGATCCGCGAATACGGCGCCGACTCAAAGGAGATTCACAAGATGTCCCTCGACGGCGCCCATCCCGGCGTGCGCGAACGCCAATGGGGCCTGCAGGCCCGCATGGATTCCTCGGTCACCTTTGAAGAATTCACCTACTGGGCCAAGATCGAGCGCAAGATGGAGGAAGAGGAGTATCGCCGCTACAAGGCGGTCACCTCCGGCCAGAGCTTCATCCAGTCCATCAAGGGCTATTTCACCAGCAACGCCTACGAGGATGCCAAGGTCCGGCACGACGCCTCCCATGTTCCCGACCAGGGAGAGGACCAGGTCGCCCAGTGGAGCGAAAAGAAGAACACCGATCCCGCCGCCGACGATGATGGTGCCGCCAGCCCGATCCCCCCGGACAGCCACGACCTGGACGCCGAGTGGCGACAGGCCGCCAGAGCCATGCGCATCGCCGGCTGGGGCAGTATCTTCTACCTCATCACCACCGACATTCTCGGCTGGGGGCAAACCCCCTACGTCTTCTCCAACACCGGCTACGGCCTGGGTGTCGGTATCTTCCTCCTCATGGGCCTCGCCGCCGGCGCCTCCGGTTTTATGATCTGGCGCACCTTCCTCGCTCTCGACTCCGCCCGCTTCCCCGTCATCAGCTACGGTGACCCCTTCTTCCGTCTGTTCGGTCGCACCACCGGTCACTTCATCAATGGCATGCAGGCCCTCCAGATGTTCCTCAGTGTTGCCGTCGTCCTTCTCGGTCAGACCGGTATCATCGCCCAGCTCGCCGGCAGCGTCGATCTCTGTTATATCGTCTGCGCCATCATCTCCCTCATTGTCAGCATGGTCAGTGGTTACATGCGATCTCTCAAGCACCTCGGCTGGTTCTGCAATGCCGCCGTGTGGATTAACATTGTTTCCTTCATCATTGTGTGAGTTTTCTTTCTTTCCTTCTTCCCCCCCCCCCCCCCCCCCAAGAGAAGCGCCCACATATGCTGACTCAAGATTGTTAGTATCGCTGCCGCCGCCAAGTATGGGCCTGATCCCACTGCTGCCGTCGAAAACGGTATTCTGAACAAGGAGTGGGCCGTGGCCGGGCATATGGCGCCCGTCAAGACTTTTGTCGGCACTCCTCCCGCCGAGTATCAGCCTACCGACACCAACCTGTTTGCTGCCAAGTTCAACGGCATCAACAGCATGGTTTGTAAGTTTGAGCTCACTACCATGAAAGAAGAATGAAGACAAAAAAAAAAAAAACAAAACGAATTGCCTGACTGACTTCTGATCAAAGACGCCTACTCCGGCGCTATCATGTTTGTCGCCTTCTTGTCCGAGATGCGTCATCCCATGGACTTCTGGAAGGCCATGCTCCTCGCCCAGACTTTTATTACCGTCGTCTATATCTTCTTCGGTGCTATCGTAAGTTAACTATAGGCCCCTTATGTCGCCCCCCCTCCTCAAGCTAACAAATTGTTTCCCTAGATCTACCACTGGTATGGACAGTACAGCTACGTTACCATCACCCAGGTTGTGAAACCCGACAGTCTTCAGGTTCTGAGTAATGTTCTCTCGCTGGTCACTGGTTGGCTTGCCATCTGTATGTTTCTTTTTCCTTTTTGATTGGTTTTTTTTTTTTTTTTTTCTTTCACCAGCTGACAGTTTTCATTCAGTCCTCTACTTCAATGTTGGTATGAAGACTGTCTATCTCGAGGTCGGTCAGGAAATCTTCAAGCTGCCCCCGATCACGAGCTCCAAGGGCCGGTATCTCTGGTGGGCTCTCGGCCCGGTGTACTGGATCATCGCCTTCGTCGTGTCCATGTCCGTTCCGCAATTCGGCGCCTTCACGAACTTCGTGGGAGGCCTGTTCAGTCTGAACTTCACCTACTCCCTTTCCGGGTTCATGTACCTCGGGTATAAGATCCACGAGGGTGCCCAGCTGCCTGGCGAAGGATTCGACCCCGCGACCGGCGTGACCACGCGTCACGACAGCGGACTCAAGCGATGGACCCGTGGATTCCTCAAGAACTGGTACATCACCGTGCCGGTCCTGTGCTACGCGGGTGCCGGTCTGGCCACTTCGGGCATGGGTACCTGGGCCGCCGTCCTGGCCCTCGAGGCAGCCTTTGGCCCCGATGGCTCCGTCCTCACTTCCTGGACTTGCACCAACCCTTACTATACCGGCTAGAGAGCTAGTACGGTGCCGCTTGGGAGGCACGGGATGCCTGGCGGGAGGTTGAACCGGGGGACTCCTCGGAGCAGGCCTTAATCAACAAACATTCAGCCTGCCCTTGGTGGGACCTAACTGGTACCAGCCTTCTCTCCTCTGGGAGTTTCTGTATCTAGTCCACTATTCTATATATCACTATAATGTATTTATTCTCTACTGACCACCTTAACGCGAGACGAATGTCAAGACAGTAATAGATCATGCATTCCAGCCATCCTGGAGTATCAACGTCTCTTTATAATCTATTCACTGCAGACTGAAAGGGATAAAGCCATTCACTGAGCCTTCTCATTCAAGGATCCTTCCTATATAAATATAACCCTTCCCTGTCCATTTCTTTCTCTTCTCCTGCCTGTCTGTTTCTCCCTCTCCTTCCTGTCCAACCTTAAATATATATTCTCATACTCATAATACCTGAGACATGGTCTCGTTAGATAGCGCTGCATTTCAAGGGAACCCACTCCTACCACAGCTGTGATCTAATCGACAATTCACTCAGTTTAACAGATCTTACCAATCCCATCCAATACTATCTTGACAAGCAAGTTACTGTGATCTAGTCTCTCCCTGGATTTGCAGTATATTCTAGGCTTGACTTCAGACCCAGCTTCTACACGACAAACAGTATGGTCTATGTTCTCGGATACTGCTCCAACAGCGCACTGATGAATGCTTTGCTTGCCACTATCTTCGCAGATTGGTTCCAACAGCCCTATTGAAGATCCATTGATTGTCTTGACACTTGACGGTAGACGGCAGACAACCAAGTAATCAACAGGTTGAAGCTCGATGATACAATCCCCTTCTCGATTTTGTCCCGCGGAGAAGCAAGCCAAAGAGCATTCCGCTTATCATCTTCGGCCCTGTGAGAGATGTTCCGAGGGAGTCCAATGTACAAGCAATACTATATCTTCATTGATTATCAGAAAGGGACTGAAGATCACTCTCGTCATGTCTCTCATCAATAGTGCTGACATCCTGGACTCCGACAAAGAGATAGCTTGTTTCAAGCAAGGAGAGCTCATCACTGTACCTAGCTAGATAGCGATATATATCATATTTTGAGCTGGAGATCACTCTATAGCTTAAATAAACATTGCAAAATGAAGTCATATTCTCTTGTGGTTGAAGTGAATCACACTAAAACATCTATTCTGAAAAAATTTCCCCTTATATCTGTGTGTTCTAGACTCTATACCAGTCGCCGAATATCAAATTGAGACTTGGATGTCTGGTCCAAAACAATCACCGTGTTGTTTTCGCTATCGGCAGGTGCTTCTCGCTCAAAAATCCAGCCTAGCGGAGGAGACACCTCCGCCACGGCTCCCCGTGGCACAGTCAGGGTCATTCTCCCCGTCCCCGTGGGTTCCCGAACATGCAATTCGACTCTGGCCATGCCAGCCGGCGTACTGACTTCCACTTCGACATCTTCTAAGCCGGCAAGCACCGGTCTGACTCGATACCGCGACCAACCCGGCTCCAGCGGTTCAATGCCCCCCAAGTATCTAGGAAGGAGGTATACAGGCCAAGTCGACCAGCCGTGGACAAGAGATGTGTGGGCGGAGAATGGTGTCCCGTCAGCTTTCAATGCCTCCCAGTGTCCGCCGGAGTAATTGGCACTCGACTTGTCTGCCATGACGCCCCAGAGTCGCTCGACAAGTTCCACGGCAGATGATCCACGGTTTTTTTCGAATAACGCCTCGACTGCAAACCCCGTTGCATACGGACTGACCACACCCTTGTCCGTCCAGCCCTGGATTTCTTTATATGGTAGTGGAAGCGGTTCGTCGGGGCCAGGAATTAGAGCTTGTGCTGCTGCTGCTGGGCTGGGCGAGACCCCGGTTGTAATGCTGTAGGCCTGGATATCCTGGCACAACCCTGTAGGGGAGAACTTGTCACTCATCTTCATGATATGTGCTTCCTCGTTCCATAGATGAGCAATGATACAGTCTTTAAGCACTTCGGCGCGGGATGCATAGCGATCGGTGACTCCTGCGGAATCGCACATGCGACTCATACATTTCAGCGCATCGTAGTATGCCAAGTTGACCTTTCCAGAGGCTCCGAATATCGGTCCATTTCTCGGAAACCAGTCCACTGGAACAGTCAGCCTCGGCTCTTAGCGTAGACTAAAACAGACTCACTCAGTAAAGGCGTAGGGGCGACAACTAGTCCTCTGTCATCCACATGGCTCTCGGTAAACTCTATCATCTTGTCCAGCTTCTCCCATATACTCTGGATCAAAGATGAATCACCAGAATGCAACCAGTAATCCTTCACGGCAACAATAAGGAGTAAAGCGTAGCTGAGAGAATAGAAAGCATAAGAAGGTGCCTCTATGTCCTCGGAGGTTGGGGCTTGGATAGGACATAGGTTTCCCAGATAGCCGTCCTTGACTTGGTGACTTGTGAGAAGCCTGATGCTTCCCAGAACAGCCTCGAGGGTTCCTGTCGAGTAGAAGATCGAGCGGCCAATAACAAATAGATCGCCAGCAAACAACGCACCATCTCTCTTTGCTCCATCAACTGTGCATGCAAGGTTGTTGGTTCCAACAGCAAAGTCGGCTAGCGTGCGGTGCTTGTCTTGGGGCAAGAGGTTGTTTTGATATAGCACGAGGTCCTCAGCATCTGTCACCTGCAGGAAGCGATAAATTGCTGTGTAGTTCTCAGGGCCGCCAAAGGTCACGGATCCGGTGTTGTTCGGTGCTCCTCCTTTCATTGAACGGATCTTGAGATCAGCAAGGGTCGCGATGTCATGATCGTTGATCGTGACTGTGACATCGAATCCCCGGGTGACGGTCTGAATCCGAAGCCAGCCGGTGAGATCCACGCTTGTCTCGATCGGCCACAACCCCCGTTGTTGAGGGGGGAATATCCCACCCGTATCAGAGAACCCTTCCACTGCCTTCAAGGAGCGTGTTGCAACGTCAAGACAGAAGATAAGCCCATTTGCATTCATATGGACTCCCCAGCTGGCGCCTCCATTCTCAATGAGCACCTCGAATTTGACGGTCTTATCACCCCACCCGGTCCCATGTCTACAGGGAGCCCAGTGTTGCCCTCTGATTCTGGTACCGCGATCTATCACTTCCCATGCATCAGATACCTCGCCTGCGTCCACTGTACACATGTCCACAGTTCGTACGCCGTCTAACCAGATCTGGTTGAGCAGCTCGTTGGAGCACTTGAAGGAGCATTGGGATGAGTGCGGGACACGAGTGTGTGTGAAACCGATAGAAGATATATTCAACGTTGAATGGGGCGTTTTGAGAACGAGTTTCTGGTATCGCTGTGCCTTTTGAGCAAAATACGACTCAACACGACCGGGGAGGGTAGACGTCTCAAAACGGTGCGTCTCGTGTCTGTACGAATTCATGATGTTGGAGAACAGAAAGAAAGGGCCGTCCCCTGGTAAATACCACCAGTCAGCCATAATCTGAACGCCAAACCTGCTGGCATGGATCTCTCTATCGTACCTGTCGGTTTGGCCAAACCTTCCAGTGTCTCGCTGTAGATAACATCCAGGACGACCGGTTGTCCATCCTTGCTGGCAGTGCATACGGTTTCAATGAAGGGAATGCCACCTTCGGCACGCCCATAATCAAGAGTGATCTCCGAGTTGTCCGTGCCGTCGTTAGACAGGATAAACCCTTCATCAACCGACACGTCTCCCCGCCAGGTCCATTTGACTGGATGACTGACGCCTGTTTCCCTATGGAATCCCATATTAGTTTCCGTGACACTGTATCCTTTTTCTGTGTATATTCGATTGGAGAAACCATGGAAACACCAGGAACTTGCCATTAAATCATCACGGGCAGTAGACCCTTCTCCAAAAAAAAGCCATCCCAGTCAAATGCGGGGTATCAAGGGCGAGACAGAGATAGCTATCGGACCTCTTTTCACCGAAGGATGACGCGTCAGGGGGGGAACAACTCAACAGGAGGCTTCAAAGAGTTCGGGAGGCCTTCGGAGGTGGCAGTCGAGCCTGACAGCGCGTCCTAATAGCTTAGGTAATTACTAGTACAGCCTGGCTGTATTGAAACCATTTAGTTTGATACAAAATGCGGGGGACCTCAACTTGTATAAAGTAGATTGTTTTGGTTTTTCTGTTTATTGCACCTCTAGCATTTTTATATATATAGTGGCTCTATTATCTCTATACAGTGTTCCCTCCCTAGTTAAAGCTATATATCTCCTATAAAAAGTATGTCAAAACATACAGAATAATTACTAATAACACCTTCTGCATACGGTTGCGGTATTACCGCTAACCTGAATAGGCAGGGCCTCTCTTCCAAGCTTCTCTCAACCTCCCAACCACCACGAAGCAAATAACAACCCCCTGCACATTCTCACAAGCTCGTGGCTTTCTCTTTGGATAAGCGGAGCATCAATTTACCCCGCCGTCGATGCTCATGCGGAGAGTCCGATAGGGCTCCGGGGAATCCTAGCAGCTTGTACGAGGGTGGCTTGCCTCTGTTGGCCAATCCAAGGACAACCTCGGGCAAGAGCTGTTGATTTAGTGTCTTCCCCCTCGCTTCACCTGTTAACAGCTCGTGATAAGTCTAGGAATATGCTTGCTCTGACCCTTGAATCCGGGGAATGCGGGCCATCTTAGACCGAGCGGAGGTTGCCCGACTGTTCAAGCGCTTTAGGCAGTTTATATAGCGAAGCGAGAATGGGAATCATCAACTCGCTGGTCTCCTTCCCAGCAAGTTGTGGATATTACGTGAACACGGCTCTTTATTCAATATGGTGAACTGGTTTACGATCCGCTGCGCCGTGATCGCCTCGGTCGGCGGCTATGCTTTTGGTGTTGATTCCGGTAGGACAATCCTCTCTGGGCGTTTCATCTTTCTGATCTCGGATTTAGGTATCATCGCGACCACCCTCGCCCATGAATCCTTTTATATCTATATGTTTGGACCTACGGGCTCCAATGCTGCGCTTTTAGGTATGCAGTCCTGTGCGGGAAGTAGCCCCCCCCCCCTGCTAAGTGGCCCCAGGCGCAATCGTAGCTCTATACAGTGCGGGAAATGCACTCGGAAGCTTTTTTGTCGGTCCGTTGGCAGATGCAATCAGTCGACGATGGTCCATCTCTGTCAGTGGCCTATTCGGTATGCCATAACTGACCATTCATGTGTTCTAAGACGTTGCTCCCCTGCTAATGCTACATGTAACAGCCACTGTCGGAGGAATCTTGATGTGTGCGGCACAAGACCCTGCGATGATGATCGTCGGGCGCTTCTGCGCAGGTGTTTCGGCGGGAATCAATCTTTCTATCATCCCGGTCTACATCGCGGAAATCTCTCCACCGGCATCTCGCGCCCGAATGCTTGCCATTCTGGGAACCTCCATCGCAATCGGCTTCTGCATAGTTGACTGGATCGGCTACGGCGCCGCCTTTGCTGTGGGAAATGCCCAGTGGAGAATTCCCCTGGGAATTCAGTGTGTCGGAACACTGGCAATCGGAATCGCCCCGATCTTCATTCCGTACTCTCCACGATGGCGTCAGTAGTTTCAATATTATTGAATTTGGAATTTCTTTAGCTAACCTCATATCTACAGTCGTCCAGAAAGGTCGCGTTGAAGAGGCACGTGAAGGTTTGTGTTCCTGGTTGAAATTGCACCCCCTTATAGTCTTATACTTATATGCTAGGATATAGTGCTCATGCGACTCCACTCATCCGAGAACGAGGCTTTCATTTTGAACGAGCTCACCATCATCCAACAACAGATCGATCTGGAGAACGAGGTCCGCCACGAAGGAATGTTCACCCAGATACGGGACCTGGTGAGTAAACGGTACCGCCTACGCTTCCTCATCGCGGTTTGTGTCTTTGTTGTCACCAATCAGCTGTCAGGCGTGTACACAATCCAGAACTACCAGACCGACTTCTACGATCTGGTGGGATACACGGGGAACCAGGCTCTTCTTGTAACAGGCGTATACGGCTTCATGGGCGTCATTGGCCAGATCATCAACATTGCCGTAGTGGCAGATCGCATAGGCCGGAGAACTACAATGTGTACGTTGCTACTCCCGAACTGTTTCATATAACCATCTAGCTAATCAATATTTGCTCGAACATCAGGGGTGGGAAGCTTTGGCTTAGCAATCTGTACGGCCATTACCATGGCCATGACTGCTACCGTTGGATCGAGCACGGCCAAGGCCAACACCGCCATTGCTTTTATCTTCATCTATTCTGCCTGGTACGCGGTGTTCTTCAACACAACCAGCTCTCTGCTTGTCACCGAGATTTTCCCCTTCCGCCTGCGGGCTCTGGGCTTCGGAGTTGCCAGCTTCTGTGGATTCTGCGTGAATATCCTGCTCAGCGAAGTATCGCCGCTTGCCTTTGACGGAATCGGGTGGAAGTAGGTTCCCTGAGCATGGATTTCCACGGTTTCTGTTCTTGATGGCTGACACAATCATCAGGTATTACTTTGTCTTTACCATCTCTAGTGTTCTCGGCGGGTTGTTCTACATCTTTTTTCTTCCGGAGACCAAGGGTATGAATCTTGAAGAGGTGGCGGCTGTGTTTGGCGATGTGGTGGCCACGACCTACACCAAGGATGCTGGCGATGAGGAGAAGGCTGACGGTCAGCATGTGGAAATCTTGAAGGCCTAGGAGCACTAGTAAGTATAAATGGTGAATTATAACATCAGCACTGGAATTGCTCTATTTAGTAGAACACTAAAGAGAAGTAATTGAGTATCCTACAATTTGTACAATTATACAAAAGCGAATTTCTATTATCAACTCTATGAATGTATGCTTTCTAACTTAATATGCGCTATCATCAGAATGCCCTCTATAATGAGAATAATATCCAAGCAAAGTAGTCCTATTCGATATGCAATGCTCTCACTCTATAGTGTCTTCTAGACCTCCTCCTCATAATACTCGCCCTCCTGATAAAAGTCTTCCACCTCATCTACATCTTCATCTTCATCATCATCATCATCATCATCCTCATCGTCTTCATCTTCTAGCAGAGCAACAGCATCATTCAGCTCTACAAAAATACAAAAGTCCTCCGCCAGATCCTGCAGCTCCAGTAACTTAAACCAGAGAGCATCAGGACCTTCATCCCACCTAATACTCTCTCTCTCCTCCCGTTCCATCGACCGAATGATCTTCGCCATCGCCTCTTCCAAAGACGTATCCCACTGATATTGTTTATGAACCTCGTGGCCAAGAGTATCCACAGCGTAAGCGATTGACTTGCCGATCTTGCGCAGAACAGAGAGTCCATTGAACCGCGTCTTCGGGTTCGCAGAGGGCCCACACCGCGCCGCGATACTTTCAACAGTCTCGTTGATCTCACGACACACTTCGCCCGCCATATCGTACTGGTTTGAGCCGCTGAGTCGGGCGTGCGTGACGTTCAGGCTCTTCCAGATCGAACCGGACAGCCCTTCGAAGCTGATCACGCGGTTTCCCTCCCTCTCGTGAATTCGATGCAGCGTACTATCTAGCAAGTTCTCGATATCAGGATGCAACCGCACGGCTTGGGCGACGAGCTCCACCAGGCTTGCTTTGTCGAGTTGCTCTGCATTGGTGCGTGTCTGGGAGAGATGGTCCTGTTCGGCTGGCGTGGAGGCGTCGTGGGCGTCGCCGGCTGTATTGGCACGAGCGCGCTTTGTAGGCTGAGAGTCGAACATTTCAAGTCGAGGATTAGCCTTGAAATTTCAAGTTGATTTAAGTCTTATAGTCAGCGAAAAAGTGCTGAAATAAAAGGAATAGAAAGCGACTGTATGAGGTGGGAGGTGAAGGAGTCAAAAGTGAAAGAAGCTACCTGTGCACTTCGCTGGATTTTTGAGAACACGTGATAAATAGATAATATAGCTTTCATGAAGAGATAGTGATCTTCACTGTCTCTTCATCAAAGCCAGAATCAGATATTCTATCTGTTTGTTTTTCAAGGAAGCCTCCTCTAGTCCATCCAGACCATCCAATTCAGCGCAATACTCACGATAAAACAACCTTGACACCGGATATATGATATATCATATTGAGGACATTTTGAAAATGTCTTATCCCTACTATGTTAGCAGCTGGATGGATTGGACGGGGAAATATACTTAATATAAAAATGGATAGAATTATGTCATGCTGAGCAGGTGGTTAGTGAAGTATAAAGAATTATTATAGTACTAATGATGAAGATGATAAACTGTCTTCATAATGTTAATATTTTAATGATTATTTAATGATTATCTATTGATTATAGAAAGGCCTTTATATTTCTAATATATGGGTTGAGTGTAATATAAAAAGCATTAAATAATCTTTCCACTTATGTAGATCCTCTGGCATTATTCTGACCTTGTTTATTAACCTAAAGAGCGAGATTCTAGAGAAAAAGAGTGACGGTAGAAGTAAGCATAGGCAAAGTCCATCTTAAGCAACTAAATCAGGCATGGACTTAGAGATATTCTTAACAGAAATACAGTCTACAAACTTTCATGGATTGTCGTGAATTCTATGATCTATCCCAAAGTACACCCGAACACTTGCGGAGAAAAAAAAAGGTAGACAAAATATTTTCGATTGAAGTTAAGTCACTGGAGAGAAAGGGCAACAACACCAGTAACGAGGTACAGCGTCACGCAAGGATCCCGAGGTGAAAAGGGGGGGGGGAAACACACACACTCCTCTAAGCCAAATCTACGACGGACAAACTCATTTAGAGAGCAACCACGAAGGCGAAGACAGCGATGACGGCGCCGAAGATGGAGCCAGAGAGGGTGTTGGCACCGCTGGTGGAAGTCACGACGCTGGTGGAGGAGGCGCTGGCGGCACCGGCGGAGGAGCTGCCGGAGCCCTTGGTGGCGGAGGCGCTACCGGAGGTGTAGGTGTAGTTGGCACCGGTGGCGCCGGCGATCTTGGAGGAAGCGGTGGCGGAGGCAGTGATCCAGCGGGAGGAGGAGGCGGTGGTGGAGTTGGCGGAGGAGGAGGAGGTGGAGTTGGAGGCCGAGCAGGTCAGGTTGTAGAGGGGGGTGTCAGAGAGGGTGCTGCCGACGACGCCGAAGCTGGGGTTGGGGGTGGTCGGGGAGGCGTCCTGCAGGATGTACCACCAGGTGTTGGTGACGCCGAACAGGGGGCAGCCGACCTCATCCCAGTAGGTCTTGGCGTTGGCGGTGCTGGCGACGGCGAGGTTCTCGGTGTCGCCGCTGACGGGCCAGCCGGTCTCGGTGACCCAGACCTCCTTGCCGTCGGCAACGGCGTTGGTCTTCTCCATGGCCTCGAGGAAGAGGGCCTTGGCGTCGGAGATGGCGTTGGACTCGGTGTTCTGGAAGAAAGGGTAGGCGTCGACACCAAGCCAGTCGCAGTTGTCGATAACCTCGGAGTTGGAGCCGTTGACCCAGGCGGTCCAGGTGTCGACGTGGCCGACGGGGACGGCGCTCAGGGTGGTTCCCGAGATGGCCTCACGGACCTGCTTGATGTAGGAGACGATGGTGTCGGGACCGACACCGACGCCGGCGTCGGCCTCGATACCAGTGGTCGAGTCCCGGTACAGATCCTCGCTGCCAACCGAGATACCGGCAACCAGATCGGTCAGGTCGTCGCCGTACTCCGAGATAGCCGACTTGAGGGCCGCCAGCTCGTTGTCAAAGTCACCCCCTGACGCCCAGATACCGAGCAGCAGAGTAGTCTTCTCGGCGATGGCGGCGGGAATGGCGGAGATAGGGGTGTCGGTCGTACCACCTTGCTGGAAGAAGTCAGCAAGTCTTTTTTTTTTTTTTTTTTTTTCTCACGCTACTACCAGCCAACACTTACAATCATGGTGTACAGACGAGCGCTGGTGAAGCCACCGTCGGTGCCGGCGAGGTTCTTGGCCGTCTTGAATTCCGCCTCGAAGTCGGACTGGACCTTGTTGGTGCCATCAGTGTAGGTCGAGCCATAGTTGAAGCCCTGGTAGACGGCCTCAGAGGTAGCGAGCGAAAGCGCGAAGGCGAGAAGGTGCTGGAGCTGCATGTTGAAAGACTGAATATAGTAAAAAGATAAAACAAAATATAATAATAAAAAGTATGTAGTGTAGTGGTAAAAGAGTGTAAGATGACTCAAGAGTGAAAAAAGATCGGTAGGTAAGGAAAGAAAGTGGTTGTCAACGAGGGACAAAGAAACGATGGGGGAGTTGAGGAGAAGAAGAAAGACGACGGATGGAAAGAGTTGAAAAAGCCGGAGAACGATCCATCCCCTGCGCTAGCCCTGGGTGGGGTTAGCGTGGAGTCGTGGCAAACCGTGCGGCCTGACTAAATATAGCCTGTTCTCCTGTACAGAGTCCGGAGGAGTTAAGGAGTACGGAGTACGGAGTACGGATAGTTAAGGAGTCACTAGTTAGTTACTACATAGAGTAGAATTTTAGACTAATGCTGATTATCTCTACACCTTGCTGTACTGCATACTGCATACTATGGCCAGGTTGGGCGTGTGTACCTAGTACTGTACCGTCCCTGACCCTTAATCTGCACAATCAACTCGGTACCTGGCCAATCAGATACTCTACATGTGGTGAAGAGGGACCAATTTCCGGCCTCAGGCTTCAAGAATGTGGCGTGCCTGAAAGTTTTCACGTGAAATGCTTGTCTGGGTTAGCCCCTGGTCTTGGCCCACGTCGTTCCTGGACCCAGCCCTAACTTGGGCTCCACTGGCCAGACCTTGAGGTACGGAGTAACTAATATGGAGGATGGTAGTACTATGGGGCGTTATCAATAGAACAATATTACATAGGGGATACTACATATATTATTAGAAACATATTTTTTTTTGGTCTCTTTTGTAATAAAATACAGAAGGACTAGGTGGTTTGCCAATAAATTGTCCAAGGGCACCCATATTTGATTTCTCCTGGTGGTGCAACCTTGCAAGGGGCAGAATCGTAATCCGCGCCATTAACGAGTTTTCGTCGATTGCATCATACACTCGCTCACGTGATCTGTACCAGGACTGTGTGGCCCACCGTCCCCACCTAGAAGTGGATCCCAAGGCCCCACAGCGGGCAAGACAGGAAGGTGGCTTCGAGACTGGAGAATTGAATGAGACATTATTGATGACCGTTAGTAGTTAGTAGTTAGTAGTTAGTATGAGGGAGTAGTATTAGGGGTCAGGTTGATCCTTTTTCTAAGCCTTCCCCACATTTATATATAGAGTCTTCTAGAGTAGTTAATTTCGGATAAGTTCATTAGCTAGAGTATTCGATTCCAGCCATTCGCCAGGAGGATGATTAGGTCTAGACTCGATGGACGTTATTAATAACTAATATTCCATGGTTGGGTTGTCAATTTGGCAATACAGAACTCATAGGGGTCATGTCGGCGAGACTCAAGTTGGATAGAAAAGGGGTAGAGAGAGGAAAGTGCCTTCTAAGGAAAGCTACGGCCGCTAGGCAAAGGGAGCAAAATCCTGTGCATATGAGCCCAACGTGGTCAACTCCTCTTCCACCTGCATCCTTTGGAGCCTCTCTGCGTCCCAGAAGACATACCCCCATGGCAGCAGGGATGGGAACTGAGCACACAGCCGGCTCGTCTCTCTATTCACCAACCATGTCCATGCGAGATTGGGCGCATCCCAATCATCGTCGGAGCCAAACACTGACCCGTCGATTTCCCGACGATAGCGGTGCGTGTACTCTTGTGTGAGCGCGATGAAGAATGGATCAAAGTAATCCACGTTTCGCAATCGGCGCCTGATCATCCCGAATTGCTTTGCCATGCCGACCGTCTGGTCGTTTTCCTTAGCCGCCTTGAGCCAGCGGAGAAGAAATTCCAGCCCAAGAGACATGCAGTGTTCTTTGAATCCGTCAAATGCAGAACCCTCCTCCTCCTCCTCAGAAGAAGAAGAAGAATTCTTTATTATGTTCTGCTGTTGCGCTTCTATTCTCCATCGCTCTCGGAGACCATCACCGATAGATTCCATCGCCGTGCCGTCAAACGACAACGCTTCCAGGTCATAGTGCATGTCGTCTGAGACCCACGAAAACGTCCGATATGCGTAGTCTCGGAAACAGAGCATCTCCTCGATCTCCCACGGATGGAAGAATTGGAAGAAAACATGACACTCCATCTCCAGATGCACGAGTCGCAGCCCTTCAAAATCTGGATACGATTTGAACAGGTACCGGAACGTCTCCATTCGATACAGAACACGATGCAGGCGTCGAATCTCCGACGGCGACAGTGGCAAGACAGTTTCATCATATCCTTGCTTAGAAGAAGAAGGAGGAGATGATGATGATGATGATGATGATGATGATAATGAAGACGCTAATGTCAACGCCGACTGCGCCATATCATCCGCCACATCGTGGACAATAAAGTACAAGCGTGTCATATGCACCAGCTCGGCATCGGTGAAGGGCGTCGCTGCACCGAACAACCCCAGACCGTGACGGTCATATAATTTTTGATTTTCGGTGACAGGATGAGCGCGCCCGGCGTAATTGCCTTGCCCATGTGGTTCGTACGGTTTGATCAGCGAGAGCAAAGCGTGGTACTGCGAGATGAACTCCTGTGAAAGATTCTTGAGCGACGTGCGATCGAAAAAGTCGCAGGGAATCTCGCGCCACCGCTTGGCGAGAGCTGCTCCCACGGCATCGACTATCACGGGGAAAGGAATGGAGCGAGCGAGCAGGCAGGAGAGAATATTCCTCCGGTTGGAAACGTAGATGGCATGGAAACTCGGGCATGCGTGGATGACTGCTCGGAGATCGTACAGATCGCACAGTGCGTAGAGAAAATGTAGCTTGATTTCCACTGGCAGAGCTGATAGCGAGGCCATGTTTGAATAAAGTGCGAGCGAGCGAGCGAGCGAGCGAGAGAGAGAGAGAGAGAGAGAGAGAGAGAGAGAGAGAGAGAGAGAGAGAGAGAGAGAGAGGAGTGAGTCATAAGTGGTGGTTCTAGAGCCTGTGAGACCATCGTAAATATGGAGTACTTTGAACAAGACAATTATCATATCTTTGGGAGAGAATCGCGCTTCGCCCATTCTCTGAGAATTGCGCGCCGGATCTTCCCACTCGCCAGTCGAGGCACTTCATCCACGAACTTGACCCCCCCGACCAGCTGCTTGTGCCTGGCGACGCGATCCGCGATGAACTGCTGGATCTGCCGAGCAGAGACCATTCCCACCGCCTCGTCCTTGAGCCGGATATATGCCCGCGGCCACTCTTCCCCCGTCAGGGCGGAGGGGACGCAGCCCACGACTCCCGCATCCGCAACGGCCGCATGTTCCAGGAGGACGGCCTCCAGCTCGGCGGGGGCCACCTGCAGGGCGTTCACCTTGATGAGCTCCTTCTTGCGGTCGACGATCCAGAACCAATTCTCACGGACGAGCATCACGTCTCCCGTTTTCAGCCATCCGTCTGTATCGAGCGTTTCCTTCGTGGCGGTTTCGTTCTTCCAATATCCCAGACACACGTTTGGGGCGCGCACATACAGTTCCCCCGGTGAGCCGGGCTCGGTGACCAGCTGCCCCTTGTCGTCAACGAGCTTACATTCACAATTTGGATCGAGCAGGCCGACGCTGCCGGAGTCGTCGTAGCGGCCAGAGGGGACATGCATGGCTCCGCAGGTCACCTCTGTCATCCCCCAGCCCTGCACTACGTTGGCGTGGAACCGGGTCTGGATCGTGTTCTGCAACTCCTTCGACAGCGGGGCTCCGCCGCACCGGATATTCTGCAGGCTGCTGAGATCGTAGTGCGCCGTTTCGGACCGCTTGTCCAGCATGATTAGGATGGGCGGCGCGACCTGTAGATGGGTGATGCGGTGTTGCTGGATGACGGCGAGGAAGTCTTCAAAGACAAACTTGGTCATGATGTAGATGGGGAAATTGAGCTTGGGAGCCATGAGGCAAGCATACAGTTGGCCTATATTTGTTAGCAGTACATCAAAATAGACGTTTTCTTCTTATTAAAAGGACTACCATAAGCATGGTAGAGAGGCAAGAAGCCAATCCAGCGCTGCTCCGGCCTTGACGCAGGAACAACCTCGTATGCTGTCTCCCGATCGTCCATGAAGATGGTCTGCTCGACCGTCGCGACGAGGTTCCGGTGCGACACGCAGACCCCCTTGGGCAATCCCGTTGTGCCGGAGGAATAATTGATGGTGGCGACCGTCGACGACGCTTTGGAAGCGGAATCATCACTACCACTACCACTCCCACTCATTCCATCCCATTTCCACGAGGCACCCTGTTCTTCATTGCCGATCAAATCCCGCCAGTCTCTTACTCCCTCTGCGGAAGTCTCACACTCATGGTCTGCAAACTGGAACACCCGGTCTGCTGCAGGACACCACCCGACAGCACGACACGCCGCCAGAGCAGTGGGCAGCAAGCTAGGATGCACAAGCAAAACCGCGGCATGGGTATCTCGCAGCTGATGCACAAGTTCGGACTGGGTGTAGGCCGGGTTTGCACCGCTGAAGATCCGCCCGGAGCCCACGATGCCCTGGTACGCGACGGGGACGAAGATGTGGTTCGGGGTGAAGACCAGAACCACCTCACCGGCACGAACGCCCAGCCTGTCGAGACCGAAACCGAGTCTCCTCACCCAGGAGAGCAGCTGGCGTGGCGAGAGAGACTGGGCGGGGTTGCTGGCGTCGATCCAGATGGGTTTGTCTGAGACAGTCTGGTTGGGGGGGTACAGGTAGGACAGGATATTGACGTGGGGGATGTCGATGGGCGGATAGATTGATTGGTAGGACATGTCGAGTGAGTCTCTGGTCGATAAATAAGCTCTTGAAGCATCGCGCTGAGCCTGGCGTAGGAGTAGTCAGTAGATATATGCGGAGTAGTTCATTCTTTTGCGGGGAAACAGCATAACCGAGGCAAAATCAGAAGCTTGAGAGAGTGCAGTTCTTGGCAGAGAATAATCTTGTAGCGAGAAGCAATCATTGATGGAACTAATTTTGGGGAAATATTTGTCTGATGGATGTTAATATGAAGTTTGTGGTCTGGAGATGAGTGGTTGCCTCAGGCCAATATTGCCTCAGGCCAACATGTACAGCGGGCAGGCTATTATCATACAGAGTATGCCTTATTTCAGACAATTGAGAAACATGATAACGATGTTTATTCTATACCATTACCAGGCATAGCTGAGATATCTTCAATATTATAGATTTACTGGCAGGTAGTTAGAATATTCTTTAATTTAACTAATTACCTCAGAGTACTCCATACTAACTATGTAGTAATAGTACCTAGTTAACTAGATGACGAATTGATCGCAAGATAGAAGTACTCCGTACTAGCTAAAAGATCTATCGATGAACGATGGGTCTAGACTCCACTGGGTTATTGTATCATATGTATTACTTAGATTATGGCTCATTAAATGATAGGTACCTAGCATACTAGGTACCTAGTCTGTATGGTATGCATAAATATGTAGGAATAGTTTCCTCACTTGCATAGTACTCCGTACTTAGGCGCTTAGACTGAATTCAGTACCTATCCTATATACAGTATATGCCTATATATATACTTACCTCTTAGTTATAACTACTCTGTACATAGGTAGTATGTACTACCTAGGTAGTAATGACAGCTGGTTCTGATTAGGCAACAATAAAACATCTGAAACAGGCAGGAGCCCCACCCAACAAGACCGAATCCGAAACAACCAGCCCCATCTGCATGTTTACTATTGGCCACAGTAGCGCTTTAACCCTATTGCCCCGATGCATGGTGACGCAAACGGCACCCGTTCCGGCTAGTCCAGGCCCTGAGCGCCGGCCGCATACCCACCAGCGACAGCCTGAGCTGGCGCCTCGTGCTTATTTGCTGTCGCCGGAGTCGCCGCCGCTGCTTTCGTGGCGGGTAACTGAAGAGAGCAGGAGGGTTCACGTAGCAGGAGGTTGAGCTCTGGTGGAGAGACAGACTCAGCACTTCTGCTAAGCCTCTCATAACCCACTGATCGTCCCGTCTCTTTTTACCTCATATCTTGCGACTCTGTACACTACTCTGTACGCTACTGTTGACTACTGTTTATTACAATTTGACCTTCTTTTCGGTTTCCTTCTTTTCTTTCTTTAACACGGCATGCGAGGTCACCGGCCATGATCTCCTTGCGCAGTCCCTCACGGCGCTGGATCCTCGTCGTTTCCCCGATCCTGAGTGTGCTTGTCCTCTACTATCTTCTGATAAATGATCCCAGCTCGTATATTTCCCATTATCGCGGTTTCATCTTCAGCTCCGATTCCCACAAAGCCAGCCATGGGAACCACAGTACCAACGCTACCCGTCTAGAGACGACGACGACGACAACGGTGAGGCCCGCACCTGCCGCTTCAGAACCGCCGGTGGTGGTTGCAGCGGAGACTCAGACTCAGGCGTCGGGCTGCCCATCATTGCCCGGGCTGGAGGACGTGCTCGTCATCATGAAGACGGGCGTCACGGAAGCCTTGGAGAAGGTCCCCGTTCACATCCGCACCACCCTCCGCTGCGTGCCGCACTACACCATTTTCTCCGACTTTGAAGAAGACATCGAGGGGGTGCGCACGGTCGATGTCCTCCGTAGCGTGAGTAAGGCGACCAAGGAAACCGACGCGGACTTTGCCATCTACAACCGTGTCCTGCAGCATGGTCGACCCGGCTTGATCGAAGACGATCTCCACGACGAGGCCAACAGTGCCTTTGGGAAGCCCGGGAACCCTGGTTGGAAGCTGGACAAGTGGAAGTTCCTCCCCATGATCGATGAGGCCCTGCAGGCCCGCCCGGAGGCCAAATGGTATGTCTTCGTCGAGGCGGACACGTACATGGTGTGGCCGAATCTGGTCGGCTGGTTGAACGAGCTGGATCCCTCCAAGCCCTTCTTCTTGGGGAACCAGATGCAGATTGCGGATATCACCTTTGCCTACGGGGGTTCCGGCATCATCATATCAAACCCGGCGATGCGTAAACTCTCGCAATACCGCACAGACCGCCTGGAGGAGCTGGAAAGGTACACCGCCGCCAGCTGGGCTGGAGACTGCGTCCTGGGAAAGACAATGCGAGATGCCGGCGTGCCGCTGAACTGGGCCTGGCCCATGCTGCAGTCGGGCCACATGTGGGAGCTTGATGCCTTGGGCGAAGCCTACGGCCGCAAACCCTGGTGTTACCCGGTGGTCTCTTTCCATCACATGAAGCCGGAAGATATCGAAACAATGTGGCTTTTTGACCAGAAATGGTTTCAAAATGTACCTCTCCTTCTTCTTCTTCTTCTTCTTCTTCTTCCTGTGTTCGTTCTGTGCTAACTATACAGGGTCATTCGCTGCTTCTGCATAGCGATGTATACCACCACATTATTCGCAACGAGACGCTCGCCGATCGAGACGACTGGAACAATCTGTCTGCCGACAAGGTCAGCACGGACGATGGTGAGGTCAGCATGAACTCCGCAGCGGAATGTGCGGCTCGCTGCGCCGACGACCGGAACTGTCTGCAGTACTCGTACGAGAACGGGAACTGTCTGACGTCGCGGAGTGCCCTCCGCGGGTCTCCGCATGCTGGAACGCGCTCGGGATGGATGCAGGAGCGGATCGATGCGGCTGTCCAAACCGCAGGCGTGTGCCCCAAGGCCGCGTATGTGACGTTTTAGCTTTAGGTACTGATAAGTCTGCTGGCGGACGTATATATGTATAATGTAACATACAAATTCCTTGCTATCTCATTACATCAGTCTTCACCAAGAGTATGCAGAGATGAGAAATAACTCCGTCAGACTACGTAAGAGTGAACTACATATAAACTATATTCCTATGAACTATAACTACCTATAAATTATTTAACTCAATACCTATAAACTACTATCGACTACCTAAAACTACTAACTAACAACTCACCATTTTAACAGAATCATCACAATGTCAGAGGTCGCGAAACAGGCCATCGCAGAGGTCTCCCACATCAACATCGACGAGCTGATCAAGCCCAAGTCTTTCACGGCCGAACTCGAAGAGTCCATCCGAGGCCACATCCACGAAGAGCTGACCAGCTGGCTCTTCTTCCGCAAGTTGGCAGCCGACTGTTCCAGCGCGAACATCTGCCTGCACGGATTCGCCATGTACCCAACTACCCCCTTCATAACCTTTCTCTGGAGTATCGATGCTGATATGTCTAGGCTGTTTGATCGCTTCGCCGCCCAATGCCTACTAGACATGCACTGGCTGGAGAAATACCTCATCACCCGCGGGGGAACAAGCAAACCCACCCCTATCCATCCCCCCTCCAACGCCTGTTTCCCTAGTAGTCCCGTGGAACCTGTGCGGCCGACGCGCGACGCCCTGGCCGTCCAGAAACGCCTGCTAGAGGATCTGGAGCGGTTGGTCGTCCTCGCCACCCGCTCGGGGGATACCTCGCTTGCTATCGCGGTGGAGAATCGCTTCCTCCGGAAACAGGTCCGGTATGTGAAGGATCTGGGGGATCTGCTTCAGCAGGTGACGCGGGTGAGCAAGCAGGCCGGCCTGGGCTTGTATCAGCTTGATATGGAGTTGAGGAAGTTCAAGGGAAAGATCAGTTGGGCCTATAGCAATGATCCGGATAAACATGATCGTCAGGTAGATGATTTGGTTACTCGTATCACTGAGGGGATGGAGGTCACGGAGGGGGCGAAGCATCATGGGTTTGGTCATTAGTTACCTGGGAATCTCTTAAGAGGTAACTAGCAGGTTAGACCATAGGTTTAATGATTAGATTCTATTGTTCTGTTGCAGCTAATTCTCCAGACCATGGCAAAGATGAGCCACCAAGTCCCATAGCTTCTCGACTTTCTGAACACCGGAGGCATCATTCAGCTTCTGCGCTGTGTCACCGAAGATCCGCCAAACAGGAAGCTGTTTGGGGTCCTCCTGTTCCCCAGGCCCCGAATAAGTAACAATGTTCCGCAACGCAGCCCGCATATTGTTGTGTCGCCGAAGCGCTCCCCCCCATCCCGCGGACCGATTGATCCCGTAAGGAGAGGAGCCATCCGGGGAGGAAGCGTTCACCTCGTGGCATTGGGCCATGTAGCGGACACAGTGCAGGATCATCGACATCAGTCCCGCGGCTAGAGCAGTGGAGATCGAGGAGCCGTCGTGGTAGACGATCGGCTTGAGCGAGTTGGGCCGTCGCGCCTCGGCGACCTGGATCCCCGGCAGGAAATACGCAATCGTGCGCGCATTCTCCGACCCGGGATCGCGCTGCGCTTGCGAATTGCAGGCCCCGATGCGGAAGATTTGTTCCATCGCCGCGCTGTACGGCAGGGTATCCTTTCCGAGCAGCTCGATGTCGTCCGCCGCCGCACACACCATCAAAATGTCTTCCGTGGCAGCCTGCTTGATGGCCGTTTCCAGCCGTCCAATGCCCCCGCCCTGTTCGTCGATGGATTTCTTTGGCGCCCCGCTGACAGCATTACCCCTAATGTTGCTACTCGAGGCGCTGCGGGCTTCGGGCATCCGTTTGCGCACAGTCCACGACATGGAAATGATGTCGACCTTGTGAATGATTGCCATCTCAATCGCATGAGCCACGCTGTTGGGATTGATTGTCCGAGCAGCGAGGCCGGGCTTCGCGTACGAGATACCATCCTCAATGCGAATGACCAACAGATGGATCCACGGGTTGATGCGGAGAATCATATTGGCCATCGCGGTTCCATGGCCCTTGGTCGATTCATGCCATGGCCGCCCGTTCTGCCCAATGCCAGGATAGCAGCTGAGTCCTCGCACCTCGGTGTGCGGAAAAACATCAAAATCTCCGTAATCCAGGCCATCGTCGATGAGTGCCACCTGGAAGAGATTTAGGACAACAGCTTGGCCTGTGGGAAAGGACGAAACAAAGAGAACATACCTTGACTCGTGGCGGCTGCAGTGGCACTTTCTCCTTCAGAGCCTCATGCATTTTATGCATTGCATCTCGGAACTCCTCCATTCGAGTTACCCACCTATATTGTGTTTCATTGGCCACATCGCTCGTATCCAGGGAGTGATGAGACTCATCATCGGCTCGCATATGTGTCACCACTCTTCCCTTGTGGTGGGTTGTATCAACTTGGACCTTACCTTCCGTCGATGACTTCACCTCGTTTTTGAACTGCTCTATCATCTTCTTTGTCCGTACCTCGCTCTCGAACCCCTGGGAGCAGTAGACTTGTGTGAGTGCCCGCTTGGTCTTTGATACCGCTATTGGAAAGAGGAAGTGCGGAACACTACCTGATATATATGCAGATTGACCGAAGAGAGCCGTTTACGGGGTTTGTATAATTCTAAGATTCCCTTGGTCCACCCTCGGAGCACAGTTTGACTCCCACCCCAGTGCAAATGAAGATGTTTGATCGTCGGTGCAGCATATATGATCACATCGATGCTTATATCTGGCTTTCGCCAATCCCTAGAATGCATCATGGATCAGAATTCGGAGCAGAGTCCAATATCAATAATAAAACAAAAAGAAGAAAAAGGCATTACCAAGTCTCTATCTCGATGTCTGCTTTCCTGGTTTGGGAGGAGTCCAATTCACCCGGTAAATCCCGCCCTTTGATCGCCCGTTCGATGGCTGTATCTGAATGGGCCAGTTCGTCGCCGTTATCCTCAACTTGCAGGCGTAGAATGGTCCGGACGTTGGCAGCAGCCAGCTCGTCGAATATAGCGACGAGGGCATTGCGCCCGAGCAGCGATTTGTCCTGACCAGGGGTGCTCTTCCGTGGCCTTTTGTCATTCGCTGCGTTCGCTCCATTGGCCTTGATCATCTGCTCTGGTAGCCAGTATGGCTCTGACAATAGGGGAATCTTGACATAGGAAAGAGTGTCTTCGAATCCTCCGGCTTTGCCCAACCTCCGGATCAAGTGAACAACCTGCGCAGGCTCTCGCCCTCTCAGGTGGGAGGCATCAAAATACAGATTCTTATCTAAGAAAGTCGACGAGTAAGCAAGGTTATGAGCTTTCCTCTCAGTCCATCAAAAACCCTTATCCAAACGGAACTGTATGTACATACCTGAGGCTATTTTGCCGTAGAGCAGGTTCTTGGCATCCATGTCGGACCTTGTTCGAATATAATGCAGTCGGAGATACTGGCGAATTGAATCGGCGGCCTGTCTTTTCGGGCCCTCGTTGTCGACCTGCAGTGTTTGTCTAGTTGCATGCTCGTTGGCCATGGTTACGGTGACGGGCTTGACGACCGGGGACCGAGCACCGGACGACGATGCCGCTGCCGCCGCCACAGACTTGGGGTCCTGGCCGCTGCCACCCGGAAGATGCATTTTCTGAGGGCGCAGCGAGGGTTGGCGGATGGGATTCTGTACTGGGGGCAGCTGCGACGGGGGTCCTCTGCCGGCCGGGAGAGGGAAAACGGCGGTGGGAGGGTTCGAGGTCTCCAATAACAGCCCCGTGATAGCCCTAGAGTTGCTCTCCTCCATTTGCTTTGCCTTCTCTTGATCGATGGTTCCAATTCTGCCTTCTGGTCGTAGGTCCGGTCGATTTTCCTTGGCAAGACGATCACTTTTCTTGACTCCTGACCCCTCCCCGTATGGGAGCACAGACGGCGGAGCTGACCGAGGCCGCTTTTTGTCGAACATGACCTTGGTCTCCAGATATGTCAGATATGGGGATTTGTCGTCATTATTGAATAGAAAGTCGACCGGGGTCTGGCAGGTCTGCCCCTTATCGATCAAGGCCACTAGAATCGTTCTGTAGACCGCTGGGTTCAAGTAATAGCACAGTACATATCGCATCCCGTAATGCAAAGGGGTGTTCCCATCTGTGTCTCGGGCAGTGATGGCCGTCACAGGGGCCTCGTTAATCCATTCCCGGATGATTCGCATCAGTGTCTCCAATTTTTCCCGAACCTGCGTGACATTGGGAGGGTCCTTCATGAGGATCGGCTTGAGCTCCATCGGCAGCCAACGGAATGCCAGATGCAGAGAGTTTTGGCGCTGGAGCAGGTGAGAAGCCTGGAGCAGACCTGGTAGATAGCTCCGGAGATGAGGGCTGGTCGAAATCATGGTCAGAAACGAAAGATTATACCTCTGGAACGCCCTGGCAAGGACCGGGTAGTCTCCTTTGGCTACTCGATCCGGTTGCAGGTGGTCTTCAAGGAGAAAAGCAAGAATGCTAGTGCGCGTCTCCTCGTGAAGCTGGTAAAATTCATAGGTATCATCGCCTTGCGTCAGGGATAAGTGATGCAGGACGGTGGGTGTTGTCTGGTCCATCGGATTGCGGTACGTTACGTACTGCTTCACCTGCGGATCGAGAGATTCCCATCTCGCCCCGGTGGCTAACAGCTGCATCAATTTCCGCAGCCGTTCACCCGATGATAGTCCCTGCCATTCATTTCCAAGGCCAGCGGACGAGAATGTTTCCTGCTCAGGCTCCCAAAGGTAGGACTCGATATCATCCTGAGGGTCGCCCATGATGGAGAATCGCAATGGGGATACTACTAGGCCGATAAAGGGAGAACCCCGCTGAAGTCAGCGCTTATTTATCGATTCGCTCCAGCTGAACAAGCCACTACAAGGCTGTTAGTACTAAAGAGAATAAGCAAAAGCAATATTCATCACCCCTCCCTTCCCCGCTTACGTGGCCTTGACAACCCCAGCGCGTTGGGTATACATAGTACAATCCCATAGCTGGTCTAGACAGGTGGCTCCGAGATTCTCCGGGTCAATAGCTCTCCCTTCCAACTGATTGAATGCCGGCTCAGATGGACTGAACCAAATAGGGTCATCTCTGTCTCTGGAAGAGAACAGTTGGCCAACCATCGTCTTGAAATCGGGGGTGACATGGATGTAGGGGACACAAACAAAGTCACCCTCTGTGTCCCGTTTCAGAAGGATACATGTTGTCAGTCGCGTGGGAATCCCGTCCTCTTGTGACTGGTTCTCCGTCAGAGAGAAATGGGCCTCGTACCGATCACCGTAAATATCCGCAGGTTTGTCGCCAGTGATCACCGTGTGATGGGCTGTGACTTTCTCCACCTCTGTCTCATTGGAGATGGTGATGGAGGCGTTCGCCGCCGCCCCAGCTTGCGCTCCAATAGTGAGATCGAGACCGTGCTTGGAGTGCTCAGTTTGCTCCGTTCGTTCGACCTTGAACACACGGTCCGGCCGTATCTCTGCCACAAATACCTTGTTGGATTGCCCCCGCATTGGCTGGAATTCGAAGCGAATGTCGGCCGCCTTGAGTCGACGTCCGCGGTAGGAATGAAATTCGAATTGGTAGACCAAGAGGGTCGCCCACTTGTGCGAGTCAGGACCTGTTCCCCCCCATCGGCCGTGTATCATGACTTTTGCCTCACAACCGACCTGATAAGCAGACCTGTGCTTCGTTCGCCCCGTGCCAAAGTCGGAAACCACCTGTCGCTGTCGCTGGCCTGGTCGGTTGCGGGTGTGAAAGTCTGCTCTCACCAGTCAAAATTCGGGCAACAGATAGACAGCCTTAGACGAATGGCAACTGTTACTACTTACCACCAGGTGGACCTTGATATGTCAAGCTCAGGTCAAAATACTTCGGATCAGCCAAGTCATTCTCATCCTCGTATTCATCCTCGTCCTCCTCACTCAGCCAGAGCTCGTCAGTCGTATCAAGACTCATAGTCCCCGAGTCCGTGGGAAGCGGGAGAAGCAATACCTGGAACAGGGCAGCTTATTTAGTAAGAGAAAGGCAGGTCAAGGTCACTCTTATGACTTTCATCTCCAAGTCATTTCTCGAGCGCTTACCTCGGAGATCCGATCTCCTCCCCCAATCATGCCTTGTATCAGTGAGTCTTAGTGTGTACTAGACTCTCGATCCTAGCCAACAGCCCTGGATCAGGCATGATGCAGCTTGCAGACTGCATAAACCATACATTAGCTGGAAACGTGCAGCAGTCGCGATTTTGCTTTTCTCACATCAGTTTGGGAAGGAGGGGTTCTAAGAAGTTGTAAACCCATCAAGAGCCAGGTAGAGTGAATCCAGAGACCTCAGAAAAAGGCGCTTTGGTCTTCTTTCTCTGGTCTTTCCTTGACTTGATAGCAGGAAACTACTTGCTTTCTCTCTTTCTCTCGGTGAACGAAACAAAACACCATGGCGGATGAGTCAGCAACGGCCATACAATCAACCCAGGCTCTCCAACTCACCCGTCAAGTCTCAACCTCTGACACTGCCTCACCGGCTTATGTTGAGTAAGGATTACAATCGCGGTACTTCTGGACTACTTATTCACACGTGAATCTTGCCAGTGTGGTGCATGTTATGGGAGTTGCGCCGTTCGAGCGCTTGAACCTGGAAGCTCTCTTCGGGGATCACAGCACCCCCCAAAATACACGGCGGGAATTCGTGTATCAAAGCTGCGCCAGCCATTTCCTGTTTGGCGACTTGACGAGTCACTATGTCGAGAAAGAAGCGCTTCAACTGCTAGCTGGGCTGCTTCATTTCCGTGCAGCAGGCGACCCGGTGAGTCTGCTGTCAAGAGACAGACATCCTAGTCAACGATTCTTCACCACACAAAATTGCAGAGCTGACATTTATCTTCTCATCTCCTTGGCCCAAATTCAAGGAAGCTAAAGGAGCGATCATATTTCTAGCTTATGATTTGGGGGCTTTGATTGTTGAAAAGGTTGGGTTCAGGTCCTATGCCTCGGCAGTGAAGGAGTCTCTCTGATCCAGGGAATTGGACAGGCTGTCTCGCTCGCCGCTGTGGATCAGGAACAATGGACAGGAATCTTCATTGATACTGTCAGATTCGTGAGTGAATAAAATATAGTCAATCTGTCGGGGATTCATGATCACTGAGTCTTACTTTGTACTCGCCGCAGGTGTTTATCGGCTGCTTTCATCGCAGAAATGATGCTCCTGCGTTCGATGCCCGATTATGGCAATTTTTGCAGACACAAAGAACGGATGATTGGAGTCATCTCATCACACCAGCATCTGTCAAGGCCCTGGCGGACGTGGCTGTGGAAATGACCGATCTGTTTTTAAGCTGCCGCATTACATTGCGCACTCGAACAATTAGCATATATGCAAATCCAGAGACATCTGGAAAGATTGATTCGGTAAGTAACCCGTGCAGAGCCTGGACTGAATGAGGAGCTGGGATTTCAACCTGACCTAGGGGCTTGATAAAACAGGTCTTTGATCGTGCCACCGCGATACTAGGCATTCCGGCTGAATTGCCACTCCCCGAGGAAACCAGTGAACAAGAAAATACCACCCTCGTATCGAGATTGTCGGACATTATTTGCTACGGATCATACAGTTGGGGTGCACCCCCGTCGTGGGTGGCCATTGAACAATCGCTTCTGTCTTTTGCTTTGCCTCACTGCCGGTTTGTGTCAACGGGCATCATAGAATCACATCCGATCCTTAGAAGCGCCGAGCACAGAAAGTGGGTGGCATCGAGGGGCCTCCAGGTTCTGTATGTTCATGGCAAGGACCAGAAGCTGGTAGCGGAAGCGGCAGAACAGGTGTTTCTTGCGTGGCAAAGACAACAGCATGATATGAAACTAGATGGCGCCAACGTACTCTCGTTTGCATTCTCCAACTGTGATCCAGAGCGCAGCTCGATGAGCGCGATGGCCAGCGCTCTCATAGTTGAGACTACTCACCGGTTGCCCATGGGAGAGGTGGGCATACAGCGCCAGCTCCTAGAGAATCAATTCTCGCTGCAACATGGATGGACTGCTAAAGATGTGCGAAACCTCTTGAGGTGTAATATGCGGCTTTTAACTAACACGAATACCGCGATGCTGTTTTTGCGGGATCTTGATGCCTGCGGTACTTCCAATAGCCGAATGGGTTACTTGAAGGCCATAGCCCAGGGTATCAGCTTCACTGACGCACCAATAAAGCTTCTCATAACATCCACAACCCCTGATGTCTTGACAAAAGAGCTTGATATCTGTGTTCCCAATATGACCCTTCACTCTTACAGAGTGGGGCAAGAGCCAAGTGACAATGCACCAACAAAAGACTCTAACCAGAGACTGACCTTGCGTTTTTGCCCCAACGGACATGGGGAGACTTTCTTTCAGGAACGCCTGCAGGAGCTGATTCCCATGAATCGAGATACCCTATGTGCCATCGTGGAAACAGTTTCATGTTACACAGGGTGGCCGAATCGTCGATCCTCACAGACACATGCACGATTCTGTGAGCTGCTGGGCTCTGTTACAGTATCAGACACAGTGGAAAGTGTTCTCGATAACATACTACGATCAATTCCAGATACCGAGCAGCTTCGATCAACGCTCATATGGGTATTGTGCGGATCCCGACCCCTCACACCTCGCGAGCTGACAGCACTCTGTTTTTATTCAATTGAGGGAGGACATGTTCAGCTCACCACCCACCATCCTTCCAGCGCTGATCTGTTGCAATTAGCTTCGTGGCATCAGACCTGGCTCACCGGACTGCTGGAATTCAGCCACGGCCAGGTTTGCCTCCGTCAAGATGTTTTGCGCGTTTTCCAAAGCGGTGGTGAATATATATGGGCTGAGATCCAATCCACAGCACCCGAAACAACGTGCACGTTCTTGAATCGCTTCTTGACCTCAAAAATAATCCAGAGTCGCCTCACTGACATCTACAGAAAGTATCAGGAGAGAGTCATTTCATCTAAGAAGCAAATCACTCCGCCGGTGATTCCTGATCGCCGGGACATAATATATTATGCAACCGAATCTTTTCCTTACCACTTATCCAAAGCCCCCTCAGTGCTTAAAACACTACTTCCAGTTCTGTTCCAGCCTAACGGACCATTAACCCCTTGGGCACATCTGTACTGGGCCATGCAGAACCCCTTTTCACGACCCAAGATGGGAGATCTGGACTCCGCGGGCGCAACACTTCTGGCACTAGGGGACCATAGTTCTAGGCTCTATAAACTCCTGAGTGAAACCGGACACGATCTTCCTACTCAGGTGGGAAGCCTTTCAGAGGCCATGCGGAGAGGTGACGAGGATGCGGTCCTTCACAACCTGGACAGATCCCCCGGTCCTGAGAATATTTCGGTCCTCTGGAGAGCAGTATATCTGGACATGAGGCGCGTGGTCGATGCCCTCCTGGACGCGGGAATGAGTCCGGACCCCTCGTATGATCCTGCGATATTCGATCCATCCCCGCTGTACATGGCGTGCAAGCTCAACCATCTCGAAATCGTGCAGAGCTTGCTCAAGAAAGGTGCCAATATCAATGTCCTTAGAAGTGATACGTTTGGGATTCTATATATAGCAACTGTTCACGGGAACGACGATGTTATAAAAGCGATTGTATCCAGGGACAACGGACTCCTGGATGCCCCCCGACCATGGACGCCCCTCTATGTTGCATCTTGCAGTGGCCTGTGGAAAGTGGTCGAAACCCTGGCATCTCTCGACGCTAACATGGATCTCCCGGGTCGCGGGCATGAGGGGGCAGAAGTGCGGCCCTTGGCTGCTGCTGTCTCCTTGGGTCGCTTCAAAACCGTCCAAGCTCTCCTAGAGAATGACGCCGATCCCAATCCGATCGGGCCCGGCGGCAGGATCACAGCCTTGGAGGTTGCGATTCAGGAGTTAAGCCACCCGGATTGTATTCGCCTGCTCCTCGATCATAATGCGAATCCAAACCATGAGCTCCACGATCCGACCTTGTTGGTCCGGGCTATTGTGTCTGGGATGCAACTCAGCATCAGGCTCGAAATCATGGATATTTTGGTGAGCCATGAGTCTGCTGCTGTTGATATCAATGCTGTCGGCAGACCCTCGTCTGGAATGACCCCATTAATGCACGCAGCAGCAGCTGGGGATCGGGAAACGGTGGACTGGTTGTTGGACCACCAAGCCAATATTGCCTTGGTGGATCTGAATGGACAGAATGCACTGTTCCACGCCGTCGGAGGACATCATGTTGGCGCTGTACAGGTCCTACTAGGCCGAGGCTCTCCACTCGCCGAGAAAAACAACGATGGATGGACGATGCTTGAGCTCGCTCTCCAGGACGCTCAGATTCTCGAGCTCTTGTTGAACGCGGGCGTCGATCCGGAAGTAGAAATGGGTGGATTGACGGCCATCAACAGGGCCTCCTCTGCCGGTAACGTTGAAGCGGTCCGTCTGTTGGTCAAGCGAGGGGTGAACATTCACCATCGGGATTCCTTTGGCTGGAGTCCCATACTCGACGCTTCCGGATACAGCCCCAACGAGGAGATTTGCCGGATCTTGATGGAAGCTGGCGCCAAGCTGACGGACACAACCAGTAAAGGGAATACTCCCCTTCACTTGGCTGCCGGGTTAGGGAAACCAAGTATTCTCAAGGTGTTGCTCGAATATCGTGGGATGCTCGGGCTGGAGGCGCAGGATGCCAATCAGGACACCGCGCTCACGCTTGCGGTTCGGTGCAATCAATCCGATTGCATCCCACTGCTTCTTCGGGCCGGCGCTGACATCAACACCAAGTCCGACAAGGGATGGACGGCGTTCCTCTGCGCAGTGGCCCTAGAGCGACCACCGGAAGTAATTGACCTCTTTCTGGCGCAGCCGAGTCTCCAGATCCACAACGTCGCGGATTCTCGTGGAGCAGCCATCCACATCGCGTGCCAGAACCTACAGATCGACCTGGTGGAAAAGTTGATCCACCACGGAGCGGACGTCAACCAGACGGTCGACACCTATCTTTGCACCCCCCTGATAGCCGTTTGCCGTCCCTCTGTGGCTGCCGGAGCTAGTCGCCAGGAGGTGCTGGACAAACAGGACCGGCTGATCCGCGAGTTGGTCCGCCGAGAGGCCCAGGTCACCGGCGAGCACGACTTCTCCCTTTGCAACCCGCTCTCGGCTGCCTGCTTTGGGGCTGGGGTCAGCACAATCAACTATCTGCTCTATCACGGGGCAACCCCCCAGCGGCTCGATGGGCTGGGTCGACCCGCGGTGCATTTCGCGGCCGTGAATGGGCTAGAGAACTTTGAGGCCATGCTCCAAGCGGACCACAGCATGCTCATGGTGGCGGACAGGGTTCAGAAGACCTCCCTTCACTGGGCCGCGCAGTTCGGTCGCGCGCAGACCGTCGAGGCAATCTTGAATTATGTGAAACTCCCCGCGGAGCGTCAACGGCACGTTAACCAGCCCGACATTGATGGCTGGACGCCGCTCTGCTGGGCTCTCCGCCCCTCGACACTATGCTGGGCGCCTGTCATGGCCTCGGAGCCGGCCGATTACGCGCAGACCGTTCGGCTGCTGCTGTCGGAAGGGGCAGACCCGAAGGTACAATGCCGCATGGGGACGGAGCAGGACCTGTATACACCTCTTGAGCTCGCTCAGCTTCACGACTCGGGAGATGAAATCATCCAGCTGCTCCAGACGGCCTTGGGAAATAATTCTCCCGGTGCCAGTACGGAGCCAATTCGGAGGTATTGCCAAAGTTCAGAGTCTTTCTGCGACATTTGTTTCACCGTAAGCTCTTTTGATATCTCTGTCTCTCCTTAATAGTGCATGCTAATAGTATGCTCCCCTTCCAGGCCATATATGGCATCTCGTACATCTGCACCACTTGCCGATTCTTCCTGGCCTGTCAAAAGTGCCACGGTCGACTTGACGTTTATTTCGGCGATTTGGCCCCTGGTCCAAAGGGTCACCGCCATGAGTTTGAGCAATGGAACTCCGGCCAGCCGGAGTTCCAGGATCCCCCACCGGAGGCTCCCCCGGCGCCAGCGTCTTCTGTGCCGATAATCGACGAGGCTCTTGGCCCCTGCCTATCGCCGGAACCCGACGTCATCGACCAGGAGGAGGGCACTGCCAACATCCCGCTCCAGGATGAGGTGTTTGAAGACGAAGATGAGCTTGACCAATTACTTGGCGGTGAGATCTGATCAATAGATATAGATCTATCTAGCTGGAAACAGCCGCGAACCTATATATCGATCTATAATTAGTGTATTCCTATAATTCTTAGTAATCATGATCAGTGAGACAGTACTAGACTAACCCCCTACAGTTAGAGGACCCTGTTCTACGGTGGACCAACGCTAGGCCCAGAACTGCTCTCGGTCTTCCTCTTCCAGCCAGCTGATTCGTCACCGCTACTGAAGCTAGAGCAAACTGGGTAAGACCCAAGTTCAAGCCTTGACTACCGCCCGCCAAGCAGGGGTATTTATTTATTTATTCACAGTAGCAGAGGCACTACTCTGTATGCAGCAGGTACTCCCTAGTACCTTCTAGGTAGTATTTAGTATGTTAGGTAGTATGTACCTAGGCAGTTATTTTAGGTAGTATGTAGTAGTTAGTAGAGTGGACGTACTTGTATACAGTACAGTACGGACGTCTTTGCCTCCGAGTCCGACTCGTGCAGGCTTTGTTGAAGCGCCAAACCCGCCCCGTCGTCTAGAATTGCCTACAATGAGCTCCTTTGCAGTGACTACATTGACACCTTAAAGCACAACATCAATGGTGCTGTTCTATTTCCTATTGGCTTGAAAGTACCTCATTCAGTGTGGATGTAAATTTCATGCCAGTCACAGTGGAAAACAAGCATCAGCGTGGCAACTAACAATAGGGTTTAATACTAGCTCGTGGTGGTTGAGTACTATCTAAAACATTGTCCACTGCTAATAATACCTCCTCTACAGAGTATATAATTAGTAGCAACCTGCCCAGGAGATGAAGCAATTCTTTGGATTACCCTAGAGTCCTACTACTTACCTCAATCATTTCTACCAAGTACTAGTACTATTCCCCTATTATTGTTCTCTAATTCAAAGAGTGCGGGAGAAATCTGCTGCTGCTGCTGCTGCTGGTGGGAAATCGCTGCTGCCTAGAATGACGCCGTCCCCCCCCCAAGACCTCCTGAAATATCTCCCCGACCATCGGGTGCTGGTGTGTATGCAGTGTCGCTATGCCATCCAGCCGAATGCCGTCGCGCGCCATCTCAAGGAGATCCATCACATCCATCGCGGCGACCGTCGACCCTTTGTCGAGTATGCCGGCCAGTTCGACCTCGCAGACCCCGCCAAGGTCGTCTATCCCGACCTCACCCAGTTCCCCGTCCCCGTCTTGCCGGTCGAGAACGGAGTGGCCTGTCGGTTTGCCGGCTGTGGCCATCTCTGCGTCACCGTCAAGCGTATGAAGCAGCATTGGATGACCGTCCATCGCATGTCGGCCAGGGACGGCATCGACTGGCGCAACGTGCAGGTGCAGACCTTTTTCCGAGGCAACGCCCTCAAGTATTTCACGGGGGAAAGGTCGGAAGAAGTCCAGCCGGAGAAAGGGTGCAGTCGAAGGGATTTCGCCCCGGTGACGCTGGTAAGAGCTTATTCCCGGTGGTCGATCATCTTATCACTTGCTAATCTGAACAGAACTTTTCTCCCGCCTCACCAGATGGACCGCTTGCGGAGATCGAGCAAAGGCTAATCGAGAAATATCACCTCGACTCGCTCGATTCAGAGCTGCTTCGGCATTATCTCCGTCATACAAGCCAGACCATCGATCCTCGCCCCGAGACGCAGACTGCCTTTCAGACTGCCGTCCCCAAAATCGCTTACAACTTCCACTTCCTTCTCCAGGGAATGCTCTCCTGCGCCGCCATGCATCTCGCCCAGATCACTCCTTCCAGGGGGGCCTTCTCGTACAGAGCCACCGCGGCAAAGCACCACGACGCCGCTCTTCCGACCTTCCGCCACGCAATGCTCACCATCAGCAGTCACAACTGCAACGCCGTCATGGCATTCAGCTTCTTCATGATGATCTACACCCTATCCCGTGCCGATGATGCGGACAGCTTGCTCCTCATCCGCGAGTCCACCACCACCACCACCATTGCTGCTTGGATGGAAGTCCTCCGCACACGATGTAACCTCCTTGATTCCTGCTGGGAAAACATTATTTGCGGGCCGATAGGGCCCCTGGCTTCTCTATGGCGACACAACGACCAAAAAACCGTCGTATCCCCGACAGACCCTCTCCTCTGTAAACTCCTCTCGATACGAAACTGCTCAGCATCGTTTCACCCCTGGAACGAAAGTGACACGAAACTCTACAACAACGCCGCGGTGGAACTCACCCGTGCCATCTCCCTTGCAAGCCGTATGGGTCACACGCTTACCATCTGGGATGCCCTAGGGACGTGGCCGTTGAATCTTGCAGACGGCTTCTTCGATTTGCTCCTTGCCATGCATCCGGGCGCCTTGATTCTCCTCGCTCAGTACGGAACGCTATTGGCATCCGTGCAGACTTTGTGGTTCTTCAACGGCCACGCTGGGAAACTGCTCGACAGGGTGCGTTCTTTGGTAGATCCCAGGTGGGAAAAGTTCTTGCAGGCAGATTACATGCATTCATAATTACCCTTGAGAAGCATATGTATTATACAATGAGTTATTAATGTTTGATTACCCTTTTGAATCTCCTTGAAATTATACCCTAGGCTTTGCCAGGAAGAGATTATGATAGTACAAGAATAGAAGATATAGTTCTATTTCATTTTTCCATGCCTGCTACTACCTTAGCTAAACATAAAGCCATGGTGTTTACTTGTAGTACTGTAGTAAGTCAAGAAGTGCTGCCTAGGCATTCTTCTTAAATCGGTTGTCTTGATCTTAATGACAGCTCGAAGTAAAGGCATTAACATACTTACGAACTGGCCTAGGTTATATGAACCGCGAGAGCAGGTCGTCGAACACATCTTCCTCGATGATGGACCCGAATCTAGACTGTGAGCAAGGCCATGCACAGCAGAGGGACAGGAGAGCTGTACGTACCCGAAACACTTCATATTTTCAGCCAAAGTTTGCTTCAATTCCTCCAACTTGATGGGTGTCAGCTCGTGGAACTGTGGATGGGACTTGATTCGATTCCACCCCTGGACCGGGGTGATGAAACCCTCCAGACCCAAGCTACCGGACAGCTCAAAGAGCCGGTCTAGCTCTGCGGCTGAGGTCTCCCATTCCGAGCCTTCGTGGAGAGTCTCCGGTGCACCCGCCAATAAAATGCCTTGCATCGACATGGCGTGGCCAGACGGTTCATACGGGTATCCACGGCGTGTGTGTTCTAGACAGTGTTGCTCAAGCCTTTTGAGTTAGTTAACTTTGGAAGACACAGCCAACCAACGCCCATGACATACGATAACACAAAGTCCACACCAACCTGGGTTCGATGTAACCTATGCGGATGTGGCTGATCCTGAGTCTGGCCCACGCCTGCCGTGTCTGAGCTGGACCATGGCTCGAGATCCGGCATCGTGACCTTCAAACACTGGCAGGCATCTTTCCCCACAACCTGCACCTCAGCCAGATATCCCTTCCGCACAGCAGGCACACCTGCTGGAAAGGGGATACTGTGCGCAACCAAAAGGTCCCGCAGGAAGGCATTCTCAGCCGCTTGCTCCTTCAATTCTTCGGTAAGGGAGATAAAGTTGTACAGATCATGCAGCTCGTCTTCCAGAGCACGCAGGTGATTTTCCTTCCTCTCGCGGTGTTTCCTGCCAGTCAGCAGAAGCCAGGGAAAAGAGGGAGTAGGGGGCGGGTGATAAAAGAAATGATATATACCGTTGTGCGCGACGAACCTGATCACGTCGTCGAGCGTGGGCTTCCTTCGAGACCGCTGGTAACAAGACTTTCAGCAAAGATAGGTATCAGTATTATTCAAATCCATAGATCACATACGCTCCTTGGCATCCCCGACGGGCCCAGTCGATGGGGTCTCCATCTTGTAAGAAGCGTGGTGATGCTGGAGAGAAGCAGGATTCGCTGACGAAGAAGAAGGGAGGGGCGAGTCCCGTGATTGGTTGGTCGGTGCCTGTCCGAGACATTAATATTAGAAGAAGAACAACAACAACAACACCAGCTCAACGACGACTCAGCCACGTTCTCCCGTGTCTGGGAGTATCTGGATCGTCAGAGGGGCTGAAACATTCGAGATTGATGGATTTTCCGCGTTGATACACTGCCAGTGAGTCAAATTCATCGCATTTACTGCTGGAAGACCAGTAGATAAGGAACCATAGGGAACTGGAAGATTGTTATGGAGTTGAAGATATCTAATTACTGATATTAATAACTAATAGTATGGCTTTCTAGTTTTGTTTGTCCTCCAAAGACCGAACAAGTCACTCCTTTTTGTATGGCTTTCTTCTCTCCCAGAGCACCTTGGCTGGAGACATCGGACGGGAAAAGAGAGACTATTCAAGATTAGCATTGGACTGAAAGGCATAGACGTATAAGAAGAAGGGGCAACTAACTGAAAAATCTGTCTCCGGGGTGCCCTTGACACCAGCGACGTTCTTGATCTTGAAGTTGCGCACAAACAAGGCGAGGATGACACCCAGCTGGATGTAGGCGAACCGTTCGCCGATGCAGCGGTGTCTCCCGCCTCCAAAGGGGAGATACGGACTATTAGACCCTTTGCCCGTCAGCCCCTTGGTGTTGTCTTCCTCTTCTTCATCGTCGTTGTTGTCGTCAATGTCCTCCCGTTTGACAGCCTCCCAGCGGTGCGGGTTCCATGTCATCGGTTCGGGGAAATACTGCGGATCGCGGGCGCTGCTTGCAGGCGAAGCCATGACGACATGGCTGGGAGGGATCACGTAGGGGGTTCCCTCCATGAAGAGAGGCACCTTCACCTGCCGCATGATGGAGTGGACCGGGTTGTGCAGGCGGAGCGTTTCTTTGACGGTGAAGGCGAGCAGCGTCAGCTTCTGCAAGCCCTCGTAGGTGAGTGGCGCGTCTCCGGGACCCAGCACGCGCACTTGCTCGGCGTACAACTCCTCGACGATGGCCGGGTTGGACGCCATCTGCAGCATCGCATACGAGATGGTTGCGCTCGACGAGTGGTGACCGCCCAGCAGGAGAGCAATCATCATGTGCGCAATCTCCTTGTCTGGGATGGGCTGCCCATCCTTGTATTTGCACCCCATCAGATTCCAGATCATGTCCTCAGTGTCGGTCTCCTTTTTCCCTCCCTGCAGCCGCCGCTGTTGGATGATTTCCATGTAGACTTGGGCCATCTTCTTATGCGCGCGGTCGCGGGCCCGGTTACGGGGCAGTGGTGCCCAGGGAAGCATGAAGTTGATTGGGGTGAAGCCCATATCCAGGTCATGGAACAAGTCAGCGATGGTCGAATCAAACTGCGCGCGCACTTCCTTGCCCTGCAGCGAGCGCGATGCCGTATAGATGGTCAACTCGGCCATGGCGGGCGGCACATCGAGGATCCCATTTGTTCCCTGCAGTTCTGACCTCTTTGCGATGAATTCTTCCGTCTCAAGGGCGATCAGATCCACGTATGAGCGGAAGGCGTCGGCTGTGAGACCGAACTTGACAAACTAACGTCCATTGTATCAGCAGAAAAGTGACTTTTTTCCCTCTCAGGGGATCAAGTTTCTCCTTCTTCTTCCATTCTCTTACCCTCTTCTGTTGGATGAATTTCTCATTCGGACAATCAAACACGACATCCGTTCCAAAGACTGGCGTCGTCAAGGGCGAATACACCTCTTCCGCCGAGAGCTCGCGATGTTTCCCGTTGAGAACGAAGTTATTCCCACTCGCTCCCAGACAGACTGTCGTTGGTTTCCCAAGCAGGATGAAAGTGAAGACATCGCCGTACTGGCTTCTATCAGCACCACTCGCTCGCTCTTAGATCATTTCTAGCTCCGGTGAGGATGGTGATAGTCACTACCTTTTTCTGGCAATCTTCAAAAAACTTGAAGGGTTCTCTACCGTACACGATCGTGCTGCCTAGAAACGGAATCCAATGGAAAACAACGGGCGGTTTTGTCGGGTCCTTGAATAACACCTGTTTAAGCAGGTTTCCCACGACCAGCAGGAAGAGGAGCGCCGCGACGCCGACGACGAGGGGGACTTTGCTGACGATTTCTAACATGGCGACGACGACGACGACGACACCTCTCAACTTGCAGGAAGCTGGACAAAGCACAGCTTGTTGCCTACTCTAACTTGCTCAACTTTGTACTTTAAGAGAAGCCGCGCTCCAATAAGGTGGTGGTGATTGCAACACCCGGAAGGAGGCGATCCGACTGGCATGACACGAGTGGAACAGTGGCCTTATTATTATTATGATTATTATTATGATTTCCGCGGTTTGGGGTTCTTATGGTCAGATCACCCTTTCTACTAGTCAGTTGGCAGTCTATTGTTGTTGCCTGCTACGAAGAGTTTCCCTGCTGATTCTCATGCACGCCGAAAGACGGTCAACAGACAATAAACCGTTCATGTGGATCAATAGTCTAATTTCTCTCGGTACTAGAGATCGAAAAAGCTGGCCATCAACCGTGATTCTCTTTTTTTTGGATCACCGAATGTTGATTTTTTTACGAAACCCTTCCTTGCTCGATGTGGCGCCACCTTGTTTGCCCCTTTACTGCGCGGACGGGCTTCATCCATTTCCCACTATCGCAACAAAAAGTTTTATTAATCGAAACATTTGCCGGGTCTCGGTCGATATGGACCGTTGGTCTCACCCGCCAATTGGCTCCGTCATAACGGCGGTGTAATAATGACAACGAGCAGGCAGAGAGGAGGTCAGCTTTCTACCAGGTCGAGGCCTCGAGGGTAACAGAGTGGATGGTTTCTCTCATCGATCCTCTTAAAGTGGCGCCTTGGTATCGCTACTGCCAGTGATTGTCAGCCAACATGCAAGTATGGTGTTCTGTGAGTTGTTGTTGAGCAGCTCCCATCAGAGACAGTCTCTGGACTGGAGAAAGGATACTGTCATCTAGTCTGAAAGGCCGCAGGCGGCCTTGAAATTCAACAGCTTCGTCTGTAGCGAAAACGGTTCAACCACCGATATCCTGGACTAGATGCCTCAATGGGATCATGAGATAAAGTGCCAACTGTATCGTCTCTATCCACCTGGTGCTGAACCCATCCTCTCCGACTTCTTTCAATACGAGCAAAGACTTTCGCAGCCTGGATGAGATTGCCTATCCAGTGAGCAATGAGCAAGTTGAGACTGGGTTGAACTTACAGGCATTGTCTTCTAGGCTTCCGTCCTCGACTTTTCCCTCACCCGGTCAAAGGTGAGCTCACAGAGGTAGAGGCCATTTCTTTCATCGTACATTGCATCTTTTGCGGACGCCGTACCTGAGTCATTATCATGGCTCCTAGCTGGGTGTCCAGGTGCTTCTGTCCAAACAAGGGAACCAAGTCAGAGCCAGCTGGTTCAACTAGAACGGCACGTCTGTTGTCCTTCAGAAGCAGTCTAGCTGCATAGCCACGGATACGACGTTCTGAGTCTTCAAAGTACTTCTCCTTTGTCTGGGCAGGCCCGAGGCTTGCAAAAGCTATGATGACCTCCCATACGGTTTCTTTTTCCATACCACTTCAAGATCGGTGAAGCCAGGGATATGATTTTAGCCCTCTTTCGTCCCATTTGGTATTCTCCTTGGCACTGGCGAAAGAGAAAGTGTAGCTAAGAAGAAGGCAATATCGTCGAAGCGGCAAGGTCCAGCCAATTGAACCACTACAAGCGGAATGGGCATCAATAGAGTTGTTCAAACAATGGAACATGATCGTCGTCGCATCTCGCGATGACGGTATTTTTTTCCCAAGCTGTCTTTCGGGTCAGGCTCCATTCTCGTCGCCGACATGACCGCAGCCCCCAGCATATGCGAGAGAATTCCATCGTGGCCTTCTTGGGGAGATTTTGAGGATCTCATCTTCAATCCAAAGCCATCCTCGGCGAGGGAAGGAAAAGACGAAGGCTAAAGAAGACTGCGATGGCTTTATGGTCATTATGAGGACGCTGTTTCCCCTTCTCACGAACATATAGTCCGGGGATGGCTATTTGACCTTCCCCGTGTCTCATGCGTTTTACCCCTGGGGATGCAACGCACTGATATTGAATCTTCAGAAATCCATGGGGTCAGCCTAGATGTTCCCACGCATACTGCTGTCGATTGTAGACCCGGGAATATCTGTAGATCTTCCCGTATACCGACAGGCTAGGTAGAGTGCCATCAGGCAAGGGCTTTCCAACACGTAGCAGCTTGAGAGAAAAATGGATGAATGCCAGAGATGTGATGTACCTGATCGCCGGATTCTATCTGTCATTCGCCAGGGACTGCTTTGTTTTTCTTCCTTGCGGATTCTATGCAAAGGACACTCTGAAGCTATTGCGATCACCGCAAGCAAGTCTGTACGCAAGCTAATATAAGTAATAGGTAATATAGGCTGATAGAAAACCAGGTTGATATAATAGAGAGAAGGATATCAAAGTGTATATATAGGTTATGGAGATGGAGAGAGAAGTAGAGAAAGGGTATGGATTTATATAGACATCCATTCATTGATTGAGACATTCACTGGACAAAGCCCCATTCACTGGACAAAGCCCCATTCACTAGACTAGCAGTGACACGCCTAGGCTACAGCAGACTGAGTAGAGGGAAGATGGCATCTATTAAAGTCTAAGTGGTATCATAATAACTAAGTAGGTAACTATATACAATCTATCTCATGACTCTCGTCTTTATGTATGCTCCCGAATGCAGGCGCTCGGGATACTCCGTAGACCAGGCTCTATACATGCATGGCTGGTGGATCGATGGGAAATGGAGGCAGGAAATCGCTCGACTCCCACATCTCGGGCAGTCCGTATTCGGACATGTCGAACAGGTTATCGAAATCAAACGGCTGCTGGGGTTAGTGAATGAATGTTTCATGACAGATGAAAGAAAAAGCTTACTGAAATTCCAGGGATATCGGTGGACAGTAACGGATCAAACTGCGGCACTGGGACGGTTGATTGGATGCCGCCACCGGAAGACTGTGATAAAGTCAGAAATTTACACGGGAAAAAAGGGAAAAGTGAAAAGACATACCTCAAGCGGCTGTGTTCGATGCCCTTCCCCCCAGGGAACGCCAGAAAGCAATTCCTTGCAGTTCTGGATGGTCCGTTTGGAGGCCTCCTCCACCCATTTCAGCGAGTCCTCGCCCTTGAGACGTGCGCGGACCGAGGCAAGCACGAGGTTGAGAAACAAGTAACATTTCCCGCCCTTGGCCGCGGGTCCCAGACGCTGCCCGAAGGCATCGAGGGCGTGTTCGACCACCCGGATCAGCACGTCCTGCTGCGACTGGACCATATCCGACAGCGGCGAGACCAGGGAGGTCATTGCTGCGGGACCGCTGCTCATCGAGGTTAACGCCGAGGCGGCATACTCGTCAGCCTGGAGGGACAGCTCGACGCACACGGTGATGGCGGCGTGGAAAAACTCGTCGCGGAACATGCCTCCGCTCAGCTGAGCGATGCGCGGGATGAGCGAGAACGACAGTCCCGTCGGCTTGTTGGCGGAAGTGGAGGAGGAGGGAGAGTTGTTGCCCACGGGCTCCAACAGGGTGAGCATCTCCAGCGAGCCCTCAAGGCACTGTTTGCGCGAGTAGGCGAATTTCGGAGACCGGACGATACTCAGGGAAAACGGGCGGTGGAGAGCGAGTAAATGTCGTCGCAGGAGGAAAACATACATTGACCGCGGGAAGGCGGCCAGGTCCATGTCCGGCGATGCAGCTCTCGACGAAGGGGCGAATGCGATGGACGCATCTCTCAGGTGCTGTTCCAGCCCTTCGCTGAGGCGCAGCGCCTCGTCGTAGCTGAGACTGAACTTGAGCGAGTTGACCAACTTGGAGACCCGGAGTCGGAAGGTGAGCGAGCGGAGCATGACCTTCTGGAAGGTCGAACGGGTGAAGGAGTCGGTCGTCTGCCTCGGTAGAGGGTCGTCGCTCTTGTCATCCATCAGATCGTAGTCGTCAATGTCCGACGGCAGACCGCAGTCGTATTCCTCGGGATCAATGGCGGGGGCGACACCGCTGTCCAGCGAGGATTGGATCTCTAGTTCGACCAGCGTTGTCCAGAGCCGACGGCGCATCTCCGCCCAGAATCTCGTCATGCTCGGGAACCGATAGGGGTCCCGGTGCAGGCCCATCATCATCGCCGAGCGTAATAGTGCGCCGGAATGCACCCAGACGATGTCTCCATCGCATGCTGTTGCCTGTCGCGCAATAACAACGATGCACTGTACCTGCAGCCAGCGGATATCGATCCAGGAGCTGACATTGGTAGAGGGGAGCCACGACTGCACCGCCAGGATCCAGCGCGAGGCGACCTTGGGGGCCGGCTCATCGCCTAGAACCTTGAGATTGGGATCCAAAAAGGAGCTACTTGCCGCGAAGATGGCCAGCAGCATGGCTTCGAAGACGGTGTTGTCGGGCGGGCGGGTTGCCGCGGCCCAGAAGGCGTTGTACTGCTCGAGAAACGTCGGGACATGCAGGATGCGATGGGTCATTTCAAAAGTCGTCAAGTACAGATTGACCAACTCGTCCGCCACGGCGCGCGACGGCAGAAGGTCCTCCAGTCGGAAGGAGGTGCTCTGCAGAACGCGCTGGTGATCACGTTTCTCCTTGCCCCATACCTCCGACTTGAAGCGTTTCATCGACTTGAATTCCGACCGGTGCGCCTCGTTTTGCCGTGTCTCCTTGAGAAATTTGCGGATATCCTGGAACTAGAAGTAGTTAGTATTCTATAAAGTAGAGTCCTGCCAGAAAGGAGGGGGAAAGGGGGGGGAAACTGACGATCGACACCGACAACGTCCAGTGGCACCGGCCGAAGTAGCGTGTCTTTCTCATCTTCCCTCGAAAGCAAGCATCCGCCAGGTTCTCGACGTGATCGTCGAGGATCTGGTCCTGATGCAGCGGCACTGACCGCAACCCCATCTCCGACACGCCGTCATATCCTGAGTGCTCCGGGGTCGGCACGTTGGCCGCCCTGGCCAACGCGTGTTCTAACGTTTGCACCCGCCGACGCAGTTCGTGCACCTCGTCCGGCGGGCGCGGCGCCTTGGTGATGCGGTGGGCGGGGTTCTTGAGCTTCGAGTCAAAGACGAAGACGCCAGCCTGCGAAGGAGACGAATTCTGGGCGGCGGCAACGGTGGTTATGGCGGTGGTGGTTGTGTTGGCGGAGGGGAGGCCGCCGGGAGGCCGCGGAACGGAAATCGCGTTCGAGGAGATCGCCAACGGGGAGGTGTTATCCTGGTGAGCAGCGATCTCGCTTGACGGCTGGCGCTGGGCTCGCATCTCCGGCTGCAAGCCCGTGTAGATACACGAGTCGGCGGTTTTCGACCGCACACACTGGCTGCAGGGCAGCAGACGGTCGCATTTCAGCTTGCGGCGGCGGCATTCCGTGCACGACAGCGGCGGCCGGCGACGCTTCGGCGGTGATTTCTCGCGGTCGCCTTGGCCCTGGTATGTCTGGTGTTGTCCCTGATGGGCGCCGAAGAGTTCAAAGTCGTCTTCCATGGTTTAATTTTTGTTTGCTGGCAGTTAGCAGGCACTCCGTGGGAAGAAGCAATTTGCCACGGTGGGCTTCACATATCCAGCTCCCCCTGAGAAACACAGTAACCTATGTCCAGCAATGAAAACAAAAGGCGACTGTCTCCCCGCGTCATCCCCGTGGTACTATTTACAGCGTCAGCGATGAGTTTGGTCGTAGGCAGCGATGGAATCGAGCCTTCCACTTCTCTGTCGTCATTCAGAGAGAAGTTTCGGACTGCCGCGTTGGGACGTTACTCCGAGAGGCTTACCGGATTGGGTATCCTCGGCCGGAATATCCCGAGCTCAGATTTGAGGTTTTATTTCTGGTGTTTCACTGTCTGGACGGAGTATTAGTGCTCGTTTTGATTGGAGATCTGGAGTGGCGTTGATATTGAGAAGATTCAATGACTCAGAGACTGATTCTAGAGTCCACAGAAAATACTGTATTTTGGCAGACAGCAAAGATCCTCCTTATTACTACTGCGCCACTGTCTTGATAACTAGTATACTGCCTCAGGCATTAAGATCCTTCTGCCTCAGGCAACGACTCCAGGGTCTTGCCTAGACAGGACTAGACGTTCGCACACATTCCTGTCGACAACTCGATTCAACTCGTCTCTTCTCCTCCAGACAGATTTGAGATCCTATCCATCGTCAGCGTGTACAGTTCATATCCACGAAGAAGGAATCAAGTCCTACTCGATCAGATTTCCATCTGGATCCCTCACATACACACTGCGGAGCTTTCCCACCGCCCCTGTCCTCTCTACGACCCTACCCCCTTCCAGAACCTAGACTTTCAGCTGACTGTGGTAGAAAAAAGAAGAAGAAGAAGAAGAAAGGAAGCAAAGATACCTCGATGTTCTCCTCTCGAAACGCATGCAATACATTCTCGACCTTCTCGCCCGTTAGAAAACACAGATCGGCACTACCCGGCATCACAGTCTGAGCCTTGGGCTCGAACTCCTTTCCCGATTCATGGAGATTGATCTTTTGCGAGCCAAAGATCAACGCATGGCTACCCCTTTAGCTTGATACTATCTGTATAAACAATCCGGCAATAGCTTACCGCTGGACAGTCGGTGCCGCCGGGGACGTGAACATCTCGTGTCGCATCCCCAGACGCGTGGTATAGAAGGCGACTGACTCCGGAATAGAGCGGACAGTCAGAACAAGGTGATCGAGAGACTTGACCGTGAATTTGGCCGCCATCTTGTCTTTTCTAGTTTGTATTGTAGACGGCTATTGCTATTGAAGAATGGGCAAGTACCGTTAACTACCAGAGATAGGTATATAACATGACATTGGTGACATATTTTTGCCTCGGTTCGGTCAACTTTCAAATCACCGAGCCGAAGGAAAGAATAGCTTGTTGTATTACTTATTATTTTTGGCGAATCCCTTATCATTCAGGCCTGTTCTGCGAAACAGTAGTACATAGGTACCTACAGTGGAACAGTATTACGTTCATTCTTACCTGGTAGAGTTGTATGGAATTGACTTATAGCCACTACGAGTATTACCCAGACTATAGAAACATTTTTACAGGTAGACAGTACTATTTTCTACATACGGTACCAGGTGCCTTCTAATCTGATAAGGGGTGTAGCCTACAGCCTATTCACGTAGAGGAAGTCATATTCACGTTAGCCTACAGTATATTCACGCACTATATTCATATCTATCTCTTATATATTCACGTAAAAGATAATAACTTATTCACCATACTTTCCCTCTTCTTCGCTAGATGGTTAGCTCCAAAATAGGGTTCCTAGGAAAGTTATAAATACCCCCTCCTCTCCCTCTATTTGATCTCTTCTTTCTTCTTCTTCATCGGTCCTTCAGTGGTCTTCAGGATCTTAGTGATCCCTCACTGATATGACATGGTTTGAAATCCTTTGACAGATCTTTCATAGATCCATGATATCTTGATATCTTGATATCTTTTAATATCTTTACTGCCCTTTGACACTCTTCGACAGATGGCTCGTATATCTCTGATATATCGACATGTCTTTGACATACTGGATGTCATCTATTTAGGAAGATCTGGCTTCCTCGTAAGTATAGCTCTTATCCCTGGTACAGCTTCACTTACTGACTCGATACTTGCAGCCAGAGTATCTGAACTATCTGTGGTGAAGTTCAAGATACTCCCTTACTTTTCTCTCCAATTGCCTCTCTGTATCTCGAAGCGTCGGCTTGCGCTCTGAGCTATATGTCGTGGCCCCTGTCGATGGGTTGTTCACTTGTCGCTGCTCTAGTAAGTGGGATGATTTCCACTGAACGAACTTCTTTCGAGGCTGACTTTCTGACTAGCCATCCAGATGCAATTTGGGATGGAATCTCATGTGGACAAATGTTCCGTGGTAAGTTTTGCTGCTCACTGGATGTCGTTGGGAAAGTCAGCTAATCCCAAGAATAAAGATGGACGGCTCTACTCCAACAATCGACAACACTGCTTGTCGCTGGAGTCTATGCTCCGATCTTGTTCATTCGGTTCTGTAGAACTGGGTCATCATGCAGGCATCTGTCGACTTCACTGTTCTGCGTATCGGTCCCTGGTGACCGGCGCAGCTTGAAACGAAACTGCCCACGGACTTGACGTGGAATCTATTTTCCCTTCCAGTTTCCCTCTTTCCCTTGGAAACCGTGTCAAACGCCGTTCTCACGGGGATCTGTTTCCCATCTGGGCCCATCTCGGGGATGCTTCAAAAGACGCAACTTCGAAGTTGAGTGAGAGTGCCATTCCGGATTTAAATGGGACGTGCACCTGCGCCATGTCCCAGTTGCAAAGATCTGGGCCTGCACTCATCCATACCCCCCCGACTCATTGAAGGCCGGGTCAGCGAGTGTGTGATGCACAATGCCCTCTGAACCACCCTTGCTTCTCTTTCCACGAGGGCCGTCCCCTTTTCAATCCCCCTTCACCATTGCGGGTGGTGATTGATACTTAGTTATGCAGCTGCTGAACGACATTTCATGTTCTGCTTCCCATCCCTCACTTGGATAGGTTGACAGGTTCCAATAGACTCTGGGAATTCTTGCCTTTGAGACCAAGACGGTACTTGGTCTCTCATCCCCCGGTCCAGCCGCCCTGCGCAGATCTCAACCCAAAGAGACCGTCCAGCACTCAATTCATGCCGTCCAAGGCAAGTGAACAATTAAGGCTTGCTCCTTCCAGCTGGGACTGCTTGGTCACAGCACTGATTGATCTATTGAAGACCAGGGATGCCGCTCATCTACATGATGAGAGATCGCCTCTCTAAATCTGGATCAATGTGGTGGTGTTTTCCCCTGTGCAACACATAAACACACGTTTTGTTCCAGCAAAAAAAGTTTTTCCTCTCTGGTCCTTCTCTTCCTTCCTGGCCCAGAACGGTTTTTTATTTTCTTTCTTCTTTCTTATGTTCTGCACTGTACCTATCAATGCTATCATCATCTCCAGTAGATGTATAGCCATTGTTCAAGGCCGCCTTCTTTACCTTTCCTGTCTGTATTTCATTTTTGTTTTCCATTTCGATTTATCGATTCCTGAGATGAGAGACTGTTTTTATCGAAATCTTCGCCGCTCGTTCCTTTCTTCCCTGCATTTTTCAGTTTCCTTTCTCCAGATCCAAAATACCACGATACTTCTGAGATATGTAGAGATTTTTCATCCCTCAACTCATTTGAGAAACTTCTTCGAGGTTGTTGTCATGATTGAGACAACGACCCCAATGCCCTGGGGTTGGGTTTCGCCTCGTTCTTTTTTCAGTTCAAGCAAAGCCATGATAAACTTCCTATCGCTGCTGCTGTCGACAGCCTGGCATCTCGACCTGCGCCAACTGCGCCAACCAACAGTCTGGCATCATGAAGCAAGAAGATACAGACTGGCAACAAGCGGTAAGCTGTCAGGAAAAACGAGGACATATGCAGACTGTTAATACGTAATAGTAGCCATGCCGGAGCCACCAACACAAGCTGTCATGTCATAAAGTGCATGGACATGACGGCACACACATGTCACACTTGATCGAAGACAAGCAAATTGTGCCTCATACGGAGTAAGCCTCGAAGCTCCGTGCTATCCGGCCCATGCGGGTGACAAGAACCGGCGACGAGCCTTTTCTTGCCGTCCATCGTGCAACCGTGTGTGTGTTGATAGGTTGCTGCGCAATCGCTGTCTTTTTTCCGCATTCAACATATATGTGTGAGAAGCACCTAAATTTCTCAAGAATCAAAACTCCCTCTTCCAAATGGGATGTTTCCCAGTCATCCTAAACGACAGCCCATTGGTATGCAGGTACCGAGGTACGACAAGTCATGCGGCGGCGCAAAGTAAGCGCCCGATGGGACGTCGTATGGGATATATCCCGGTGCTGGTCTTACCAACGGGAGAGATGATTTGTTTAATGGGTTCCCATAATTGTCGTCAATCGCTAGGGACGTTGGAGTAGAGAATCCGTCCATTCAATTCCCTGCTACCCCTCCAAATGCACAGACGGGACCTGTTCGAAGACGACTTTGGTCTCCGGAAGAACGCTTTCTCCTTTTTACCCTGAATCGGTGTATCCTCTTTTCTTTCTTCATGGGGCTCATCCTCCTGAGATGGCAAATTCAAGGGAAGAGCTCCCATAAAGCTTGGGGTGTTTGCCTAGAGGGGTAGACTTATCTACCCCGCAAGGATGCGTCTGCGGTTGTCCTTATTGTCCTTGCAAGTTGACGACTCACCTATCTTCCAACCCGCGCGGAAGTACCTCGGTAGCCCTGGGGTTCCGTCCCTTTGCGTATGGGTATCCTTGGTTGTGTTTTCAACAGGCGAGTCCATGAGTTTTCAAAGAACAAGAAAAAATCAGATGGGAGGCGAACAACAGACGGGCGCCTCCCTCCCCTGCAAGAATCATGATCTGTGGAGATCAGCATTGGGTCGATTGATCATGTGGATAACTCGGGGGAAAGGAGAAAGAACAGAAAGCACGAAACTTGCCAACGCCAAGAATGGCCACCTGGTCTCAGGGGGGGGGGTGTCTGGTGTGTTTGTTGTCAGAAGGCGTTGAGAATCGAGCAGGGGGTCCAGTGCGCTGCGCTGTTGGGAATGCAGCGTGAGCTGTTGACTCTGTCCTTGAGGCGGCAAAAACAGAAGAAGAGATGAAGAGGAAATCGCAGTGAAAGGGTGCTGGAGGTTTCTGAGGACCTCTCGGCAAGGGTTGGAGTGTGTTTTTGAAAGAGACCAGGGAGGGGAGGAAGGGAAGGGAAGGGAGGAGAGGGGAAGAGACCCCGCCATTTAGTCTCAACGTCTTGAATTCTCTTCTTTCTGACTATCACTCCACGGGAAATGTTTTATACTTGTCTCTACCTGGTTGCAAATTTATTATCCTATGAAACGATTCGAGGGCAGTCTACGTTTCACCTTAGTAAACGAGTTGTCGAGCTTCTTCTTCTTCGTCGTCTTGCTCAAGTCTACTGTTCTGAGGGAACGGTGGTAGAAACTATTAATAGAATTAGTATTCTCAATGGCAGCCCTGTCACTCGAGAGAAAACAGACCCTGGACAGAGAAGTCGCTGGGTTTATGGGGAAGACTGTACCTAGTATATCGTACTGAGGACAGTGAACACGCCAGAGAGCTCACCAGCCACACCTCGAGGCTGAGCAGCTCCACGTGACGGGACTGTGGCTAATGCGACTATCCCGCATCCGACCGGAATTCCCGGGAAAGCCCCCAATTTCGTCGAGAGCCAATTGCTTCACGGCGATTGTCTACAGACCACGGAGTCATCTCGCTTGGGCAGTCTTACCGAACCCCC